GGCTATGACAATAGACATACCCAGTGAACAAGTATTACTGTTTGTGTGAATATTGTGCATCATTGTGCTTTGGTAAATCAGCAAACGGCAAGCTTGTTATAGATCTGACTCTAAACTACACGGCCTTCTCCCCCAGCACCTCTTCTGTAGGTCTCTCGCCCCTGAGATAGACTGCCCTCTGCATTGTCTTTAGCTTCATGTCTGTATTGACGGTCAGGAATGTTGCGGCTGTAGCTACTGCTCCGAATGCAATTGCGATCAAGTAGACTAGGGAGAATGCATCGACATAGGCCAACTTTGTGGCTAGAGCAGCAGCCGCTTGTAATGCCGGTGTGGAGCCTTGTACAGCCTTGTATGCAGCCGCCGTGTTCGTGCTCGCGGCCTTGACTAACGCCTGGAGCAAAGAATCCGAGTATGTAGCTCCTGAATCGCTGATGGCGTCGATCATTTTGCCTGGTATAACCTCCGAGAACTTGCTCGACAATATGGCAGAGTAGATTGCCGTCGCAATGGCACCACCAAGAAGGCGAAACGTACCAGCCAACCCGACGGCGATACCAATGTCATTCTGATCGTCGAGGGTAAGCGACAGCATGGTAAAGGATACCAGCTGGGGTGGTGTGACCATGGCAGCGCCAAGAACGATGGTCACAATGGCCTGAGCCTTGTCTTCTACCCCGACCGAGGCCAGCGAACCGATCAAGGCCGTTTGTGCGACCATGAAAAACACGAGTTGCCACTTCTCTCGGTGAACACGTGGACTGATGAATGCGACTATGAAGCCACCGACTGGATCCTAATTCAGCGAATCAAAAAGAAAATTCACGAGACAGATTAGACTCACGGAATGTGCCACAAGAAAAGATCATGGCATAAACTCCCTGCAGGATTGGAGTGTCGGAGCTCACAAAGAATAGTTGCGATTCTCGTGGCCATAGGACGTTCATAGAGTAGTACAGCATACCTCCAACAAAGCAGACGACCATGATCATATCGAACCTGTGGAAATAGTTTAGTGACGAGTATGAGAGGATCAGTCCACGCAACATACTCTCTGACTTTCTTGAACATCTTTGGTGGCAGCAATGGATACTTGAGGTTTGCATATGCTTCCCAGAAACTCAAGATTACTGCACACACCACCCCGATCGCGATTGGTGTAATGACAGCCGCACTCGTCCAAGCATACGCTCGCCCTCCCCAATTAACTCCTGAATTTTTAGGTTAGCCGATGGTCTAAAGCCTGTATATCGACCCACTGACCGAGAAGGAACAGCACATTGGCTACCACGAAAAGCAGCAGTCCTACGTAATCGAGTTCCATGAGGAGCTGTAATCTGGTCTTGCCTTCTCGCCCATGCTTGTTGTCAAAAGTGGGCGGATGGTAAAAAATAACAAGCATCAAGAAACCAACTGTTTACGATCAGTAACAAATCCAGAAGGGGCGAGGTAAGAAAAGTCTTACAAAGGTGCCAAGAAAACATGTACCAATAGGCGCCTCTCCACCCGATTCCTTGATATGCAATGAATGCATAAGAGATGACTGGGCTCGAGAACGCCAATGCCAGAGATATATCCAGAGACCCTATGCAAAATCAACAGCCGTCATTGGGATACAAACGGGGTAGATTTACACACCTACACCAACGATTCTGTGCTTATTTGGCAACATCTCTTGAATAATGGCATAGCACATCTCCTGAAAGCCCGACCCAATCCCAAACAGCACACCGCTGGCAATCATCATGTTGATGTTCTTGGCATTGGCACCAACCAGACAGCCAATAATGGAGATGGTGGCACCAAACATCATGAAGTATCTGCGACCGAATATGTCCGATAGTCGACCGCCGACCGAAACAATGACTGCAGCCCCGAGTGTCCACGATACAGTGATCCACGTATAGTTTGGATCGGGACCGAGATCGGCATTGATGTAGCTCAGGGTAGTCGAGGGGATCAAGAGTGTCATGATGTAGGCGTTGATCTGCGTCGCAATGGCGATACAGGCCAGTATGGTCTGTCGCGTCAACTTGTGCTCGGCATCGCCGAGTTCGGGAGGAGAAGTGGTCGAGTCTGCGTGCTCAACATGTTGAGGGAAATCTGCTGTCTCCAGCACTTTTCTGTCGAAATCAAGGGGCACTTCGTTGACGGGAATGACCGGCACGGCTGGTATAGGTTGAGTAATCATATTGGACGCGGAGTATCCTCGCCGTACACAAAAGGGATACTGGTATGAGTGACTCGATACAAGCGAAATAAAGAAGAGTCTCTCCAGTCGATATACTTAAACCCAGAGAGGGGATCAGATATTATAGCTTCAGCGGAGGAGGGCCGGGTGTCATCTTATGCGATTCGTATCCCATAACCTTATCTGACACTATGCATCTCTCGCAAAAGATATTGACGACCATATCTGGGGTACCACAGGCAGAAATCAATATCACCCCAATTAATCCATCATTGGCTTGGTTGTAGTCCACTTCCCCGCATAACCCCGGATCTTGGCTTACAGTATACTTTCCAGCTGATATGAGTTGAAAACGGTATCCACTGCGGAAAACATCTCCTATTGCTAAGAGCACAAGGGGCACCATCCATATGTTTTTAGGGAGCGAGACCAACTTCGACTTGAACAAAAGTCCTGTTCAATACAGATTGTCGTAAATTTATGATGAATTATGGGTGAATTCTAGCTTTGAACAAGGTAGTCCCATCTCGTAAAGCCGACAATTGTAGAAAAGTTTGGAGCCCGGGGTGTTCATTTAGGAGCCTGCGACTAGCCGCGAAATGTTTTCCGAGTATTGGGTAGCACAAAGATCGCTGCTAATCTCGCATCAGTACCACTCCTTCGGCATCCAATCGCCTTCATTCCTTGATTCTTTAAGTAATCACTGATTGATGTAATTCTGCAAATGCCCGCCAAAGTACCAATCCTGTCGCAAAGGGTTGCGATGGTCATATAGACTCAAGAGTGGTATATTCAGCAATTCTGAAGTATCCACCTATTGAAAAATTTTCATCAGGAATGCGAGTGAGGCTGGTTGGTAAGTTGTTCCAGAATGAATAATTTCCATAAAGACAACAGTAGGCCAAAGCAACGAAGTGGATGTTTTGAATTCATGTGTATTGGGTATCTGGACTTGTCTATACTTGGTACGAGGCACAATCTTAGTTGTACTTGCATATAATTGCACACGGGCAATCGACTTTTGTACCATCTTCGGGGTAGCGTGTAAAGTTGTTGTCATGAAACTGAAGACTGGCTAATCTCACTCCTGAATGGTGTGGTAGCACGCAGCTTTCCATGTCGAAATTCTTCCATATAGCCGGAGCTGGTGTCTTGTTTTATCGGTGTAGGGCCGCGCTTGTGATGTAGATTTGCGGTAACATCCTTTGGCTGCATGCACGGATTCGAGTCACTGGTCGGAAGTCGTTCCGAAGTAGCTTCACACAGACACCGCGTGTCTATGCTGGGACTGTGCCGCATCATCTCATGAGATCTCCTCGTCCATCTCTGTATCGACACCAGCTTCCTTGGCAGGCTTTTCCTCGGCGGCATCTGTACACATCAGGCAATCAGCAACAGAGTTCTTCGTTGCGCGGCAGATACAAAAGACAAATCCTCACCCTTCATCTCGACCTCGCCGTCAGCCTCCATCTTGCGCTTGAGCGCATAGCCAAGCTTGCGGTCGACCTTTCTCTGCTTCTTGGCGCTCAGCTTGGCGCGAGGACCGCTCGTGGGAAGAAGACCACCGCCGGCGCCGCGCTTCTGGTCGGCCTTGACGACCTTGTCCTTGCTCGTCTTGGCCGCCTTTTGCGACTGCTTTCTGGCGCTGGCGCGGCGGGCGGCGAGCCGGTTCTTGGACGGGCCGTTGGGGTTCTTGACGGAAGGCATCGCTGGCAGAGACGTTGGGTGGCGACGACGTGTGACGGACTATCGTGGGAAACGTGGACGCAAGGTGAGGCAAGGTCAAAGAGTCCTGGGTTGTATCTCAGAATTTCTGCGTTCTGCGGATTGTTATCGATAAAAATTCTAGCGGGGCAATTGAATCTGTCCAGGGTCCAGACGCTGATTGTGGGGCGCTGGGTTGTGGAGCTTTAGCTAATGTAGTAACTCGTACGTATAATCACTATACTGCCTACTTGGACATTATGGACAGTCGTTACTAAAGTTGCATGTCGTGGAGAAAAAGAGAGGTTGCAAATGATCAAGATGACCTCAAGTCACTCAATTATATCGCACCAAGAACGTTCAGATATCACGTCTCAGATACGGCCGCGGCCTCATGGGACAATCTCCCCAGTCCTTCAAGTCCTGCCAGCCAGGAAAGAAAGGACTCTGCTGCAGCGTCCCCACCTCCCAGCCCTTTTCGACGATACCATCTTCTTCCTGCTTATAAGCCCATTCTTCGAGATGCTTCGAAGCAATATCGAGGACATGTTTCTCCATCTTGTAATCAATCAGCCGTCTGTCGCCCTGCGTGATGACCCGGTGGAGCAGCGCCGGCACGTAAGGTTCGGTGGCCAGCTCCGTCAGTGGCGTAAAGACGGCCTTGAAGTTGAAAATGACGGCGCCCGACAATGGCAGACGTCGGAGCGTCTGCCAGTCGCATCGGAGCTGGAGGTCCTCTATTTTACAGGATGATGGGTCGTGCTCAAACTTGCTGCGTGGCATGTCTTCTGGACAGAAAAAGGCCTCCCAGTCTTCGATTCCCCAGGAGCCGCGTTGGATCGGCGCATCACAAGGCTGCTTGGTCATATATCTGTTTAACCAAGTTAGAAAACTGATTCCATCAGCAAGTACATGGTTATACTGACCTGTCGACAGAAAAGGCCATCTTTTCCCATAATGGCACATTATCGTGTATCTTCCTCAAAAGCTTGTTTTTATGCGAGCCGACGTTCCAGCCAACAGAGCTACAGACAATCGCAGCTCTGAGGTAATAGTTGCCATCATTCTGATCGCGAAGCATGATGGCAAAGTCCTCGGGAACGTGACGGAAGAGCAACTCGAGAGGTTTCATCGAGTCGATGACGCTTGTCGTCTTTAGTAATTGATTACAAAAGACTGTGTTGTTATCCACGAGCTGAAAGTAATGTGGGTAGCGGATCGTGAGAAATTGCAAGACCATTTCCATGAGCTCGCGAGTTGCAAGCTCAGAGCCCGGTGCTTCAAACATGACGCGCTCGCCGTGCTCTTTCCATAGTTCCATGCGTTGATTCATGCGTCGAAAGTAGTTTTGTTCCAGTTCAATCCAATAGTCTGGCTCATATTTCATAACAGCTAAGGATGACCGTCAGTTTGTTTTCTCAACTTCGGCTGCTCGACAGACGTACCCATAGTTTGGTGGTAGTTCCATCTAAAGGGACGGAAGGGTCTAAATTTGGCTTTGCTAATATCAAACGAGGGTGCCGGTTGGGGGTGCGGAACACCACTCAGAACAGAGTAATCTGGAAAGCGACCCAAAGCCTTCACCTCCTGCGTCAAGACGCTAGTGGAAGTGAAGAGATCCTTGTGATCCAATAATTGAACCTGGTTCGTTGGAATCTGGTTGGTTTTAAGGGTCTCGAGAGGAATCACCAAGTCGGTCGTACCGAGCTTTGATGCAGGCAAGAGCTGAGCTAGAGCTGCTCGCCTCGATGGCGGGAATACGTTTAGAGCATTGTTGCGATCAATCTTTTCATCTTTCCCATGGTGTGATACATTGAGTTGCCTTGACGAAGGCTTGTGAGCGAGTCGCAATGCCGCCAGCACCGTCGAGACTGCGAAGCCAAGGATGAGCAGCCCCAATACGGGCCCCGAAGCGATAGTTGGAGGCCAAATCTGAAGGATATCTGCCATATTGTAGTCTAGAACACAACACAATGACTATGCCAGCAGTCACGATGCTACATGTTCTCGAATCATCGTGATGAGTACGATGGCGGCTTCATATATGCCAGCTTTATCAGATGACGCTGCCAACGGTCTCCCTATCAGCTGCACACCCCAGGATCTTACTTATGCGGCCCCTATCAGCAGCCAGTAGCATTGAGCTTAATTCCTGGCAGATACACCTAAAAGCAACAACTGTGAGCACGGCCCAGAGAATAGTGACGGGTATGGTAAAGGGCTGTATTTACCTGTTTGGGGTATAGTTCCCTTCCCCATGGGGCGGGGTATGTGATAACGTACGTATGCCTGGCAGCATCAGTGCCAATCAATCATGAGTGGCTGGAATGCAAGAGCCGTATAGATGGACTGCCAACATGCTTTGTTCTACACAGTTGTCTTATCATGGCCATGGACGAAAGCCCTGGAAGGACCACAGTTAATGCGTGGTTCAGCAGCAATGCTATTGCCTCGAGGCTCATATCACCTCGTTTCTCCTAACATGGTCGATCGCATTGTTGGGATCAATTGCAGTCGCTGTCATCGGATATACTCAACATTCCGCTAAGTTGAACCAAATTGAAGGGTATCGTCTTGAAATTCGCTTATAAAATGCTTTAAAACAGGGAACTCGTAAACTCGTGATAACACATGCTTCGTTCACTTTTCGGGAACGGACACCTAGCTCACCCGCAACACACAGTAGGCTCCTCGATGCCAGCCACGCCGCCACTCGATTCATCGAGACCAACAACGACCTTGAGCACCATCCAATCGCAGACAAATTTTCCAATGCCGGCTCCAATGATGATGGAAATGATTATGTAGCCGTTAAAGTACATGGCGAGCAACATGACAATGTACGCAAGACCAAATGTAACGGCGTGAATAACGGAGCGGATGAGCTGCTGCAGCGGGGTGGCGCGAAAGGTGATGGTTCTAGGGCCCGGTTTGGCGGCCTCGACTTCCTCCTCATCCGGCGGCGGCGCGCAGCACGAAACGGGTTCCGGCGCCTCCTTCTTGGCAGCGGCAGCGACCGACTGAGCGGCAACATGTCTCTGGAACTGCCGCAGGATGAGGGCGTCGTACTCCTTTCCGAGTCGGCGCAGGAACTCGAGCAGGACCACCATCAGAATCACGCCAATGCATGTTGCGGCAAACATGCCGTTGTTGGTAATGTGCCATGATGTGGAAAGGAAGCAGGCGTCAATTGTGTACCAGTTCCATAACATCTGAGCAGGTCGGTCAGCGAATGTGGCCAAAATAAGGGGCGTTCTGAGAGGAAAATCCCGAGTGCTCTCATACTTACAGAAATTTGGCAGTCAGAACTGCTCGAATCACTGCTCATATCCATTTTGGCTGGTAGTTTGCGCAAAGCTGAATAAATTGAGATTTCTTTGATGTTTGTTGCTGTTTTGACTGAATTCCACGTCGGAATTTCCTGGAGTCGTGGTTTTGGAATGTTCAGACTCAGTTGAACGTTGGGGGATTTGCGTCCAGTCTGTGAGCACCTTTGTTGTCGGGTTTTCCGGTATCAATAGCTGGATTTTGTGGTTTGTGCCGACTACCCAGAATTCACGCAATCGAGATGTTGCGAGTGCCAGAGAGCAGAATAGAGCAGAATTCCAACTCTTGGTAAAATGACTTATTGTCTTGGCCTGACGAGTCACTCAATAAATCAGACACCAAGGCCAATTTCTTGCGGTGGGCGTTGTTCTCCTCTTATCAGGAGTCAAATTGACGTATCCAGGATCCCCTCCAAAGTGGAAACCACCCGATCGCGTAACCGGACGGCGGAGATGCTAGAATGGCGGGGGTCTTCTTGGGACTAACTTGGCACTTTTTCGTTAGAGGCAATCCAGCGGCACTTCAGCCTCATAACCTCGTAAGCAGGCAAGTCCACGGATGTCTTGTTCAGTTCTTTTCGTTTTGCGGAGGCAAAAATTAGACTTGTTTCGCACAATCCTGGTCCCCAACTTGGAAACATTTCCAGGGTTGAAGGGCCGTGAACTGCGTCTGATGCCCTTTTAGCGGCTTCGCAAGGTGACAGTGGACAGCGGTTATGGTGAATCTTGCTCGCCAAGCTTCTGCGGCTTCCCCTGGCCGGCCCCGTTTGAGGGTGATTGAGCACGTTTTCCAACTGGGTCCCGTCCCCGCCGACCCGCACGGCGAGGGCTTGGCGAGCAAGTTTCCACTGCTTCTCGGAGCCTCTCACAGCATCTTCAGAACATCTCGCCTCGGCGCCGGCGCCCCAGAACACCTACCTTAATGTAATCTACGCTCCAGATGGCTGGACACTGCAGGGTTCCGAGCTACGGGCTACGGGCTACGGATAGAGAGCCTCCACTGCCTCGTATGTCGTGCGTGGTAATCAATCGTAATGCCGCGTCTAGCAGTGGAGGAGCTCGTCGCTCTTATATCCAGCGATCGCCGTTTCTCTTCTTGCCCATGTTGGCCAGAGTCATGGAACCAGTCGGCCTTTTCTAGTCGCATCCCACATTCTCGGGTCTTGGTTGCTTCACCACACGTTTGTGAAAAGTCGTTTCAACCATTCCATCAGCCCGGCCTCCTCACCTACACTGCCAATCAGGCTGGTCCCGATGGCGACCTTTGAGGAGCGCGTTGTCGCTCGACACATTCAAGACTATTCCAATGCCTCAAGTCTTGAGCCACATTGGGGCTATGCGGACCGAGTTGTCCCGTGTACCAATGATGCTGGCTCGTGCGAGTACCTGGATGAAGTCTACGGAAGTCATGACCGGGGCATGCTCTACTCGGGCATCTTGTGGTGCACCCTCGGCGGCATCCTGTTTTCGTGGGCCATAGCTCGGAAGCTCTGGCCCACAACCCGGGCTGATGAGGTGGTCGACCTCGATAATGAGAAGGCGTTGACACACCCGGGCCGCATCTCACGGATACGGCGGACTATCGGTACCGGCGTAAGATCTTACTTATTACCCGACTCTGTACGGGCCGTCTTTGGCAGAACAACCCGACTTCAAGTCGTCATTCTAGCCGCCTTGGCCAGCTACCTGTTGATCTGGAGCTTTGTGGGAATCAAGTACAAGACTTGGATGACTCCCGTCAAGAGCAGCCCCGGCCTATACAACCAGCGTTCCAGCTTGGGTCCTTTTGTGGACCGCATTGGTATCCTGGCCTATGCCCTCACACCACTTTCTATTTTGCTCGCGAGCAGAGAGTCGCTTCTATCCCTCCTGACAGGCGTTCCATACCAGAGCTTCAACTTTCTCCACAGGTGGCTCGGTTACATCATCGTCATACAGGGCGTCGTTCATACTATTGGCTGGACCGTCATTGAGTGCAAATTCTATCAGCCGCAACCAACCACAGCGATAGAATGGATCACCCAGACCTACATGATCTGGGGCATCGTGGCCATGATCCTATTACTCTTGCTATTTGTGCTGAGTACACCATGGGCCATACGAGTGACTGGCTACGAGTTCTTCCGCAAGGCTCACTACGTCCTGGCCATGCTATACATTGGAGCTTGCTGGGGCCACTGGGAGCAGCTCAAGTGCTTCCTGCTCCCCTCGCTCTTGCTATGGTTTGTCGATCGAGGTGCGCGATTGTTTCGAACCGCCATGATTCATTACCAGTTTCTGCCCAACGGCGCAATGGGTTTCAGGGCTGCCCAAGCAACTTTGACTCATTTCCCTGATGCGGAAAACGGTGACATTGTGCGCATGGACTTTGCACACAACCACGAAGCATGGAATATTGGTCAACACTTCTACCTCTGCTTTAGTGAAAGCAGCATCTGGCAGTCACACCCTTTTACACCTCTTAATCTACCTATCGTCAAGAATGGTGTTGTGAACCACTCATACATTCTCCGGGCCAAGAAAGGCGAGACCAAGAAGATTACAGATTTGACCTTGAAGAAGCTCTCGGAGAAGGGCCCAGCAACGACGCCTGTCATCTTGACTGGTCCATATGGCGAGTCCATTGCGGAAACATTGACTCCTGATGTCAATGTCCTCTGCATCGCCGGTGGCACAGGTATCACCTATGTTCTCCCTGTGTTACTTCGACTTATTCAGGAGCCGGCATCAAGAGATCGCAAGATTGAGCTCATCTGGGCCGTGAGGAGGAAAGAAGATATCAAGTGGGTTGAGCAAGAGCTGGAAATCATCCGGAAAGCCAGCAAATCACACCGAGTCAAAGTACACATTTATGTGACACGAGAGCACAGCCCTTCGCCGTCACTTCACGATGGAAAGACTGGAAGTGCCAAGGGTGCCGTGAAAGAGATTGCTTCCGATTCCTCATCAGCGGCTTCATCGCGGAGCAACTCATCTTATGCTGTGCAGAGGATAGGGGACGAAAACGAGCACAACACCCACCCGAACCTCAAGGAGAAGGTCAGCGAGTTCGTAGATAATACGGTGCGCGGCCGAACCACGGTTTATGCAAGTGGTCCGGGAGGTATGATCAGCGACTTGAGGGCCATAGTAGCCAGTTGCAATTCAGCAGGCAAGGTCTGGAGGGGCAACGAGCGCTATGACGTGGAGCTGGTTTGCGATGATAGATTAGAGTGGTAAACCACTGCCACGTAACGATTGAACGAAATGAATATACCCCGAGCATTGAGAGTGTTGCACATCACTATTTCTGTCCCTTTATCGCTGACAATATCATGATGCTTGATCGCAGGAGGTGAGCAGTTTCGAGCTATCTTTATGCACCAAATCAAGAAATCGTTGATCTAGTTTCAAATTTTGTTTTATCCTAGACAAAGTTGGCAGCAGACACCTGACTGGACCTCGAAGCTACTGTGCCTACTTCCGCCGTGTCCTGTTCTTGTCCTGCTTCGGTCTTCTCTCCGAGTTCCTCGTTCGTATCCAGATCCAGCCTGGCGTACATCTCAACCACATTGGTGACTCTCCTCATCTCGGCCGGAGCTCGCATGCACTGCCCGTGACCCCTGTCGTGCAAGTAGATGAGCTCGAGCTCGGCCCGGCCGGTCCACAGCTCAGGCGTCTTGCGCAACTCCTCCGCGTCCGCCGACGTAATGTAGCCCGCGTCGCTATAGTAGACGTAACCCGCCACGGCATTGGCGTTGATGATGCAGTCGCGCCCCGCGACCACGGCCGTCGTCCGGCGCCCCACGAGGTTCTCGCGCAAGAGGGTGTGTTCGGGCCAGTGCATCCGGCGCGCCAGAGTATGGGCGACCCCCGGATCCAGAGCGGCGAGCGCGCGCGCCTGGAGTTCGGGCGCAGTCTGGGGCGTCCGCCGCGTCAGGTTGTAGACTGCGTCTGGGAGATGGGCTAGCAGCGCCACGGGATCACACAGCACCAGCGAGTCGACCTTGGCCGCGAGGGCCGGATCGTCCAGCAGTGGCCGTGCCAGCAACGTGCCGTACGAGTCGCCAACAAGGACAAAGTCGTCAATGCCCTGCTGCGATAGAATCTCCGTCATGGCTTTTTGAAAGTCTGCTGGCGCCACGGCTTCGGGGCAGATGCGCATCGATACCGGTAGCATCTCGAGCGCAAGGATACCAATATCCTTGGGGATGGTGTCGAGCCAGGCGACATAAGGCGACAGGCCCAGGCCGACGCCATGGAAGAAGACCATAGGTCGATGTGTCTTGGACGTGTGTGGCCTGTAGAAATAGCTAAAGTGCGGCGAGGCTGACCTCCTAGCCGCGAATAATGTCATTAGCCGTAAGGGAAAGACTCTGAAGAAGGACGATCGTGGTTGTGCGTAAAAGTTGAAGCCCTTCATCATGAGACGTGCCACCGTGATAATATCCACCACGCCTATGACAATGTAGAAGAATATCGACCTGTGCGAAACTTGGACTGGGTCCAAGTGAAGCCGGATTGGTTTTGCGCCTGCGCGACCTCGAAGCAGTGTCAAGTTGGCTTTCTGTTCAATGAGCTCAATGTATTCCTCCAGCTCGTCTGCATCAACGCCCACATCTGTATCTGTCGCCCATAGGTATGATAGCAACCAATCTTTGATATCATCCCGATCTGATGATCAGACATTACTATTAGTCCTGTATGTTCATCTTTATTGTTTTAGGAGCAAGGATATTTATTCCCAGTCGGAACTTACAGATTTCGTCTAAATGCGCATTGCCCAACCATTTCCGAATGAATAATCGCGCATCGGATACTTGGTCCAAAGATACCTCAAACAAAGCCTTGCGTTGAGGTCGTGTGGTCATCACCATAGGCCGACCTGGTTTCTGTACCCGGGCTTTAAAGGGCAGAAACCAGAGGAGATACCACAGAATCTCAATGGCTCCATAGCTCTCGACTAGTATTGAGAATGGAAGCGATATAGCCCGTACGCCGCCAATAAATAATGCAGAGAGGAAGTATAGAAAACATGCTAAGCCGACGTATCCAGCGCCATACTTGGTGGCTACAACAAGAGCATAGTTGACGGGCGTCTGGTTGACCAACATCTTGCCGGCTCCTGCACCTATCGATGACTGATGATTTTCTTTCAGCGTGGAAAATCCATTTGACATGCAAAACGTATAGGAAAATAAGCTTTGCCCTTCCCTATACCCTGCAGGATTCTGGACGATGCTTGGGTTTTGAACCAAAGGGTATTGGCTGTATGAGCCTACCTGCTACAAGAGTGTCGAACCAGTTGTAGAATTCCATGGGCCGAGATCTTCCGGTTGACATTTTCGAAACCAGACAGTATGTTGGTGTGACCGGTTCACTTTAATTTGGCCGACAAATTTGACCCAAGGCCGGTGCTTCAAACCGAATTGTTAATGCGACCCACCGTCATAGTCGTCTCCTGTCGCAAGTCTGGCTGAAGTTGCCCTTCGCGATAACCCTGCATCCAGACGAGAACCAGTCCTAGGATATGGACATTTGCAATTGTATTCCACTAAACAATGGAATAAATTATAACATATTTTATTCATCATGCAATTTTTGTGTCTAGTAACTCTATTTGCACTCGCAATGCATTATTTTGTCTTTGCCGGGTACATGACTTTTTGAGATGACCGCGTTCCAGGATCGTGTCTTCCCGTTCTGATACTCCAAAACTCCTCAAGCGCCGTTTCATTCTTGCACTGCCCAGTTTCGCCCAATACGCTCGCTCTCCTTGCCACCAAAAAAGAAAAACCATGAATCCGAATACCAATTTGAATGATGCCTCTTAATTCAACATGTCAACAATCAACTTCTTTCCGGCCATGTCGCCGCGCTTGAGCCTGTCAAGGCCCTTTTCCACCACATCCAGGCCGCCGCTGAGCACCTCAATCTCCGGGAGCCGAATCTCGCCAGCCTCGACCAACCGGGTGAGCTGGTCCGAGTAGACGGCCGAGGCGGGGTTGAGGACAAACTGCTTCATCTCCACATTGAGCACCTCGATATTGTCTGCCACCTCGACCTTGGGCGCCCAGGCCAGCGGAGCAAAGCGCGCGGATCGCGTCGCCGACAGGCACCGCAGCGTCGCGAGCGCCGTCTTGGCGCCCACGAGGTCGACGCCCATGGTCACGTCGTCGCCGGCGTAGCGCTGGACCTCGGCGACAATCTCGTCCTCGGTCTTGCCGTCGCGCGCCACCACGTGCGCGGCTCCCAGGTCCAGGAGCATGGGCGCCGTCTTGGCCGAGCTGACGCAGACGACGCGCAGGCCCGCGCGCCGCGCCAGCTGCGTGAGGAACTGGCCCGTTACCGAGGAGCCGCCCCAGATGAGCAGGGCGGGAGTTGTGGCGGCAGCGTCGACGGGCTTGCACGGGGGCGTGGTGGGCGGCGTCATCATGTCCGAGGTGGCATCGCCGTACGGTAGCGGGACCTCGAACCACCGCCACAGCGTCATGGCGGCCGTGAGCCCGCAGACGCCCAGACAGGCGCCGTCAGTGTAGGACATGGCCTCGGGCATGGCGGAGACGGTGTGCTGCGGCACAATGACGTAGTCCTGGAAGCAGCCGGCGCGGCGATCGCGGTAGTAGGTCGAGGTCCAGACGCGCTGGCCGGGATGGAGATGCGCGACGCCGGCGCCAACCTCTTCCACGACGCCGGCCATTTCGCGGCCCGTGATCCACGGGAGTTGCGGCAGGCAAAAGTTGTAGTCGACGGACTTGTAGTCAATCTGGTTCAGGCCGACTGCACAGGTGCGGATCTTGACCTCGTGGTCGGCCAGGTAGGCTGGCGTAGCAAAGTCTTGTCGCAGCTCGTATTTCCTCTCATGGTTCACGACGAGTGCCCTTTGTGTGAATGTGGTTGGTTGCAATTCTGTAATTGTGACTGCGGCTTGTTCCTTGCTGGGAAGCTCTGAGACAAGGGCTGGTTGCACCAGCTGTGTGGCTGTGGCTGCCATCTTTCCCAGGTGCTCTATCCGACAGACAGTGTACTAATCGTTGATCGTGGTCAAGCAAAGAGTTGCAATGGCGGTAATTGATGGTGTGTTGCAATGAACTTTTGCTCCTGTAGGTGTAGGGGAAATTGCTCTAATTTGATATAACAACCATTCCTAAAACTCGACAGGGCTGCTTGGGCGAATATGTATTCGCTGGCGACGGTAAACGTCATGATCTCCTTTGAGGCGGCAATGCACTATTTCGCCTCTTAGCCCCGGTTACCGGGCAGCATTATCGACGGCAATTCATGGGCACGTGGAACCGTGTTCCGAACCGTATTGTGATCATCTTTATCGGAACTTGAGTTCGGATCCGTCCGAGTGGCTTTTCTTGGTGTTTTCAGAATAGATTGACGCTCTCAAAACTAATTGCCTACACACAACTATATGTCACGCTGTTTACGAGAATCTGGGGGCGATATGGAAAATGATCGGAAATAAACAAATCTTTGCAATCGGAAATAAAAAATTGGTCACACTGATCAGATCAGCATTCTTGGATTTATCGCATGCCCATTAATCTGTTCATTGTTGGCCATCTACACTATGCCAACGGGATCTTGCTCACCTCCCGATAGCGTAGGTGGGCATTTCGGATCATCCGATGGGGCCTCCGACTTGGCACCCATTATCTCTGAGATCTAGAGCACTCAAGGCACTATAGAATCCCCAACACACTAGCGTGATAAGCGGGACATCTAACTCAATCTGTCGGGTAACTACCGTTTCCTAAATTACTTGCAGAGCTGCCACGTTGAATGATGAACCGGGAGTTCGGGTCGCATGTCTGTGCCGATGGCATGGAGGCAACGAAAAGAAAGCAAGGGCTCACCACGGAATTTGCCATGTCAAGTTGAGCTAACTCAAGGTCTGGACTCTGAACCGCAAGGAAAGTTCCATTGAAGGAATGCTTAAAGTCGAATGGCTTCTTGCATTTCATGTTATGTTGGTGGGATCGACAACCATTGCAGAGTAGAAAACGAGCTGCTGATGATATGGCACGTTGCGATACAACTACATACCTCACATCCCTATATACTTCAATCAGTTGGACAAGAACATGATGGCTCGTAGTGCTTTGATCTGTCGATTTAAAAGTACAAAATTAAGCCGATTGACTCGTGATATGGAGTATGGGGGACAACTCAGAAGGCTGACTAGCGTTTGGTTAGCGATCACATAAAGCTATATAGCTTATCTCGGGCTGACAAAGCATGTCAAGACTGATAGGTAACTTACATGCTTGGATAGACAGGCGGCTTCGCCATTAGCCGCACTCTTCTCCATGCAATTCATGGTGCAGCCGTGTTGAACTATGGGGTCTGGCAAAGACCTTGCAATGTGGAATTGCACCCTACATTGTCTCGCCAAAGTCAGAATCAACTACCGGCATTGTGCATCATCCAACTATGAGTCTGTTTTGCACCCTGGGTGAGACAAGTGCGGGCTGAAAGTTTAGAGAGACATGAAGTGTATTAATCATTTGCGCGAATGCATGTCGTCCGGGAATGATTATACTTTGATAGTCCACGTGGTTACTTGGTTCTAAACTCCGCACAGCCAACATACGGGACGTTTCTAAATGAGTACCAATGTGAGGTGTATTTCTATAATCGGCGTACCAAAGTCCATTTTGATGTATGCTCTTTCTGATGGCTTATATAGAAACATAAGATGGATGTCTGGAAGGGTGTTTTTGATTGAGACTAATTCATTTACCGCATTAACTTCAAAGCGTAGGGCTTTTGAACGAACAGAAGCTGAGTCTTCTCTCCGTGTTGCGTTCATGACAGCGGCGATTTGCACAATGAATAACGTTATACTTAATCAACCCCTCTGTTTATCTGCGATGCAAAACTCTTCATGCCACACAATCTTTTCACAAGTGAATATCAATCAAATTCAAACAGGTACTCAAAACCATTGAAATTTATTGTGGCTATGTGACTAGGGAAACTTCATCTATGAAAACAGCCGCAAGAGCATAAGATGACTAGCATGATACAAACTTTAAGTTTTGATGCACATTGTATCGAACGGATAGTCCCGCAGGAAACTTACATATGCAGGATCCACAATCCACGATTTGCATTGTGCCTCGCAGAATGGCTTAGGAGGAGTGCCGCGTTGCAGGCGGAAATAAAGAGCAAATTGTCATGAGCATCTTTGGACATAAATAGGACGTTGGTCCAGAGGCTTAGAGAAATCCCATCAAAGAGAAAGAATCATCAGCATATACCTGACTATTTGATCTGCAACCTATAATCAGCAAAGATGCCGGCTACGTACCCAATCCAAGGAATACCCGTTCCTGCCGGGTACACGTCTCCTCCCCTGAGACTCGAAATCAACGAACTTGCGGACAGTACCGACGCAAAGCTTACAAAGCAATTCTCCCTCTTTGTTCGCGCCCTTCGGGTGTTCGAAGAGAAGGCTGTTGACGATCCTCTTGGGTACTATCAGATTGCCGGTAAGCTATTCTGCAGTACCTTGACCACAAGTAACAACTGATTACTCATATCATACAGGTATCCATAGTGAGCCCCGAGTTCCCTGGGATGGCGAGTCACCAGCCCCAGGAAAGGAATTCTGTGCTCATGATCAGGTCACGTTCCCTACGTGGCACCGCCCATACATGCTGCTGTTTGAGGTGAGATTCCTAAGCAGTTGACATCTGTAAAGTCGCACTCATTAACATCTAGAAAGCAAAGGCTATGGGAGATCATGAAGAAGGAGGTTCTGCAGAAGATGGATTTCTCCAAGTCGGCTAATGCCAAAGACAAGTGGATCGAGGCTGCTGATAGCTGGCGACTTCCATACTGGGATTGGGCTCTCAGGCAACCATATTCCGACGAGGCAGGCTTGCCGTGGGTCTTTACAGATGAACAGCTTTGTATCGAAGCTCCTGGTGGTCGTCAGGAGAATGTCCCCAATCCCTTGTGGCTTTTCTTGAACCCCATGAAGGATGGTAGTGGTACACCCGTGGCCTTTGGGGACCCAAAAATGGGCAATAATGCCTGGAAGCTGAGCGCTGATTCCATTCCTGTAAGTGAGATTTGGCGCCTTTTATTTGAACTAGAACTCTAACAATTGCAGTGGGATTTGAGCAGCGGTATTAGCCGCTACGGCATGGTGATGGATGCTGGAGGAAAATGGTCAGGGCTCCAAGGAGTCAACAACTGGGAAGCAGTAAATGACAACATGGCTGATCCTTACTGGTACTCGATTGCCGGTGGCCAATTCCGCGAGGCAGTCAGTCGAATGTTCAGCCCAGGTTATCTACAGACATGGAGCGACTTTGCCACGGTTCGCAAGGACGTCGATAAGAAAGTCCGCTTCTTGTCCCTAGAGTATATCCACAACAACGTTCATGTAAGTCTTTCTCGCCATACTGGTGCCCTCTTTGTCGCACATGACTTACTAACGGCACTCAGAATGACTCTGGAGGTTTTATTCCCCAGAATGGCGTCGGACATCACTCGGATGTGCCCGTAGCAGCCTTCGATCCTCTGTTCTGGATGCATCATTGGTACGTTGAAACCCAAACATCACGAGCACCTTGGCCGGGATTCAACTGATAATTTTCAGCAATATTGATCGTTTATTGGCCATTTGGCAGAAGCTGAATCCCAAACTCTGGTTCGATCACCCAGAGCCTGGTGATAACAAGCCCACTGATCCTCTTTTGCCCTTCCACAAGGACACCTCTGGTGGTCTCCATACGAGCGACTCAGTGAGGGACCACACTGCTCTCGGCTATGATTACGCCGAATGCGTTCCAAAGAAACAGGCCAGAAATACCAATGGGAGTCTGAACCAGGAAGAGTACGCCAAGCAGATCCGCGCTTCCATCATGAAGTTGTATCCGAGTACCGCATCGATTGCCATTGACAATATCCAACTTCCCGGACTTGCAAAGACCGAAGACCAGAAGACTTTCCATGACTATGTCATCAACATCATCTATGACCGATATGCCCTCGGTGGCACCAGCTATGCCATCAATTTCTACCTGGGTGAAGGTGTAGGAATTGACACTCGATCGGCCAATCGAGAGAATCTTTGTGGCAAGGTCTATACCTTTTCCAACGATCCGCGTCGATGCACAAGCTGTTCCCAGAACAGCAGCAGCGGCAAGCTGAGCACGGCCCAGATCATTCTGACATCCACATTGGGCCAGCGTTTCAAGCGCGACATCATGTACATGATCCGCAGGAGTGCGCCCCGAGGCGCCGACGGCACCATGCTTGGTTTAGGTCCCGAAGAAGTAGAGCACTACCTCAAGAAGAACTTGCGATGGGAGTACGTTGATGCGAGGGGACAGGTTCGTCCTGCTACGGACTTTCCTAGAACCAAGGTTGTTGTGCTTCAAGGACAAGGCAATATTCCTACGGGCCGCAGCGGTGAAATGAGCTCATATGATGGATACAAGCCAATAATCGGTGCCACTTCAGGCAAGGCAGGCGGCGTTGGCGAGAACGATCCCGAGTATGGAAGAAACGCGTCATTCTAAGGGCTGACATGAGTCAATGGGTCGAGAGGCTTCATTGCTGATAGTATTACCCTTTTCAAATAGTTATTACAGAACGATCCACTACGCTATGAATAGTGTCGGCATCAGAAGTGATGATACGAGCGCTACATCAGAGAAGCACAGTAATCTAGCTTTTGAAAATGCCCGATCAATGAATATGTAGCGGGACCAATTGTCAGCTATAGAGTTAGGCGAGCGACCCTCCCTGCCTCACCCGATGCCCAGCAGACACGTCCGTCAACACATTCGACGCTATCGAATGAACCAGAATCGAATCCCTTCCAAGTTTTCCCTTTATCAAAGCTGACATCGGATCCAGTTGGCCCAACAGCAACAGCCACGCCGCACAAGCCCGGGACCCAACTAGATCCGGAGCGGTAACCACCCGGAAACTTTTCTGACGAGATCCAGGTGGCCCCACCATCATCGGACCATGCCGAGATCTTGTTTGTGATGTTTGGGCTCTCGTAGTCGCCACCAACGGCGATACCATGCACCGCATCCTTGAAGGCCACCGAGAACACACCGGCGGCAGCACCTCCGGCAATGGAGCTGTTTGACACGTCCCAAGAGTGACCATCCACGCTGCGAAAGATTCTACCGGGATCGACGCCCCCAGAGGCAAGATACCACCTGCCAGCCGCCGTTGATAGACATGTGCCGCTCCCAGCAAAACCAAACTCCCCATCCAATGCTTCTGGCATGCCGCTGTCATCGACGATAGCCCAAGATTGACCTGCATCCAGCGTCTCCAGAAGCCTGAATTTGCCGTCGACGGGATCGCTCATGGCCAGACCGTGCTGCGGGGTATCGAATGCCAGACAGTCGTAAAAGGCTGCAGCGTCATCATTGACAAATGGCACCGCCCACGTCTCTCCTCCATCTCGGGTCGAGTAGATGCGAGATTGATTGCCCTCGCTAATGGACAGCGCAATCGCCTCGGTCGCCGACCACGCCTGTATGTCGCGAAACTGGAGCTCTGCGTCCTCTGGAGCCAGTGCGGGGCCAACCGAGTCCCAGGTCTGACCCGCGTTGAGAGTGACCAATATTGTGCCATTGGTTCCAGCAATCCAGGCAATATCACCCGAAACGGGCGATAGACCGCGGAAGCGTTGTGTGCTGCCAGTGGCCGAGACCTGCCAGGTCAAATTTCGGGAGCCATTTGCTGCGTAGGCTGGCGGTATTCGAGGTGGCGATCCATTGACCAGGCAGAAGGCCGTTGTCAGTAATAGAAATGGCGTGTGTAATGCCCTCATTGCCCTACGATTTTGAGTTGAAATCTCGGAAAACTACGCAAACTTGGTTCAAAACACTGAACCTGCACTTACGGCCTCGTCTTTATTCTTTTTTGTTTACATGCTTACTGGAGTCAGGGATCAATATGATCGCCTAGGGCCCATTCTGTCTGTCCTTGCCACTTTAGGCAGGTGCTAAGACATCCGCTGTGATTGAGCTTAACCTGGCCCAGGGATCGAACCAAGTACATAGTATGATCAAGAGGCTTTTATACAGTTGGTAAATCCAGAAGGCCATAAGAATTCCATCAAGTGCCATCGTCCATTTTGTTTGGTGCCGATGAGGAAATGGTCACCATTTCTGACGATGTGATTGAGATGATGTATTACGCCCGAGTGGTGTATCACCAGAAAGTGATGCGACCAGCACCCAACATTCAGAGTAAAGATTCAATATGGTATATATTAACGAAAAGAATGTGTGAACAGTCAGACTCGATAAGCCCGTTGGAAGGGTGCCACGTTCCACAGCCATAATGTGGCGCACCAGAAAATTTATTTCTTCTTTATATAGTATAAAATATTCTACATTACCTGTTACTCTTCTAAAATAGAGTTGGGACAGCGAGAGAAGTAAAATAATTAGTGCACCACGAGATCACAAATGCTTGAGACAAAAGGCGACACAAAAGAGGAGATGCTTTTGAATGTGGTGGCGCTGCAGAGGCACCATGGTAGGTGCGGGGTGCATGGCCAGCAAACCTTGCGGCTGAATCCTCAGACATCCCGACCACGATATGATCGTGTTCCTTTGCGAATTGAATGACTCTTTCCGCCGACGCTGGTGCTTGCGCCTACGCTCCTTCTGCAACCAGCATCAACGACGAGGTTCGCAGATATTGCGACCTGAGTGTGAGGAACATCCACGTAAGCATCGGAAACTCGAGTATCAAGGCACCGTCGCGCCTAAAACGATTGCCCAGAACAATGTTTCAATTGCGGCACTCGGAGGTTGCGCACAAGAGTCTCTGGGAGCCGCTTCCGGGATGCCTCGGGTATGTAGAGGCTATTGACAGAAGTGATCTAGGTGAAAGGCCCAATTGTTTCTTGTCGTCTTACCTCTCACAATGATTTTACTCAGCAACGATGTTATCAATCTTAATACTGCCTGGAAACCAATGCTAAGAATTGCGCAGATGGAAAATCATTCGTCCAAAAGGCCTTCTTACAAGACTCAGAGATTCAAGATTGGCTGGGGCATGAGGGCAAATTTGCGCTGTCACACAAAAGGCAAGGTGCCAGACCTCGTGTTCCTCTTCGCCTTTTACTCTGCCAGCGAAAATTCTGGAACCCTTTGGACTTTCCACTGTCTCTAGATTCCTTTGAAACGGTACGATCAGCCTTCAAACTTGGCCATCAGGTACTTGCAGCGTTCGTCCAAAACAATGGCCAATTCCATATCACTACAATAAAAGCGCCAGGAGGCCATGAAAAGCTCCAATCGATCGGTAGATCAATCATTAATGTAACCGCTGATCGAAGGCTTTGCTAACGCTACCGTGCAGATATTACCATCAAACTGCCCCAGATGCATCAACTTGGCAATTGCGGCCTCGCGTTGACGCACTTATTTCGTCAAGAAGCTACGAGAGCAATTATGCACGGATGGAACATATACGCAGATGTCAACGCGGGCGATGAGAGGACGAGAGTGACCCCACATGTTGAAGGCTTCACCAATTCAATCCAGTCGGCGTTTCCATCCTGGCCACATCCATTACTTCTTCCAGTCATATTGCTCAATGAGCACATATCCAGGGGCGAAGCGCTCAGAGACCAGATAATCGAGACTCTTCAGGATATATCGGGGACTCTCGGGGTCACGGCTTCAGGGCGACTCATCAACATGGAGATTACCGACTTTAAGCGCATTCGAGAGCTCATGATACACCCTCAAGAGCGAATCACTCTGACTGCTAGAATCAATACTACCATAACCAATGCCATCAATTGCTTGGATGTGCTGCGATGGAATGCGCGATGCCGAGAGCGTATTGCAGCATGTTTCCAGGAGATAGAGTCATCGCTTACAGAGAACGCAAAGAATGGCCACAAAGAATTGCTGGACTACTTTGCTTTCATGGATGTACAAGCCACTGAATTGTCAGATTTTGTAGAGTCACTCAAGCTGAGACTTGAGCTGCAATTGAGTGTGGTAAGTACACAATCGAGTACAACGAGGTCTGTAATAGATGATTCCTAACGTTGAACTTGTAATAGTTGAATAATCTTGTCGCCCAAGTCGACAATGATGTCAACTATGACATGGCTAGGCTGAGCGTCAAGATTGCGCAGGCTACCGGGTTGGACAGTACGGCAATGAAGACCCTTGCCATTGTGACAGCCGTCTTTCTCCCGCCGACATTTATAGCCGTGAGTGCTTCGCATGAAATTTGCAGCTGGGAAATTCACTAATTAGCCCTCTCAGACTCTCTTTAGTATGTCAATGTTTGACTGGAGCTCGTCCGAGTCTACCGACAGCGACTCACCCCAAGTTGTCGCATCGACGTTTTGGATTTATTGGGCGGTCAGCGTACCGTTGACACTACTGATCCTTGTGGCCTTTAGACTCTGGTGGCGCCGACAGAAAGATCGCTACGCCGAAATGTACGGCATGGATAACATTAGGGTGGAATCTACTGATACCGATGCCTCATACATGAGGCCACATTACCACAAGTACCAAAACGGCCTAGTTGGTCCTCACAAGTATACAGTTCGTCCTCATAGGTATACGATACGGCAAAATTCGGATTAGATAACTGGATGAATATTTACTTTGCGACACAAGTACTCACCCATCTCCGATTTGAGACCTTGGGCGACAAATCACCACCTGTACAAGGCATATATGATCTATTCCCCAGAGCTGGTTTTGTCTAATATGTGTGTAAGTGACACTCGAGCCGTTAGTAGTTACCTCTGACACATGTGACATCTTCCGACTCGGACCAGCGGGCCATCACCGGGTCTAGCACGGAAAGTTTCCGGAATGGCATGTTAGAGCGGGTCACAGGCGTCAGACCTTACACCTTGAAGCAAGGATTGAATGGATATCACAACGATTGATTTCAGCAAGATCGGAGGCCAGTTCGGGGCTATTCCGGAGTCCTGCTGGCTTGTTCTATGCTTGCACTTTCTCCGCACAGCTGTTGTGATGGAGTTACCCCAGATATCCTGAGCCTCGATAGCCGTGGGAATCTGGGGTAGTTGTGGGGTTTGGGGAGACGGAGGATTGTTCGCACAATGTATAAATCACGTTCATGCTTCCTTGATCGAGGTGACAAGCTTTGTATGATGCTTGGCGCTCGACAGTGACAACCTTGCCCGCCAATATCTCTCTTCAATATGCCAGACACCAAGGAGATTGTGTTGGACGAGATCGAGGCCGCAAGAGAAGGTGATCAGAAGAATGAATCAGAACCCACTGATGAGTATTCTGGGTTGGGCCCAGATGGCGCAGATTTCATGCGCGGTTATGGAATTTCCAATCAGAAGCGAATCACACGAAAGGTTAGTGTACAACAAGAACTCTGGATCATTGTCAGAGTCGTTGATTCTGACGTATGTGTGGTAACAGATTGACTGCCGACTCCTGCCTGTTATGGGACTGCTCTACCTGCTAGCACACATTGACAGAGGCAATATAGGCAATGCCAAGATTGAAGGCATGGACAAGGCAATTGGCCTCGTAGGAAATCAATACAATATTGCGACCACAATCTTCTTTGTCCCATATATCATTTTCGGTGAGTTTGGTCAATCAGCATGTTACTCGAAATCCATTAGCTAAACTCCAACGCATGCCAGAAATACCATCCAACATCATCATCAAGAAGATCCGACCGAGCTATTGGCTCTCCTTTCTCATGGTGGCCTGGGGAATAGTGATGGCTTGCATGGGGGTAGTAAACAACTTTGGAGAAATGGTGGCTCTGCGAGTATTGCTTGGACTATTCGAGGTATTTTCAGTCGCTCAACGTGGAAATCATGATACTAATTTCTCCCACTCACAGGCTGGCTTCTTTCCTGGCGCCGTCTTTCTCGTCGGACAGTGGTATCCGAGGCATGAGCTTCAGCAGCGCCTGGCGCTGTTTTACACGGCTTCAGCATTCTCGGGCGCACTAAGCGGACTATTGGCCTTTGGAATCGCCGAAATGAATGGACTGCGCCGTGTCCCAGGGTGGAGATGGATATTCCTTATCGAGGGTGCCATCACCGTCTTTGTTGGCCTCATCATGTGCTTCTTGATTGCCGACAGCTACGAGCTCTGCAGCTGGCTGAGCGAAGAAGAGAAGCGCGTCGTCAAGCTTCGCTTGCAAATGTCTGGTGTGCAGACTGCGACTCAAGAAGGCGACGAGTTCTCTTGGAGACTCCTCGGGCAGACGATGATCGATTGGAAGATCTGGCTCGGTATCGTCATTGGCTGGGCCAATGCAACCCCCAACGCGGCATTCAAGTTCACCCTGCCGCAAATTATCCAGCAGTTTGGCTTCGACACAAAGACGGCGCAACTTCTTACTATCCCTCCGTACTTTTGTGGTGGTGTTTCGGCGTGGGTAACTGGGCGCCTTGCCGACAAGCACTCATGGCGTATGCCCTTCATCGTTGGACCGCTGATTGTCCTAGCTACTGCATTTGGCATACTCTTTGGTCTGTCAAATGACGTGAAGAGTCACATGCCGGCCATGTATTTCGGTATCATTCTGGCTGAGATTGGATACTATCCTATCCTACCGGGTTCCACGTCCTGGGTAAGCAACAACTTGGCCCCGTCTTGGAAGCGATCAATGGGAGTTGCCTGGCTGCTTGCGGCTGGCAACTTTGGCAGTAAGTTTTAGAAATCCCCAGTGGCAAGAAACACGCATCACTGACTTTTGAGAACAGGCTTTGTCGGAACTAATGTCTTTATCGACAAAGAAGGCCCTCGCTATCCGACAGGGTACGGTACCTCGTTGGGCTTCATCTGCCTTGCAATCATTGCTGCATTTGCCATGGAATTCTTTCTATGGAGAGAGAACAGGGCTAAGAGTAAGGTGTCGGAACGTGAATTTCGACAACTCCATACGCAAGCGCAATTGGATGCAATGGGAGAAAAGAGTCCACTTTTTAGGTACATGCTGTAGGCGATCACCATATCTACGTCAATGCTGTAAACCTACCACTGGTCAGTAATTGGATCCATTTCATGCTTCAACATATTCACTGTAGAAACATTCGGCCGGCAATAAAGACTCGATTTTATAGGCAGTTTAGATTGTCTACTCAATAAGATTTCCTATTCGAATCGCCTATTCGGCTGCGGCCTGCTGCTGCTGCATGGCCGTCACAATGTCTCGCACCGCAGCACTGTCGACAAATTCAACGATCTCCTTGATCAACTTTCCGTCGTCGGTCATCTTGAGCACTATCATGTACTCATTTGCGTACGGCCCAGCGTCTGTCTCGCCCGTAGACCTCAGGTGCAACATGACCTTGCAGGCCACATCGTCCACCAGCATATCTTGTCCTTCAACGAGACTGAGTTTAACGTTTCGGATCATTTTGAATCCAGGAACTATCCAGGCCTGGTATTCAGTATTGCTGCGAGGCGGGCCTTTCCATGGTGGAGGAACGTTGGAAGGATGGATGATCTGCTTGCAGTCGGGCGTGCGCGAAGCTATAATCCCTTCGGCAGTGTTTGTGTTGAATCCGTCAATGTAGCTCTTGGCTGTCTGAATAAGAGTATTTCGGAGCGCAGACATGATCAATCAAGTGAATTGTAACTGGAAATCGTGACGTGGTTTTTTATGTCAATGGAGAGATGGCCGACGACGGACTGTGAAAATCAGATAGAGAAGAAAAAGCATAACCCCCCAACATAGTTTGTGATCTTTTTATAGAATTAGCCGTTATGCATGAGGTCTGTTGGTGCAGACAAACATGACGAATGCATTGGCCCAGCAGAGTAAATCCCACATTTCTCACCGTCAATCTAGGTATGACCAGCCCTAAATGGTCGATTTGTTCTTGATTGATGGTATTTTCTTTTCTAAATTTGAAGAAGGTCTTTTAACAAAGTTGTGTTGTTTGTAATCCCCTCTCCGTCTTGGTGGCCTTTGATCTTATTTCGTTGCTCATAGAGCGGTCCGGGTACCTTGAGCTACCGTAGCCAGCACCTTTTGGTTATGGCTGCTCCTCAATTCGATGTTAACCCGAAGCAGCAGCAAGTTTCCCTTGCTGTTCGTATCGCCAACTCACTACGAAACCTAGATTATGCGCGATGTTGATCTTCATGGCTCCAATTACGGTATCGGACTCGAGACCAGCCGCCAACTGCTTAATATAGGTATCAGTGAATTAACATTGGCTATACGAAACCTGGAGAGGGGCCAAGCTTTTGCCAAAGACCCCGGCCCTGCACAAAGCCTAATGTTATCGAGGTATAGAAACTCGACCTATCCCTCTATGACTCCGTGGTGTCCTTTGCCGAACGTGTCTGGAGGGAGCTTGCGCGGCTTGATATCGCCACCCTCAACGGCGAAGAATTGCGGGTCCAGGGCCATTCAATCAGATATTGATCAAATCTTCGCCTTTGAGCCAGGTAAACCACAAAAATCCGAAGTCAAAAAGGACGGCATGCTTTCCCAGAAAATCCTGAAAGACGCACAAACTAAAGCGGCATTCCGGGCGGCCCCTAAAAAGTGTATTGAAATCCTTGAAACGAACTTCAAAGGCAACACATAAACCTTTTGGACACCTTGGTCGATCCTGTCAAGACCGTCGGCGTGTCCAAGGACCCTACCAAGCAAAGCGTCAACTATTCGTAAGAGATTGTCTTGTTCAAGGGACAGCTTTCAAAATGTGTATAGAATGTGTGTGCCATCGCTCTTTGAAGAAAAGTTCTGGATCCGGACATTCCTTTGAGCATTCCCCACAGGCTGCGTGAGAAGGAGAGATACATATGAAGTAATAGACTGGGGCTGGTGGCCGACTGATGGGATCGAGGCTCTGTTGTCCACGGAGAACGTTCTAGACCATGTGGTAGCGCGAGGGAGAGAGTTTGCTGTCTCCTGAGCTGCTCATTCACCAGGGAGCAATGGAGTTGATCGCAAGTAGCATGATTCATCAGACTGGTTGTTGCCGAGATCTTGGGGTTTTTAGTCTGTTCAGATCCATGGATTTCGTCCCATGGCCCAGTTGTTGTGGTCGTTGGATCTTGCAATGTTACGTAGGAGAGCAGTGGAGTTGCCCGGCAAGTGGGCTTGAGAATTGGATCGATCGGGGGCGGCTGCCTATAGAAACGGTATTCCCGTTGTGTCTTGGGGGCGAGTTCGAGTCATTTCCGTCTCCTTTTGCTCCCATCCCTTTTGAACGCGTCGCTAGAGATGGCGCCGTTGTTTAACAACTGCAGCAACCGCGCGGAAAAAGCAGTTCTTGGACTTGAGGTGGGAAACACGAATGAAGTATTTGTCCGTGCTCAGCACTTGCGAGACGTTGTCTTTCATCTCATCTCTCATCTAATCTCATCTCATCCAAACTCGAGAAAATCCCACATGGTCGCAGTTCGTCCGACCAATTTGGGGCTCATTAGGTGCAAAAGCACAGGCTGGAATGAGGCTCCTTCGCAACGGCTTTCCAGGCCCCCCACAATACCGCTAAACATCTAACCGTTGGGCCGGAATGCGACGCTAGCTAGTTGCCGACGACGCCGTTGCAAGTCGTAGGAACAGTTTGCTCATCTAGAGCGACTCGACTCATACTAGATTGGCTGTGCGAACGCGTTCCAAGGACCAGCCGATGTGGCTTTCGTCACTCTGTAGGAATAGGAGATGCCTAGAAAAATCTGCTAGGGGCCGAATAGGGCCAAGCAAAGAGCGCAAGTTTAGCGGTCATGAAATTGACAAGATTCCAAGGGCGTCTGTTTTCTTTTTAGACGAATGGTCCAATTGCTTGCAATTATCCAGCCCCTATTATTAAAAGTGGCAATTGATGTTGTACAGCATCATGAATTTGCATGAAAATCTAGCTCATCGCAACAGCTCAATTATTACTTTGTATGCGACACGCTATAATTTAAGCTTCAGCAGCTCTCCCGGGCCTAACGAACATGCCCCTGGCTAATGCCATGGAGTAAGGTAGTAGCGAGATTGCTTTGGTAGCCACTGAGCGCCACTGTCAGACGTAGAAACCCGGAATATTTTTCTGGCCAGACCTTTCTAGAATTATGACAGGACTTCCCAGGCCAGGCTCGGAGTAGCATGCCGTCTTTTACGGCCCATGGGCTTGACAACCCGGCACTCGATATGCGGGATCCCCCAATTACATACAAGCTTCGGGGACCAGGGTTCGGCCGAAACACGTTTGCAGGGAATTTTTTAATATCGACAGGATTATGTCGCGAGTTTATGCTTGAACATCGCAAGGAGAAATTGAAAACCCACCACACCCCTCATATACGACTATGTCATTGAAACGCTTGGTAGTGAACAAGTACGTAAACCAAAGTGTTCTGGGTCAGGGTGGATTGAGTAATGGCAAATGCCCTTGTATGAATCATGTTCACGACCCACTTGGTGAGTATGGGGAACAAGAAGAGAAATATATTATACGAGAAGTCCGGCTCTCGAATTGCTCTGATTCTTTGCTCGATATCTCCATCGTCAAAGCTCAATCAGACGCCTGTCACTCTTTCTTACAGCCCAGGGGCTATTACATTCTCTTTTTTACTTTACAGTCTTTTCGACACTTTCGGTCTTGTGCCAGCACATTCCACTCTTTAACAATCGTCCCGGAGACAACTTTACAAAGAAAACTTTTATCAAAATGCGTTTCACTACTGGATTGGCCATTGCCGCTGCTCTGATCGGTGCCGAGGCACGCGTCAGACACGACAGCCGCCCCTACGGCAACCCCAATGAGAGCGGATTCGGTGGATCATGGCCCGGATCCGGCGCCGGCTCATCCTCCGTGGCCGCCACATCTACTCACACGCGCACTGCCACTCACACGGCAGCAGCTTCCACCTCTTTTGTCACCTCGGTCACCAAGGCGTCAGACTCGTACCACTCGTCGTCGTCGACTGGCACCAAGACCAGCTCGACGACCGCCGCCGCCACCACCTCGGCCTCTTCCTCCTCTGGCTCCTTGACCACGGACGAGCAAAACGCCCTCGACGCACACAACAGCGCCCGCAGCGACGTCGGCACCTCGGCGCTGGTCTGGGACGCCGACCTGGCCGCCGAGGCGCAGGAGTGGGCCGAGACCATTGCCTCTCAGGGCTCGCTCACCCACTCGTCCACCTCCAACGAGGGCGAGAACCTGTACATGGGCTACGACTCGACCCCCTACACGAGCGCCGTCGCCGCCTGGGTCTCGGAAAAGGCAGACTACAGCGGCGAGACCATTAGCTCGACAAACTACATGACCTTTGGCCACTACACCCAGGTCGTCTGGAGCACCACCACCAATGTCGGCATGGGTTCTGCCACCAGCTCTGATGGTGCCACCTACGTTGTCGCCCGCTACTCGCCCCCTGGCAACTACATTGGCGAGACTGCTTACTAGAGGTCTGATGCTGCCTGCATCTGTGTACACGGGCACGTTCTAAACCATGCATTTCATGTACAAAGTTTCATCCACTTTCTTTTATTCGATTCTTATAGACACTTGTTGATGTCTATGCTCGATGGCGAGCCTCTTTTTGGGACGGATTCTTGGTTAAAGTTCAGCTAGAAGTAGTACTTTTGGAATAAGACACTCGGTTGAAACACCACATTTTGGTTTCAGTGACTTGTTGATATGTTCCCAAAGTCTTGCTGTGACGCTTCATAATTGATATCCAGACATGATTAGAACCCTTAAAATAACGCAAGAGCGTTGGGTGGACTTGCGACGCCACCGGGCACCTGCATGGTGTGATTTCAGCTGTCTTGTCATGAAATTATACAAACACATATCTCACTCACATTCATTGGGGAACTAGACAAGAAGAAAATATATCGACCGGTAGAGGCGGAAATCTTGGCAAGATCTTCGAGATAGAAGAGTTCGCCAATGGGCATGCCCCAACCAGCCAGCAGCCACTCGTGGAGATGCCACTGTTCCTCGGTGCAAGGCCAGACCTCAAAGGAGCGTGAATCGCCAGCGACCGCCGCGAGTTTCCGATCCCATAGAAACTCGAGCAGCTCGCGGCTCGGCTGGATGCCGATATTGTCCGGCTTCTTGCTCTGATAAAGCTTGTCCAGCTCGTCGCGCTTGTTGTCGTTCATGGTCTCGTACTGTGCCAGGTATCCAAAGCGAATCATGAGTATGTCTCCCGGGCGGAACACGTCGAGGGTCAGGCCCTGGTCTTGGAGCGCCTGGGCGATTTCGCTGAACGGCACCGCGTACGATGTAAAAGCGTCGACAGTCTTGTGGTTTTTCAGTGCCCAGCTGTACCAGTCAATAAAGATGGCGCGACCGGCAATACCCTTGGCGGACACATCTGACAGACAGTGGAATTGTGTTAGGCATTTGATAACTGATCAAGACGGTTGATAGGTACCTACGATGTATACTGTTTGGATGCGAAGAGGTGGCAAAATCTTGCGCAGACCGACCCATGTAGTACAACTTTTCACAACTCAGACTCGGCTCGGATAAAATGCATATGATATTGGCAAAGTTGAATTCTCATGTGCATACTAACCTGTTCTTTCTGATATGCATAATGGCGAAAGCCATCCCACTGTGAACTGCATTGAGAATTAAACGACCACTATCACACCGAGTCTTAGTCAAGCCAAGCCCGAGACGGAATCAAACTTGTATCAACATACCTCATCATCATGAGCATGCTTCAGTGGCGCCTTGTTGATGAGTGTCTGCTCCAGAGTCTTCCTAGGGAACTGGAATTGAGGCTTGGATGCGCCAGCCATTGACCAGCTGAGGTGGTGGTGTGACAGTCAGTAACAACACCAGCCAATCAATAGCAACAACATTTACTGATATATAGACTTGGAGCTAGAAAACGATGGGTGTCAAGACTCACTTCAAGGAGACTCTTTGCCCTGTTTGTATACACTCCTTGGCGGCTTGAGCTACAACATCATCGGTCAGGAGATTCAAGGTGCCAATCTGGTCGTCAGGGCTCCAGAGGCCCCACGCATTGCCGTGAGGGCCATTCTTATCAACGGGCAGGTCGGTGAATTTTGGATACATGATCAAAAGAAACGGTCGACCGCGGCCAGATGAATCATTGATTATATTACAGCTCTGGTGTACATTTTCTATAGAGCAAGCTATATTTCACCGGACCTCCAATTGAGGAGAGCGTTTCGTGCGGAGTGTTGGGGCAGTTGGGGAATAAGCACCCCGCTCGCTGCTCGCGAGCGTATTCATCCCCTCATCGGAAGAATGCCGGAAACGCCTTTAGAGATGGTCTTGTTCATGGTACAGGGTCATGACCTCGGAAAACTTGCCCAAGTCGTAGGGTGAGGTAAAAAGTAAGCTTCGGCCGATTGAAGTGAACTCTCTGTAGAGCTCACTCTTGAACGCATCTATCCAACGCGATATACCACGTCCGGAGGGCGGCCGACGTCCGAGGAAGAACCACAGTCATTTGGCCCGCTGTCGGAACATGGTATGCTTATATGAACGCAAGCGCATCGGTACACACGTTGATGTGAACACGACATTCGGAAGTAATCATACCGACGAGCGTAAAATACATCATTATCAGAACATTATTGCTTTGAGTTGTAGCTAGCGTTGGGTTTCACATATACTGATGGGAGTGGAAGTCTTGTCACAAGATCAAGTTTGGTCACAGGCACGAATTGGTAATTATCAAATGCAGTCAAAGATTATATTCAATTATGCCCGTCCGCGAGCATCATTTCCATGCGCGGGGACAGGTTCCGTTTCGGGGAGAGAATCTGCTTGAAAATCTTGTCCTGGTATGGTGATATCGATTCTGGGTACTCGACATCCACCTTGATCACAAAGTCGGACCGTTGTCCCCCCATGCCTTCGAGAGGCATACCTAGTCCGGGGTAGCATTGTGACCACGACGGCGGCGTCACTTCTGTCCTCTGAACCTGAATGACCTTGCCATCAATCGTGCGAATGACCTTGTTCCAGCCGCACAAGGATTCCAGCAATGAAATCTTGACGGTGGCGACAAGGTCCTGACCTTCCCACTCGAAACGTTTGTGTGATTTCTAGACAACAGTTAGCATATCAAGTATAAATGCTGCGCACCATGATTGACTCACCAATTCCACTGTAAAGTGGATATCTTGGGGAAGACCTTTCATGTCAACACCCACGTCGGGGACCTTGATTAGGTGTCCTGACTGTGCACCAGCTGGGTAGTGAACTTCAATCGTCGACTCGCACAGCTCCAACTCGTTGCGGTCATTTCTTTGAGCTTGGAGTCGTCCCCGAATCCTTTTGGTTTTGAACCCGCCCTTGAATGCCTCCTCTAGTGTGAGGGACAGAGTCCGCGAGATGATGCGTCTCTTGGGAGATGGGGACGGAAGCGGACGCACTGCCTTTGGTGTCTCGTCAGGGACTGGGAGGTCTGGCGGTGGCATCTCATTTTCGGGCGTTTGAGGAAAATCACCCGTCGGAGTAGAAGAACGACTAAAGTCTAGCACGAAAGCATCAAGCTCATCCATCAAGCTCTCGATACCGGCATCACTGTTTGAGCGGACTGCCGGGCTGGTGACGCCTAGACATGCGTCACTGCCGTGTGGGAGCCAAGATGGGGTTTCTGGAATATCGGGCGTGGTCATCCGAGAACTTGGGCTCGAAAACTCGTCAAAGACGCTTTCCGCAACAGAGCTTACGATCTCGGATGGGGGAACTTCAGAAACACTTGAAGGAGGACCGCGCATGCCGCCAAAGCTCCACATGTCTGGGTAAGGATTTGACCACGAGGCATCTCGAGCGCTACTTATCAACGGAGAGGCTGCCAAGTATTGCGGCGACGATGAGGAGCTTGCTGTCCTGGTAAAGGCTGCTGTGGGAGACCAGGGAGTCATGGAGCTGGTTCTCTTATTCTTGGAGGCAGATGCCTGGAACTCCTGATCGGATGTCCCGAGCCATGAGGTGATGTACTCTTGGATGGAGTCACGATTGGAAGCCACATCATCTTCAGTCACACGATCTCCGACCAGCTCCTTTTCGAGTTCTTCCCAGCCCTTTTGGACATCCAAGACGGCAACATCTTTCTGGCCCAACTCGACCTGACGATGCAAGTCGTCTAGCCTCGCGCGGATATCATTAAGGACGACGGCGCTGGTCTCTGAAGCCTGCTCCAGTCTCCCAAGCGACGAGGTGTTGATATGAGTAAGAAATAAGTTCAAGCCGTCGGTGTGTTGCGACAGCTTGAGGCGGATTTGTGAAATTGGTTTGATGCCAAACCTGAGCCGATCTCTGAAGCGCGGCTTTGCTGAGTGGAGCGACCTGTATTGTAGCAGGTATCGCTCCAGGTCACCTAGATCGGTGTTGCAATCCTCAATTAAATTGGTGAGTTGTTGTCTCTTGGATTTGCCGGCCTTGTGTATGGCCGATGTTGGCTCATTCAACTCATTTCCAACATCTTGTAGTAATGATTGTAGTGTGCGGACTGATGATGTTCGTGTTAGTCATGGAACACGATATGCGTTGAGACTCTTCTCTCACCTTCTGTAGAGAGCGACTTGTATTCATCCCCAGCACTTTCGCCTATATTTTGCCGTCGATCATTAGCATTTTGTGCAAGCAACTGGTGGTGGACAGACCAGCAACAGGCCTGTGAAAATGGTGGACCTACAAGCCTTGTACAGTTTCCACGCCAATGTCGCTACGGCAATGACGTCCCCCGCACTCCACCCAAAAGAAGCCATGCTTAATACGTATAATTCCGCACAATCCTGTCCTATTATTACCCGACTCCCCGAAGCCACCAACAGTCAAAAGGAGCGTAACGAGGGACGGTGGAAAGAGGGTAGGATAATTAATAGTAATAGAAAAAAAGAGCGACGATGATCTAACAATCAATCATTTCATCCCACCTATTCTGCTTCGGTCAACGAGAGGAGGAGAGAAAACAGGAAAACTTTGAGCCCACTGGCTAAACCTCACTGGCGACGACGGAGGCGGCGGGCGTTTTTTAATAAAAGCTGCTGCTGGCTGCGGACCTGACTGACCTCTCTCGTTTGACGCCCAGGCTGTGTTTCACTGCTCCACCCCCGTTGCATGCTCGAACCCTTGTCGTCCTGCACGTCCCAGCCTCAAAGCCCGCTGACGGCACCCAGCAGCGCAATGCGACAAGCGGCTGCAGCGCCTCCATTTGTGCCATTTGTGCTCTCTCGGCTTCACTTGGGCCTACAACATGCCTGCAAATATGCCTGCTAGGGCTCTGTGCCGTGTCTGCTGACGGCATCCTCAGATTGGCTCAGAGCCGAGCCGGGGTCTCTGGCGATGCTAGCCCCCCGGATTTGTCGAGTCTAATGCGTGCACTATACTTAAAAAAATGGCATGGCAGAGGGTCATCGCCGTCCCAGCTCAAAGCTGTTTCCCAGCTTTCAGCTTTCAACTTTTTTATTCCGTGGAGAGGCCTCAAGTTCCCACTCTTGGTCGCTCGCCCAATGCGTCAAGGTCTCGCGATTGGACAGCCGAGAAAACCTTGAGAGGACCTATCCTCGCTACCTACCTGCCTGACGGGTAAAGAGTCCAATCTTTTGATCGCTCAAAGTGGACACTATGACTTGTCTAGGTAGTCCGTGCGGCAATAGGTCGACTGAAGGGCCACAAGTTTTCACGAGACCTTGGAACCATGGACGCTAAACAGAACCATGTCTACCCAAGGATGAATGTCTGACGTGATGGGTGTCTCAACAGGGTAAAAATCCGTTTCCCTCGTCAGGCTGAAAAAAAAAAAAGAGACAGTCATCGTAGGCAGTGATATGGAGCAGGCATTCGGGCGATCGGATCATAAATGGTATAGCCTGTATGCTTTGTCGTGCATGGCATATCGACCACAAGGCTATGCGCGACAATGAAAATGGACCACCACAGATTCACCACACAGCCCATGGCCGCTGCACTATCGTCGGAAAGCCGACGGGGCATATCTGGGTGGATCTTGCAACACATGCTTACTACATTGACAGATGACGCATATTTGCTTCTTCTTCTCCTGAACATCGCATTCTTCGCAGTGCCAGCTCACCACGTCGACCCAATCATCGCGACTTCTTCACCGAACATACTCTGCCAACTGATGGATAATATGCGACATGTCATACGTCTCAACGCAGACTGCATTGTCTTGTTGGAGCCTCAGAAAGTCTAGACATCATTGTTCCACAAAAGCATGGCCCAAGTCTATCCACCATGGCCGTCGTCGAGAATTGCAAGTACGCCACGTTGTCCGGGCCGCTATACTGGCATGAGGCTAAAGATGGAGCAAGCAGACAAGATCGCCATGAGTGGAGTTGAGAGCCAGGCCTAGCCAATTCTTATAACCTTGTGCACGGCACACAAAATGAACCACGAGTTTTTCAAAAAAGTGTTCCAAACTCTATTCAACTGCGAAACGACGTGGTGACGCCGATCCACTATAGGCTGCTGTCGAGTCATGGGCCAGGCAGTCGTCAAAACAGACGTACAGTGGTGGTGCTGCCTGCATCAATAACCAGGCCCAATCCCCATTGATGTAACTGGCAGCAGGACTGCACCGGAATGCTATCGTGTCGGACACCTCACCACACTGCTGCACGTTTGATGGGAATAGCAGCGGGAATCAGCCCCTGAATCTCTGGGTTCTGCTTCAATTCCTTATCCAGCATCAGCGTTTACTCGGATCCTTTCCATGGCTTTTGAAGATTAGCATTGCTTTCGACGGGCCAATAACTCAATACCATGCCAAAGCAGAGCTACTATACCTACCAGGGATGCATGCTTGGATATATTATACAAATCCTCATGCGACTTCCCGACACATGAATTGGCCGAACCCAGGTTGATAATGACCCTGCGCCCAACGTCGCGCCCAGCATTTCTGCTGCTCCAGGTCTTGAAAGTTGGTTTGCGCATTGCTGCCACTTCAGCTTTCACACACAGTGAGTTGCCGCGCATTCAATGTTCATGATGCTGTCGAAATTTTGCATGGCGGTTTCGACTACGGGCACATGGACGCCATTGCCAATCCGAACTCTAGATCAGCCTCGCAGGACTAGGCCCCGGTATCCTGGGGTGACTTACACCAGCAACATTGATGGCACGATCGAGACGCCCGAACTCGTTGACAACAAAATCGACCATTGTACCAAGTTCTCATCCTCTACGTTCATCTCGGAGGTCCCGGCCCGGTAGTTTTGATTGCTTGCATACTTCTTGCTCTCTTCCGACGAAATAGCCTTTTCTAGGTTCATATTTGTGAATATGACAATCCTTGCACCAGCCTCGGCCAGGGAAAAGGCCGTCGCTCTGCCTATACCTCGACCTGACTAAGCGACACAAGTCAGCATACCCCAACCACGAGCGCGACCCCATCGAGTTGGGTGCTAGCAATCATTGTAAAATTGAAGAAATGATGTAAAAGACCAAGAAGTTGATTGATACTGAGGTTTCTACGCGAGAGAGTAAAATTTGAGAGTCATTGAATCTACATTGAGCTATTTTGTATGCCACATTCACACGGCAATCACATCTTGCCAATGCTATCAACCCGCTAAGACCTATTCTCCAAGGCGAGACCTAACATGTACTATCACCATGAATAGTTGAATTAAGTCTTGCACAAACGAGAGAAGTATACTTTCTGGAAGAGATCACCACTGCACACAACCCTTTCGCGCGGTATAGTGCTGATTTGCGCAACGTTACTTTGTAGTGCTAATGGTTTCATTCCTCATGCCCACCACTTGTCCAGTCGCGGCTTTGTGTCATGCTTGGTGGCAGCTACTTTCTTGCAGGGCAAAGATAATTATGTGTGGCTGGAAATGGTGATACCAATGCGGAAGTCCATGAGTATGCCCCATAATTTCCTACTGAAACGAGCTTGATTGTAAGTATATATATGGTATGCAAGGAATATGAGTATCTGATCGTGAGGTAGACCCTTGTCTGCGCTTGAAGCATACTGCCCCGAGAATCGAGATCGCTCCACTGATAGCCAAGATGAAGGGAGGACAATGCACATTGTCTGCCGAGAGGAGTGGAGCAAGAGATGAGAAACGAGTATTGGCTCGATCAAATATAGAGCGTGCATATAATTGTAGGTCTCGCCTGGAGTGGAAAGTAGAATCTGATAGCCGCCGTCGCAATGACGACGACTATTTCCGGCACGCCAAGACTGGAATCTTGTTTCACATGGTATGCCAAGAGATCCTGCCTTCTGAAATACCAGCCACCGCGGGGACAGGTGTACCTAGCGCAGTGCTGTTACCCGAGTGAATGAGCCCATTTGCAATAAGCAAACAGCTGCAAATTGGCAACAAGCCGTCGACAAAGTTTGTAATTAAAAATGGGAGAAACAAGAAGGAAATATTCATCAACTACATTGCTTTGCTGATACGAAAGTTTGCCCTGGCAGAGACTCCCAATACTCTGTATCGCATGCAAATGTCCCACAACATGTAGGTACGGGCGCCATGTTGCGCAGGGCATAATACAGGTGGCGGGGGTCGGAGAGCGCTAAGGAGGATCGCTAGTCTTGTCCGAACAGAATGGATGCACGTGGTTCCACTCGGAGTGAGACGGATCTACGTAGTATATCCAAGACAAGGGTCAAGGCTGTTCGTCCATTACACTGAATAGACACCAGATGGGCGATCTAGCACTTCACTCCGGGTGCATCGACATGAAGAGATCAAACACTCCGATACACTGTCACTGATTGCATCGTACGGCCTTATGGAGAGCCTCTGGTGAAGGACTATTTCAATACAGGCATGCACATGTTCCAGCATGGAAGGATCATGGTACAGATAGAACAAGTAAATATACACAATGAAGCTCGCAGAGTATCTATTCCAACGCCTCAGACAACTCGGAGTCGAGTCCATCCATGGAGTCCCTGGCGATTATAATCTGTCACTGCTGGATTTTGTTGAACCTGCAGGTCTCCGATGGGTAGGCAACGTGAACGAGCTCAACGCTGCCTACGCTGCCGACGGCTACGCCAGAATCAAGGGCATCTCGGCCTTGATCACGACCTTTGGTGTGGGCGAGTTGTCTGCAATCAATGCTATTGCAGGAGCCTATACAGAGCGAGCGCCCGTCATTCACATTGTCGGCATCCCAGAGAGGGCTTCTCACGAGTCTCGACTCTTGATCCACCACACATTCAATGACGGCGAATATCAACGCTTTGCACAGATGCACGCCCACGCCACTGTTGCGCAGACTAGACTTTGGGACGCTCACACCAGCCCGCAGCAGATTGATAATGTTCTACGACAATGCCTGCTACACAGTCGACCCGTATACCTTGAGGTTCCTGTCGACCTCGTCACGGCCATTGTCCCAGCCGATAGCCTCCAGTTCCCCTTGGATCTTCTCGAGACTTCGTTGGGAACTCGTGAAGAAGCTGTCCTAGCAGAGGTCCACGACAGAATACGCTCCGCCAAGCAACCTCTCATCCTCGTTGACGGTGAAGTCCGACCCATGGGCGTTGTTGCCCAAGTACAAGAACTGGTAGACAGCACTGGGTGGCCAACCTGGACCACTCCGTTTGGAAAAGGTCTCTTGAATGAAACCGTTCCAAACTTTCACGGGATCTACCAAGGCACATACAACCAAGCCAAAGTCCGTGAGTTTCATGATACAGCAGATCTCGTACTGTGTTTCGGCCCTCATTGGAGTTCGAGCAATTCTTATGGCTACTCGAGCATTCCAAAGTCCGAGATCGCCATCGTCTTTACTGATAATGCGATTCATCTCAACGGCCACAAGTACCGAGACATCTCGGTAAAGGCTGTGCTGCAACATATTTTACAGAGTCTCTCACAGAGCTCTGCCCATGCATACCACAAGTACCCCGAGCTGCCGTGCGACTACAAGCTTCCAGTGCCGGATATCGCAGAAACTCAGTTATTGGCCCAAGATCGACTTTGGCGCGTGCTGGCCAACATTCTCCGCCCTGGCGATATCCTACTTGGAGAAACCGGAACAGCAGGATATGGTGTACGGGTCATGCCTCTACCAAAGCACGCACGAGTCTTCACTCCCGTGACCTGGTTGTCCATTGGTTACATGCTGCCAGCGGCCCAGGGCGCAGCACTGGCACAGAGGGAGCTGATCGAGTCCTCCAACTATTTCGGCCTGACGCGCGGGCGCACCATCTTGATCATTGGAGACGGCAGCTTCCAAATGACGGTGCAAGAACTGTCCACCATTGTCCGACACGATTTGAACGTGCTCATTATTCTGATCAATAATGACGGGTACACGATTGAGAGATGCATTCACGGCCGCAAGCAAGGCTACAATGATGTTGGACGGTGGCGTTATCTACTCGCACCCAGCTTGTTTGGAGCGCCCGACGGTACGTATCTCGGCTCCGCCAGGACATTTGGAGAGCTGAGTCGTGTCATGGTTGATGTGGAAGCCCGCAATGAGACGGGCTTGGCCATGGTGGAGCTATTCTTGGATCGTGAAGATGCCCCGGCGGGACCTCTGAGGCACTATCTGGAAGCTCAGAGAAGCAAGGAGCAGAAATGATCGGGGTATGATCAAAGTATGACACATGGCGAATACTGGATAGAATTCTCATGCTGTTAAACCAACGGCCAGTGCGATGATTCACAGTCAATCAATGCATATGCACAACCTTAGACCGCATTCTAGGATGCTCAAATCTCATTTATTGCAGACACAAACATTATGAAGCAGAGATGAAAGCAGACGCTCATTTTGTCTTTTCGCAAATTATGTAATACTCATACCGGCTCTGATTTATGTACAGTCCCCAACTCATACTTATCTCTTACCAGTGTGTCGGCGGTTCCTATGAGTTCGATAGATAGAACGGGCTTGCATAATTGGGCAATTTCTACCCAAGACCTTTGACCAGGGGGATGAAAAAAAAAAAAAAAATCAAATGTGTACCCAGAAGTGCGGATAAGCGCTCAGGTACTGCGGGCTTAGAATCGTCACTCGGACAAAGCATCGGAGAAGACATTGAACAATTTGATTGGTCAATCTTTGGATGCTGGGACAATCGCGACATGCCATTGCACGTTATCACAAAGCGGTTTCCAGCAGTATGCCAAGCTACAAGACGCCTTCCAAGACTCATTTTGACTTGGTCATGATACTCCAACGTGGATCATAGACTGTTATCAGGTGGTGGGTACTACTTTGGCCGTAGGCGAGTCCTTGGAGTGACTCGAATTTACGCCAACCAGATGCTCGAACATATGTTTTGTGCTGTTCTGGATCCAACACAGGTATATTAGCACGTCCGCACATTATATAACACTACATCCGGGCGTATCGCCCATGATCTTGTCAAATTTATTCCTACCACTGACCATTCATCTGCATCGAAACATGTCGTTTCGCAAAAAGGTTCAAAAGTGCCATGAGAACAGAGCCAGATCAAAATCATTGCCGATAGGCAGTGCACCTTTCACGACTTCGCTATTCTACAAACAGCAGCCAGAAACACAAAAGTCAGCAGCTCTGCGATGGGACCATTTACTCAGTCGAGCTAGTACTCTCCAGACTGTATCGCCACTGAAAATAGCTTCCCGAGGCCAGCCGATGATCAGTCTGGGAACGGCTCGACCTACGCCAGAATACTACCCTTGGAAGAAGATCACTCTAGAATGTCTGAAAACACTTGGCGGTACAGATGAAGAACCCCCGGAGTTATCGTATATGTCGTGCGCTACCGGCGAGGCCGCGTATGACCTGGCGGTAGCCATGAATTATGGCTACTCGGCTGGGTCGCCACAGGCACTGCGATTTATCACTGAGCATGTGGAAATGATACATGATCCTCCATATGACGATTGGGCGTGTTGCCTGACCTGTGGAACGACTTCGGCCTTGGATATTGCGCTGAGAGTTTTCTGCAATCCTGGCGATATTGTCCTCACCGAGAAGTTCACTTATACCGGGACCCTTACAGCTATCAAGTCCCAAGGTCTGCGTACTGTGGGCATAGAGATGGACGACCTTGGACTCCTGCCGGACGATATCGATAAAAGGTTGCAGAACTGGGATGATGGCCACGAGCAAGGCTCTAAACCACGAGTCCTCTACATGATACCAACTGGACAGAACCCAACGGGGTCAACACAATCTCCGCATCGGCGAAGAGAGATATATCGCATAGCGGTCAAACATGATCTGTTTATCTTTGAGGACGACCCCTACTACTTCCTGAACATGGGGACATGGCAGTCAGGCACGGTCAAGAACGAAGACAGGGACAACTATCTCGCCAACCTTCCACCCTCGTATCTGTCGCTCGATACCTGTGGCCGTGTCCTACGTATGGACACTGCATCCAAGATTCTGGCTCCAGGCTTGCGATGCGGATGGGTCACGGGCTGCTCGCAAATTATAGACAAGTTTATATCCCTGTCCGAAGTGGGAGTCTCAGCACCCAGCGGGCCATCACAGGTCATGCTGTTCAAGTTGCTAGATGAAACATGGGGACACTTGGGGTTTGTCGACTGGCTACATTCTCTGTCGAGGGAATATCTTCGGAGGCGGGACATACTACTGCAAGCCTGCAGAGATTATTTACCAATGAAGAATTGTTCATGGATGGTTCCCGACGCGGGCATGTTTGTCTGGATCAAGATAAATGTGTCTGATCATGCATCACGCAAGCAAGGACCTTCCTCGGCTCAGGGACACCATCTTGGAATTGAAGATCATATTTATACCCAGTCTCAGGCAAATGGGGTTCTAGTGAGTAAAGGAAGCTGGTTTGCTCGGGACGGGTCGTCTGACGAGGTCTTTTTCCGTCTCACCTTTGCGGCTGCTCCAGAGCACGACCTTGTTCGAGCTGTTCAAGGATTCGCCGACGCCGTCCGCTCTGAATTTAGCGTGGAGGTATGCTCCTAACCTTGAATAAGCATGCCTCGGATATATTGAAGAAACGAAGTAGTATTAACGGAATTCTTTAAAGTTGCGCCTTGGGAGAAATGTCCATAATCGGAATACTCTAAATTTCAAAAGGTCAAAGAAATGACGTTCTTGTGACTCGCATGCTACTATTCAAAATCTTTGCGAAAAGCTTACGTCTGTCCAAATGACGGCATTTCTTGGGTTGCACTTTCTCTCCAAGATTGTTCAGGTGGTGAATCATTTGTGATGTCTTGGGCAATTGCGCCATTTCACCGTAGCAGCCTAGAGTGCCCCATTGTTAGTCCTGTAGGTTAGGCCAGTACCCCGGCGGGGCACCGCTGCGTACTCCGACTCTCTCTCTCCGACTCTCTCTCCAAGGCCCGCTTCTCACTCCGAGATTGTGTATTCCTTTCGCTGCAGCATTATACTTCCTCTTGCTACATCACTGTATCCATACTCGAGATGACCTCGAGACAAGCTGCTTGTGATCCGTGCAGGAGATCCAAACTCGCTTGCGACCACAAGCAGCCCATTTGCACACGGTGTAAAGATCAAGGTCGTGACCAGCGGTGCGTGTATCGCAGCGACCCTTTCAGAAGGGTTCAGCGGTCGGCATTGGTCTCGAGAAGAAAATCTCAGCTATCAGGGTATTGCATTCTACCTCGAACGATTTTACTAGGCTAATTAATCATGGAATTTTCTTTAGTCGACAGCCTCGTCAGCCTCCCCACGAATTATCTCCTAGTCGTACGCGGACTTCTTACCCAGATCCCGGACACTTGGGCCACACAAGTCATGAAGCCATATATAGTCGAATATTCACAAGCGGCCACAGTGATCCCCAGCCGTCACCATGCGACCAGTATTCAACATTCGCGACGGACCTGACCGCCCCTGATGACTCGCATACTTTGCTCAGCAGAGGGGCCGACATGCTCAAAGAACTATTTGAAGCATTCACACCACTTGCTATGCAGGATCTTCTCGCTTTCTGGCGGGCTACAGGGACCAATCTCGCTCTAGCTGAGCCACTGGTGGACATATGTGCTCACTCAGCTTGGTCATCTTTGTTAAATCTTGAAATCGAACACTGGCACTTGACTTTTGCTCGCAAATTGCTTCAAAACACTAGGCAAACTCTTCTATTCTCAGAGACGACAAGTCTGTCAACCTACACAGCACAAATGATCAATGAAAACAGCCGTTGGGAAACATTGGGCATCTTTCTGATTGCAGTCCTTCGTGCCACAATGGATATTCCATTCTTTCCCCAATTATATACAGCGGAGCCACGGAAACGACATTTTCGAATGCTTCTGGAACAAGTGATAGCATTTTCACTCGAAATTTGTCTTACTCTGGATTGCCTCAACGACCTACAGCTTGTTCTACAATACGAGACTTGTATTGTTCATTCACACATGAACGGCGATCTAAGTAATAGCCTTTGCATCAAGACTAGATGATCGGACACTAATCCCAGTACAGGCCAGCAATACTGGCGGAAATTAGGCGATGTCATCTCATCCACTACCATTCTTGGATACCATGAAAACCTCGACTGCCGACAAGACACACCCGGATTTCTCACCGAGCTGCGGAAAACGGCGTTTGCGCGGATTTATTCTGCGGACAAGAATGTATCTCTCTTTCTTGGTCGGCCCTTGCGAATGAGTAAACGCTTCTGTCATTTCCAGACGCCTGAGAGCTCCTCGTCCAATGCTTCAATTGAAATAATTGGTTCAAAAATATCTCCACCATACACATGGGATCATGTAGCAAAAGTCACATACGGCGCTGAAACACGCTGGTCGGCTCTGTGTGCATATATCAAGGAAGATATCATGGAGCTCTTATTCGACTGTAACCGCGGCGATTGCACGCAACAAGTCGAGTACGTGAGCATGGATGTACCACTTGGCAAAATGCATAAAGCAGGCTGACTCCGTTCTGCAGTGCCCTTCGAGCTAAGGCGAATGCACACTGGGAGGCACTTCCGCCTCAATTTCGGCTTGCCAATATGCGAGACAATGTTGATGATCCTATCCATCGCGACTTTCTCATCAGTGCACGACTCAACCATTTACACGTTCTGTTCCTCCTCAGTCGAGTGCCGATTCCCCGTCTCAACGAACCCAATGACGCCTTGGTCGATGTTGCCTGTCAAATGCTCCAGCTCGTGGTAGAAACAATTCTGATACGGGATGAGCTTGCTAACTCTGGGACTACTGTTTCCTGGAAGGTATAGTGTTCTCAAGTTTTTCAGCCAATATGCACGTTAACTGATCGAAAATAGGTTGCCTATTATGGTTTGCCTGCTGCAGGAATCATTATTCTGGCGACTCTAAGAAAACCAGCAGCCAGCGACAAATTGCGAACATTGAATTTTCAAGCTTTCCAAGATTTGGTTGTATTTGGCTCGGAGCTTACCAGAGGAACGGTAGTCAAACCTGGAGATCCCAACTATGCTTTGCTTTTGAAGGCGGCCCATACAATCCATCGATTCTTGGACTTTATCCACAGCGGTGAAGAAAGTCAGGAGGTACCTCATTCACCACAAATTCTGCAGTCGCAAGACGATGAGTTGCTCTACATTCCCGAGCTGGACCCAGACTTCTGGAGTTCAGAGGCTTCTTTCTGGGAAGGCCTTGCGGATCACCCATTCCTGGATACTCAATTTTCATAGTCACTCAAGTGAGCAATCTTTTATGGTTGAGGCCCGGCCGCGACAAAAATTCAATATCGCAACTTGCAGATCATTTTTGGAAAGACACTTGTTGAGGATGGACAAGGTCATGGTAGGTGGGTGAATTGATGGATCAATTCGTTGAGTATCTGTATGTATCTGCGAAGTAATAGGTACGTATATGTCGTTTCATAGTGGAGCATGGAGCTCGAAATGTAGGTGGCTGGGATCCTCTTCCGACAAGGCTTTGTAACACTGCGGGCTGCCGTTGGCTCTGTCAATCTTATGAAACGTCAGCTTTTCGTCGCTTCTGAGCTGTCGGATTTGCTATCACTCCCCTCCCGCGGCATGCGCACAATTATCAACTAAGGTATTCAATAGTTGGCTCAATCTGACTCTGAAAACGACATGGATATCTTCAAGAATATGTGCAAAGAGCAGCTCAACGATCGAGGTTATTTCTCTCTTGCAGCTGGACAGCAACATGAACATCAAGTGATTGCGATTACGCAAATACATACAGGAGATAATGCGGGGCCCGAAGTGACTGTTCACGAGACCACCATCGGAACAGATGGTTTGGTGGAATTTGTGAACTGCGGGACGCCAAGGGACGATATAAGTGAGCGCCCGGAGAGCACCCAAACACGCCTTGTCATCATAGGAATAAAGAACAGTGCCCAAGGCGGCTTGGCCATGCGGCGCGACGTATTCGAGGGTCTCCTTGAATCACGGGTTGGCATAGACTACAGCGCCGTGTGGTTGCTCCTGCACCATTACGATGGATACCACTTCTTTACTGGAAATAATGAAGAGTCCATGAGGGAGACACACTTCTTTGGCTGGGGAGTCTTTGCTGTTGTGTGGGCTTACGATTACAAAACGTGCAGTACTTTGGCACTCTTCATTGACCGTCTGTACCGCAAACCCGGCGAGACGAGTAGACTTTCCGGTCTTCTCCCGATCATTGTGCAGCACAAGGCATTCATTTCCTCACCAATCTATTTAGGATATGTTCTCAGTCTGGCGATTGGCGCAGGCCTGGATGTATATCAAGAAGACTGGCGGCAAATGCGCGAGATTGAAGTAGCTATTGGCTACGGTTATGGTCAAACGCCCAGACGCATCCCCGGCAACATTGACCAGTTCACTACGTAGCTCCAAAAGACCGGTGAGATACTCATCAATTCATCGGGAGATAGACGTGCACTCCGTGCTGTTGGCTTGATGCTTGAGCAAGTCAAACAAACCCAAAAGGATTCACACATGGTTCAATTTGGTCACTCAGACATTTCATGGCGGCAGCGTTCTTTTGATAGCAGCACAACCTTGGCCCAGGCCGTACCGCTCATGACTAGCAGAATTCGCGCGTATGATGAGTACATGGACTACGTAATTGTCCGGGCGGAGAGACTATCGGCCGTGGTAAGCTCATCTCGCGACCAAAATTTCCAGACCCGGAGCTGACAAGACGAAAGCTTTTTGCACTTCTGACTCACAGGGATGCAGAGACCAGCGTCCAGCAGGCCGAGGCAAGCCATGAAATCGCCAAAGCTGCCAAGAGAGACAGCTCAGACATGAAGACGATAGCAATCATGACAATGGCTTTCCTGCCAGCTACGTTCTTGGCGGCGCTGTTCGCCATCCCTTCCCTTGATTGGCAGAGCGACGACGTGATTCAGAGTAATCATTGGGTTTATTGGGCCTTTACAATACCTGCGACAATTCTCGTCTTCTTCCTTTGGTATCTGCTAAACCAACGAGATTTTCTGAGGTGCTTAAAGTCACACAAAGATAACATGGATGGGCGGTCGTGAAGTAATATGCCGTTTTCTTGCGCCAGCTTTTGGGGAAGCCCTTAGCGATCATCCACCATACTACCTACATGTAGTTTAGAGCTTCGAATGAACAGCGCATTGTCCAGAATCTCGTTCAAATCCTATCCTTGGCTATCACCTACTTCGCGGTGTCAAGTGACCTGGGAATGATATCGCGAATATAGAAATAAGTATTCGCATGCTATACTGTTACTTACTACAAGGGAGTCGAGACTATAAAGCACCAAGATTGGGCAATGAAGCACGAGTGGTGGGGTAGTAAAGTGCTGGCAAAGACAAAGCGGAAGTGCGGGACGACCTGCAGTTTCGGGTTTCTGCTACCCACCGACTAGCTAGTGGTGATAGCGCCCGGCAGTTTCTGCCTATCTAGACCAGAGAAGTCAAGCGTGCCGCTGTTCGGGCTTTGGGCAAAAGAGTCGCCACGACCAGCGCATACTAGAGTCTGGCACCAAGCTCTTCAACAGAGCCTCGATTAGGTATGCACGACTATTGGCAACGTTGTCTACCCACGTATACTTCAAAGGACATGGCCACTCTCTAAAGGGATAGGTACCGTATCCGAGGTGGTGTGACAGTGCCACAGCAACATGTGCCCATAGCGACTAAAACCACCTTCAAACATCAATCTGGACAGGCAGTGTCGACTTGCCAAATCAGGCCTAGGCATATTGTAGTATAGTCACGAGAGTATACTGCATTCTCTTGACGTCAAGAGACATGACAGCAGATACATTGAAATGACGAGACGACGCTCGTATGCTTATTTCAAGGCTCGCTGTTCTCGTAGATGAGAAAGGCTCCTCGGACTACTGCCACTGTATCAGGTTGACTACCACAACCGCAAGTATAAGATTTCAAAATGTATGCCACCATTGTACCTCTTGTTACGCTTGCATGTCTTGTGCACTACCTTGTCTTCCTTCCACTTTACCAATATTTCCGAGATAGAAAGGGACTACGGAAGTATCCCTCTGTCAACTGGCTTGCAGGTGTCACAAACATTGGTTTCATGTATGAAGCCTTCAAGGGCAGACGCTCCAAGAGACTCGCCGAATTACACAAGGAGCATCCAGTGATTCGGATTGGACCTAATTCATTGTCCTTCAAGAGTGTACAAGCAATCAAGGTCAGTCAATGTTTTCAATTATGACAAAAAAAAAATCGCTGTACTCAAACATGTTGCCTAGGACATTTACGGCCATGGCACGCCCTGCACGAAAGATTACTTTTACTCTACATTGTCCGGTACTCACTTTCACCTTGTCGACGTGATTGATGAACACGACCACGCCCGCAAACGAAAGAACCTAGCCGCCGCCTATGCGATCAAGAATCTCGAGACCTGGGAACACAAGGTAGCCGACAAGGTAGAACGCTTTATCAAGGCATGCGATGCGGCTTGTACCTCACCTTTAGAGGCCACCTCACCTGCACCTGAGGATCTCACATTCGACTATTTCAACTATGCCAACTTCTTTACCGAAGATGCAATCGTCGACATTGGGTTGTCCGAGAGGCTTGGGTTTCTCGACCAAGGGTCAGATGAATGTGTAGCTGAGCACATGGACGGCACTCTATTCCGCGCCAGCTACCGAAAGTCCCTGCACAACATGACAACGGCACAATCGCGCATCGTGTGGGCTTACGACTGGTTCAACTTCAACAAGGTGCTGACAGGGCTTGTCTCAAAGGACTTTGCCCGCATGTGGAAGCTCAACAAGGACTGGGACGGCATCCTCTACCACCGCGCCAAGAAGCGTCTGGCCAGATACCAGGCAGGCGAAAAGCTGGACGACTTCTTCCAGGTCATCATGGAGGACAAGAATGGCCAGGCGCATAATCTGCCCTGGGGCGAGATTGTCGCCGAGATCTCCATCATGATGAATGCCGGGAGCGATACGACAGCGATTGCCATGTCGAATGCTGTCTATCTACTGCTGAGGCACCCGCTGGCCTTGAAAAAGCTGCGCGAAGAGATTGATGCCGTCTTGGATCCTCACGAGGTGGTTGCACCATATGACAAGGTCAAGCATCTTCCCTACCTCCGGGCCGTGATTGACGAGACGCTACGGATGATGCCGCCCGTGTCGTTCAACCTCCCCCGGCGCACCCCGGCCGAGGGCATGATGGTGGCGTCGGAGTACATCGCGGGGGACACGGGGGTGAGCATCTCGGCAGAGGTGGCACATCGCGACCCAGAGGTATTTGAAGACCCCGATAGTTTTATTCCCGAGCGATGGCTCGGCGAAAAGGGCCGTGAGCTCCAGGCTGGATTCGTGGCGTTTAGCGCTGGAGCCAGGGGATGTATTGGGAGGAACATTACATATCTGGAACAGACAGTCTTGCTTGCTTCGGTGATGCACCGTTATGACATGGCTCTCCCAAGTCAAGATTGGGAGCCTACGCAGTACGAAGGCACCACTACTCACATGAAAGAACTACCATTAAAGGTTTGGAGACGTGAGTTGGGAGGTTTGAGTAACAATTTGCTAGACTAGCTACTTGATATCTATACGTTTTTTCTGAGAGAGAAATTGATTTCGAAGCATTTTTAATAGTCAATTTAGATACATGTGAATCGCTAAAAAGAAAGGGAGAGAAAAGTCCGACATCAGCTGTCTTGAAAAGATGCACACCAACATTGGACACCCGCCATGTCGCTCAGGTGTTCGCTAGCGGGGCTTGAATCCCCTAAGTGTCGTATGGCACCAAGTTCGCCGATTTAACCCCGCCATGATGCAGTCTAAATACAGCGCCTAGACGGTATCGCTCGCACAGGGACTTGGGCAAAGTCTCTGAGACTTCTCGTCCGCGGCTCTTCTCACTTTCACTTTGAGATGCGGCTTGAAATAATATATTACATTCACACATAACGGGCTTATGACGCCTGGAAACACAACTACAAATCCCCTGCGCTCTGGGGACGGGTGTCAGGTAAGCTCCAGCACCAGTCGGGTCACCAAGAGATCAGCAAAATCTAACACAAGTTATCCCACCAAGCATTGCCGGAAAAGGTATGTCGCGCCGAATGACTAGATAACACAGCAAACATCTCGTCGGTTGATAGTTGCATTGACCACTTTGTTGGCTGGCGATGCAGGCATCTAAAATGTGAGTTCTCCCAAGGCCAGCTCACAATTACCCGGTGCTTGAGAGGCGAGCTAACCCACTGCGTACCTTGTAGGCGACGAAGCCAAACCCAGATGCGGCCGATGCGTCAAGAAGGACATTGAATGCGTCCGGCCCAACAAGATTAGATTCAAGCACTGGCATCAATCAAGGTAGATTTTATTCGAGTCCTTGCCCATGAATGACGTGATACGCGCCCCGTGAACGCAGTCGGCTCTAACTCTATGGCCCAGGCACATCAATGAGAACAACTACAAATCTTCTCGATCTGGCTTCCGGGACAACCAACCTTGGTGTAGGACAAGTGGCCCATTGCAATTCGTCGACGAAAGCCAGCATATCCCGGCCATCTATGAGAACAGTCCTGACTCACACTATGACGAGGACGAAACGGCCATATCTCCAGCTCTCGAGCAGGACATTTCACATCACCTCTCTCAATCGGAGAGTATATTACAGGCTCATAAGAACAATGATGTTCAAGTCGACCCCTCCAGTGTCTTTATTGGAGAATCAGAGTTATTGCCTCACAATGGGACAAGCCGGTCCATAGTTGCTACCCCGCCGTTTGATCAGGTCGCGGACGGCACGAGACAGACGCATGTTTCTTTCGAGATCGAGAACACTAATTTTGGTCGTCAATCATGGAAACCCTTCTCAGGCGATGTGGTCCAAGCGACATCTGACCAAGAACGATTATGCGCAAGCCCATTGGGCAACAGTGGAACGGCCATGCCGGTACCTGGCAGTACGGATCATCCAGCATTTCATACTATGAACTCTTCCGATCCGGCATTTGATCTCCCCGTATTTCCACTCCGAGATCCCATGGAAGCCAAGTTATTCAACCTATGGATCGAACATGGCGCTCGTCGTTTCGACATGTGTGATGCGAGTCGTCATTTCGCAACTGTCCTGCCTGTCAGGGCCATGTCCTGCAAGCCCCTAGTGAATGCTTTGTTCGCTCTGAGCGCAAAATTTGCTGGCGACGTCGACGACTTTATCGCCGCCAAGTACTACCAAAGATGTCTGAATAGTCTAGTCCCCATGCTTGATCAACCAGCCGCGCTTGTCAACGAGGACCTGTTTGCTGCTGTAGTGCTACTTAGATCGTTTGAGGAACTTGAAGGTAGGTTCGCGGAAATTGGAAACCCGGAATAACCTAGGTTAGTCATATTATTGACTAACATTTCAACAGTACCTCTGTATGGCCATTATGGCGAAACACATCTGGTAGGAACTCACTTATTCATCGATGCGTCGCGGTCAGACGCAATTCAAGACCCGATTCTACCTGACCCAAGCAATCTGTTCAACTCCTTCGAGTTCAATGGTCTACGCGGCGCCGCCTTTTTGATCGCACTACGTCAAGAGCTGTTCATTGCATTGGTGTCACAGCGACCAGTACTTCCGGCCTTTTCTTCGCTCAGGTTCAACCGATCTCTCGACAGCCCGAGAGACGATTGCACTTGGGCCAATCGTATTATGCCATTTGCTATCGACGTTCTCGACTTTTGCTACGGAGAGAATACCACTAGCAGTAGTCAGTCCGTGATCCGATTTAACGAGCTTACAGCTTACGCAGAGCGCTGGTTCAACTCCAAGCCCGCGACTTTCAACCCCATTTACGTGGGAGAGGTTCCTGAAACTGGACAGAATAGCACTCTGGAGAGCTTTCTAAATAGCGAAGGATCCAGAAACCCCACCAAACGTTTATACTCAACGATTTGGCTACTGAATGATGCTGTAGCAACAGGGCTACAAAATTACTACCTCATCAGAATTCTCCTACTTGCCTACAATCCTCATATGCCCCGAACGGGACCAACCCGGAAGATGTTTCTCAGGACGGAGAACGAAGAAATGCGAAAACACACTCGAACGCTTGTAGGCATTGCGAGGGGAAACCCCGCATGCGTACCACTCTCGGTCTGGGCAGCTGTGGGCATTGCATTGGCTGGCGATAGGTTCGAGGACCGTGCCGATCAAGAGGAGTTGATTCGCTTCCTGAGTGATGCGCAGGCATTGTCCATGTGGGACACGAAAGCGAGTCAAGCCCATCTGGTGGAAGCATGGGGTTGGGAAGAAGACACCATGACCTGCGATACATGAAGAGACACATAGTACCAGTACAAGTACTGTCAGGCAAAAACTAGTCAAACATAGCTCGGTATTGCAGAAGGAACAGTGCATAGCAGAGACCTGGGGCTAGCATCGTTTTGGCCCTTCCCGAGACTGGTTGGGGGAGTCCTTGGGCAATATTGGAGCACGTCCAAATAATATCATTTAACATGGTTTCTTGGCATGACCAGCAACGGCTGAAGTAAGACCGACCATGTATGCTACCTGCCTCGAGAAGCGTGAATGCACCGGTATCTGATATAACAGCATAAACTCTAGTCGTGAGTCTGCTCAAAGGGATTGATATGAATTCAAAAAATGGGCTGTCTCATATATAGTACGATTTCCACAAAGAATCATATCTCAGGCAGCCTTGAGGTGTAGTCGTCGTCTAGGGTTATTGAGTACTGTGGCGAAGCTATCTAGGGTTAGGCAGTGTGCGAACGTGTCCAACTTGCTACCATACATAGCTAGATGAGGTCGTTGCTATTATCCAGAATTTCCATTACGTCCAGGTATGCAAAGTTCTAGACTTCGAAGCAGAATGCCACACTGGAGAGTGTGAGTCTCTACGCCTACTCGAACCCCTACCATTGGAACAGAAAGGCGAATGAATGTTTCGAATATTTTTGTTCATGTCGCTGGACGTGGACTTTAGAAAGAGAGGGAATGAGTACATGTCTGCTTCGGTGGATTGGCGTGCTGGCAATTGTACTATTTCAATTGCTGTATAAGTAATGAAGTAATGTTATGACTTGGTCCTGTTCATTGATCCAACCCCCCCCCCCTTCCCCCCGGCAGGACCCTACGGTCGCTGATAATGAAGCACCACAAAGCAAAAGATTAGATGCAAAACAAATCATAAACGAGACCTGATGTGCCGCCCGGCCAGCCCACTGGCCAAAAACAGTGCCCAATCGTCCCAGGGTCTAGTTTTGGGAAAGAAAACCTCCAAGCTTTCGTAAGGCCACATGGGACATGTGCAACTCTTGGCATACGTGCTTTTGCGCCACATTTGCATATGTAACTTGTGTGTTGTGATTCACTCTAGGTATCTCCATTGTGCTTCGTCTAAAGCGGGAGAAACAATCAAGATTGTTGGAAATGGTACGCATGGCAGGCTTTGCCAACTTATTGGAAGTATTGTTTATTCGGTCATGGTTACAAATGCAAGTGGTTTGGTGAATGGAAAACATGAATTCTTCCTTGCTGTCGACCTTGCTATACCAGCTCAACAACCCATGACTGTATTTCTTTGATAAGGCTGTGAGAAAGCAGATGGGCTCTAAGCGTTGGTAGACATCGCCTCTGATATCCTAGAAAGCTGAAAAAGTCACAGCCACAGTTGGAGTCGTGATAGCATTACGTGAAGTGAGCTCGCAATTCGGCGCCCGTATAGGTTCTGAAACGCGTAGATCTCTTCATCATCGCCTTGGGTCGGTATAAAGAATAAGAAAATACTCTGGGGACTTGAAAGTGGGTCATCGTTTGGGATGCATACCTACTGCCCCAGAAGGCAAAGACACGTTCGTCTTTGCAAGGAAGAAAGCAATTACTCTGTTGGAGTCATGGGGTGTGGATTGCTGCCTGACGGAAATTCGGCTACTCTGCGAAACGATCAGATGTAGTAAACAACAGGAAGGCATGAATCGGCATGACCGGCCAGATTCACAGTCCACTTGCTTTCGCACACTCACTGTTCAGATATCTGCTGGCTACAGGGATGCGCCATGGCAGCTATCGCCCGCCTTGATAAGTGTACATCGTATATTGTGGTGGGCATGGATTTGGCCCTCGCAACTCCAACACCAAGCGAGAGCGCCACGCAGAAGCAGCCGTATTCGATTGGCGAGATCGTGTATAGAGGTTGGAATCTACGTACGTCGCGCGCTAAGCTTTTATACACTTGCCATCGGCTTGAACTCCAACGTTGTTCACGGCGTATGTGGCTGGCAGAATCGTGCGATGCAGACGTCATCCCGAGGATTGGCGATGGCGATATCAACGGTGATGGACAATTTGTGCACGCACCGCCTGCGACAATCTCATTTTGGTGGTCTTGCCAGCATGCAAGCACAAGGGATTATGGGGGGATTGAAACAAAGGATCGGCAATAAAGGGATCTGCAGCATCCCCGAGCCATGGCTGACCCGGAAATCAGGGACGTCCCTTGTTTGGTTTGGACTCGACCCCAGAACCAGCCGCTCCCTCGGGACGCGCCGCAGTGGAGCTGCTCATGGGCCGCAGGTTCAGAGGGGATTTTCATTTACACACGAGATAATATAGCCAAAACAGGCGATTGGTCGCGCTTGTTGGATATGCGTGGGATCTCCGCCCAACGCAAGCCTCGCTTGTCTTGCAGGGATTCGCCAGATCCTATGCTCATAATATATCAGGGTGTGACTGCAGAATCGAGTGCCGTCATTGGTGCAACCGCCACTGCGGGCGGTCCTCCATGACCTTGTCTTTGCTTCAACGATTGCGGGGGTGGGTTTGCTTATTCTAGGGAACCCGGTCGACATAATCTCCCGGCTTCTGATCTTTCTTTATCTGTTCTGTAGGGATTTGCTATTATATCCGTGCTATTCTCATCATTATGCAAATTTGAAATTTTGGGGGCGGACAGTGCTTGGCTGGAATCCTAGAGCCTCGAGGTTGACTATCGAGATAACAAGACAGATTGAAAGGGTCTGCGAGTCAGTTTATCCAAATAATGATGGCTCTCATGAGCAGATGACGTCGATGGATTACAGGTCTCTCTTATGCAAAGTGATGCTGTGTCAGTCTGTCCTGTAGTGTTTAGCGAATGGCTTGGATTTACGACAGAGGTCACTATAGATGGATTGGCCATTTGCATCTAGAATTTGGCCGAATAGGGTATTCAATCAACTATGCCGCTCGTCCCGGAAATTAATCTAGTATATCGTCGATCGCTTCTAGGGATTACTGGGTAAGGCAATCCGGATGGCGACCGGGAATAAACCATTCCCGAGGGCTTCTCATCACGTCAACATACATGTAAAATCGTATAGTATTTTTGCCTTGGTGATCATGGAAGTATCAAATCGATGACCGCCACCAATGATTCTTCGAGTTTCTGATAGCCATAATTGCAAGCCACCATGCTTGCCACACTCCTTCAAACAATGTTGCTAGCATCAGCTCTTTGAACTTGCAAGGCCGTCCCCGGTATAGATGACAGCTCAACCCCCTATTCGACAAGGGAGTTGATTCTTGCATTGTTAATCTGGGGCCAATGTAGATCACAACCAGTATAGGCATGTCAATCACTGCCTGAAGAGACGACCCGAGTGACCGGTTATGATAGGCTGTCAAGAGCTGATACTACCTTGTCTACAGCTCTATTCTACACTCTGAGACTTTGTCATGATGTGAAACCTCACACAACTTCGTCGACCTGTAGTGTGACATGCTTGGGCATCAACCCCCATTGGAGTTTTCGTGATAGCGAGGATCATCGTGAGGCAAATTATCCTCCCTCGAAGGACCCTGTAATGAGAGTCGATACACTAGTCGAGGGTCCAGAGACAAAGACTCTTGAGATCTATAAAGAGAACAGACAAAGCGCGCTTTGTTCTATCGAGTCCAACAACAATGCACATTCGATCACCCAAAGTCACCTGAATCTCTTTCATCTCTTTCCATTATCGCCATCAGCATCATCAAGATGTCCTTCCCTTTCAGCGACAACTCCCATGGAGGTCTCCGAGCGGATGCTCCCCACACCAAGCCCCCCAACAGCCGACAAAGCTCTGTTCGGTATGCAGACACTCCGACAGTAATTGGCCACAAGCACCAGAATGAAGATGATACTTCAGTCCACGACTACGGAGGTGACCTCGAGCGAGGCCTCGGTTCGATCGATACCAACGGACAACACCGATCTTCTCAGGAAGCCATCAATGACAAGTCAGGAGCTGGTACGGGCAATGCCCGCCGTCCCTCCATGTTCAACCGCACTTTTACGCAGCAGATTCGAAATGCGGGAATGGATGAGGGCCTGAACTTTAAGGATTTGTCCAAGGAGGACAAGCGTCAGGTCATGCTTCTTCCATTTGCATACATCATGGACACGAGTTTCAAGGATGGTAAGCACAGTATATAAACACTGACAGAGTCCAATGACTAATGATGACAAGATGCCGTTGCTGCTCTTGGAGAGTTTGTAGGAACCACCATGTTTCTCTTCTTTGCCTTTGTCGGCACTGGAGTTGCCAATATTCCAGCTGGCAGCGGTGCTGACAACTCCACCACGACCGGTTCCACTGGCTTCGACATTGGAGTCCAGACATACATTGCACTTTGCTTTGGGTTCTCTCTCATGGTCAATGCCTGGGTCTTTTACCGCATCTCCGGAGGACTGTTCAACCCTGCTGTAAGTCCACCCGAGCAACAAAGGAATTGATGAGCTTTGGCAAAGACTGACCAATTGAATACAGGTTACGCTTGCCCTTGTTCTCATCCGCGCCATCTCACCTCTACGCGGTGTCTTTGTCTTTGCTGCCCAGTGCGCCGGAGGCATCGCCGCAGCTGGACTAGCCGCTTGCATGTTCCCGACCGAGCTCAATGTCAGCACGACTTTGGCACCAGGCGTCAATCTGGCGCAAGGATGTTTCATTGAGGCGATCTTGACCTTTGAACTGGTCTTTACCATCTTCATGTTGGCAGCCGAGAAGCACCGAGCCACCTTTGTCGCCCCTGTGGGCATCGGTCTAGCCCTCTTTATTGCCGAGCTGGGTGGTGTCTACTACACGGGCGGCAGTCTCAACCCAGCTCGCAGCTTGGGGCCTTGTGTAATTGCTGGCAAGTTCCAATCCGAGCACTGGATTTACTGGGTTGGCCCCATCATTGGTACCCTTGTTGCCACTGGCTTTTACAAGGTCATCAAGTTCTTCCAGTACGAGAGCGTCAACCCCGGACAGGACTCTCACGAATAAAGAGTCGATCATGTCCGCGAATCAGAGCAGTTACCAATTACCCTGGGTATTTCAGAGGAGTGTCTTGAGTATGCGACAAGCATATTGTGACAAATAGACGACGTGAGCCTGTTGAGCCCGAGAGCTCAGAAGAGGGCGATGGGGAAGTCAAGCAAGAATTTAGTGGAAGTCCGTGGTCGTTTAATGTGTCGCACTGTTTATGATTGGGATGAGAAAGAAAAGAACAAAATCAAAAGAAAAAATACAGATTGCATCACGGGATAATAAGCCAATATATTTAGCTTAGATATTCGCTTGTCACACATTCTTATTATAAGAGTCGAATGTGGCAAACACTGCACTCTTTCATGTAGACTTTAATCCAAACCATGTGTCAAAAGTTTATAGAATTAATTCAGAATGTCCCAAGTACAAAATAGATGTTTTTATTGATGAAAGAGTGTGATGTTATCCTGAAAGGCTACAAAAGAGAAGCGTTAAAAAGCTGTACGTAAAATCCAGAGTGGTAGAGCCGCCATAGATACTACCCATGTCCGTGAAAGACCGATTGACTTGGATCTTTCTGGCTCATCGAGGCAATCCATTTAACAGTTGCATCCGCAGTCCTTGCAGTCACCCAGGCCACAAGCCACGATAGTAGTGCATTGGCTGTCTGTCGAACACTGGATCCAGTTCCCATTACCGCCGTTCAAAGCAGTCCAGCACCAGTAGCCGTTGGTCAGATCATCACCCCATCGTTTCCAGCAGTACCCTGGCATGACATGTGGTTCGGTCTACAATTCCGAAAAGTAAAGGTGTAAAGAATGAGATAAGGGCGGATAGTGAACTGTAAGAACTTGACATTATCTTACCATTTTTGCAACCATGGTCACCGCCGAACCAGCAGTCCCGCTTCTCGAGGGAATCCATCGCGGTGGGCCCTGCCTTTCCAGCTGGGTGATTCAGACAGGAACGATACTCGGAGGCGTTGGCGCCTTCGGGAATCGACATTACATTCTCAGAACTTCCACATTCGGCAACCCTGGCAGATTCAGGGTTGGCGGAGGCAGAGACAATTGTTGTCGCACCAAACAGGGCAAGAATGAATTCGCGGTTGAACTTCATCGTGTCGATTCGAGGCTTTGAGAATCTCACAGAAATATGTGTTGAGAGTGTTTGGACAGTAGATGTGCTTCTCACAATGTTTACGATTCCCTTGAGTAGAGGAGATCCAGTGGCCTTTATACTGAATGAAAAGACGCTGGTTCGTCCATACACTCAAAGATGGAATTTAATGCAGTATGTTATAGTGTGTTCGTGATTTCTGTCAAACATCAGCGGACTATGCGACCAAGACAGATCGGCAAATGTGGTTGCCTCGTTCGTTCATGCTCGTAAGATGAAATGAAGTCGACGTGATCTTACTGGACGGCGAAACGATGAACATTAAGCCGCACCAGCTCCCCAGACTATACCTACTATCCATCATGATGAGTCATTCTGATTTTTTTTCCATGTTGAATAGTTTTCATGTACGTAAAAGTAAGTGATGTTCTGACGAGCATGAGAGAAGTCACAGTAAACGTGTACACGACCGTTGAGCAAAAACATGATCTGTGCCCCAGGGTACATTTTCCGAGAAACGCCAATCAAATGCTGTTATAATGAAATGACCATTTACGATGACTTTTATCATTGGCAATATTGTGAGTTGAAAGAAAAGCCCAATTTAGAAAATGAATTGTCACATAACATTCCTGTTCTCTCGTTATTATTCAAGCTAACACGAATTAGTATATCATCAAGGCCACCCAAAGTGGGAGTTTTTCACCGGAAATCTTAGAGCCCGATTCACTAGGAACTCGCAACTGACCGGCTCGGTTTATGTTCCTGAGCCGACGCATTCCGGATGTCGGGAATCATGTGCGAGTTGTACAGAGTAGTATCCGTACCACACATACCTGCATCGACCCACTGTGTGTGACTATACTGTTACTTGGCAAATAGAGTAGTGCCGCCTATGAATTCGCAGGGCCAAGGGCAGTTGCATTATTATGCGTATCATGATCTGCTGCACATAACCTGCTCCTACCGGCACTGAGAATGATATTGCGCACAACTAACAAGGTCAACATCCGTGCGAAGTCAGAACAACACAAAATGAAATGACAGTACTGGAGATGGCAGCTACTTCTGGGTCAACAATTCTACGCAAGAACTCGCTTCGAATCCCCAAAGGAGCTATGATTGCCCACTTGTGAACTTGCTCTAGGCCTAGTCAATCCTGCCAGAATATGATCGCCTTGCGAGAAGATTGGCTCCAAGATGCCGAACACCGAGTCTTGTCGTGAAGAGAAGTCGGAGGTATTGTTTTGCATAATCACGGTGTTGGTAGATATTTGGATGGTTCATGATGAACAATTATCTTTGCCACTACAAACGGAAAGAATACGCTGCTTGAGATCCAACGTAAGCTTCTTCTCCCGACCTGCATGCAGCTTGGCATGCCCCCACCCATTTTGCTTTACCGGCTCGCTACGTCCGCCCTGACCGATACACGTTTGACAAGTCTTCAAAGGAGCATTCAGACATTGCTCTTGGCATTCTCACAATCATCATTCTGATTCGAATAAGTCAGATCCTGTTCCGCATCATGTTTTAAAATCAATCCTTGAATATGCGGGCCACCAGCCCGGAGTTTCCCAGAGGAGTTCCCGTGTCGGTCTTTATTCGAACCTTATACGACCTTTACTTGCCGTCTCAACGGCGGTCAGCTGCGAGAGATTGCGAGAGCGACTCGTATTGGCTCCTCTTAGAAGCCAGGTATCGTCCACGGGCGAATTATCTCTGCAACGCGTCTAGTGACCACCTTATATGTAGACAGCAACACTTACATTGGAGAGCATTTCGAAAATCCGGGAAATTCAAATGTAGACTTTGGTGGTCCTCCACCCTTGGTGGTTCTTGCCTGGTATTTACAGTTCACGCCACTTGGTAGGGGGGGGGGGGGGGGGGGGGGCTGGCTCGAGGATATACTTGGAGAAGAAAAAGAAGAAAAGAGTGAAAAGAACATCAGTTTCAGCTCATGTGCTGAGGTACAAATACCGCACTCTGTTTAATATTCTGAGTTCTCTTGACCCCCCTCCTTATAGAAACTAACCTCTAGCCTTTCTCACATATATGCCATCATGTTGATCCACCTATTGCTTCCACTTGTCTTGAGCTCGCTGTCGGTCTTGGGCAAATCGACATCCCAAGGGGTATGCGCAACTGGCTCCGTTGCTAGCACAGTCTCTGTGTTGTCTGGTTATCGCCCTGCCTCCAGGTTCTGCATGTCTAGTTTTGGTAGCACCGTTGGCCAGACGCGGACAATTAAGCTTACATTGACTACCACAGTACCGAAGAATATCAAGACTACTAATACATTGACGATTACTTCAACAGTGGGTCCATTACAAATCTTTTTCCAATTATAGTGCCATACCTTGTATATGATCACTAACATAGTGTCAGGACACGGCACGAACTAGCACTATTACAATCAAGTCGGTCTCGGCGACACGGGATGGTGGAGATTCGCATAGTAACAATCACGAGTACGCCAAACGGCAAAATCCTGACCAACTCAAATTGTCTAAGCCGTGGCCCTAATCACGTGAACGTATAGCTCAGTCACTACGAAGGTCTCTTCAACCACATCTTCTCATACTACACCACAGCCAGATCAACAAGCCGTCTTACGGAGCCTGCAACAGCGCAACCCTTCACAGGCGAAACCCATTTGCTCCTGTCTCGTGGGTAACTTGCAGACGACGACTGGCATCATTGCCACCACGACTCAAACCATTACCAAGCAAGTCCTTATAGTCAAACAAGAGGAAAAAGAGACATGTGACTGACTGGATGCCACAACAGGTCTATTCGTCAAACTAGAACAATAAAAACAACGGTAAGCCTTCCATTCAAATGACCGAGGACTATAATTTGGCATATCTGATCATGGAAAGACCACCACTACCGTCATAGTGAATCCTACTCGGACATGTCGACCTACAAGCGGTATCAATATCGTTCCAAATGGCGACTTTACCAATCCCGATGAGCTTGAGTTCTTCCATGAAGCGCCCTGGTATAGTCCACATGCGGATGACATGGATGCCGTTGCGATATTTCTTGACAACACGGTGTAAGATTGGCCTTTTCTTGTTTTCTCGGGTGATAGAGTATAAGCCGGAGCTTTTGTACTAGACACGTCATCTGATTTCTAATACAGAGACTTGGATGCCGGAGGCTACCTCCAGCAAGTCATGACCGCGATAGACACCAGCAGCACCTACACAGTCCAAGTCCGACTTCGGGGGGCGCTGGTCAGTCCCGAACCTAACCCCACAGTTCCTGGATACTGTCATTTTATCACTACATGGGGCAAATCAGTCGTGGCCAGGCAAGTATTTGATCGTGCCAATGGAACGGCTCAGAGCTTTTTCGAGATCACAACGCGGAATGTCGTGCAACGACATACTACGGCACTTTTAAAGCTCAGCTACTCATGCGATCCGGATTTCATTCAGCAAGGATATGCATACGTTGAGATTGACAGAGTTTCAATTGTTCCAAACTCGCAAATCATTTTTTGTAATTAGCTTCTGATACAATGGTTAGTTTCAAAATGATACTGAATCACCCTAATAGGCAGATTATGCTTGCAAGTTGTCGAAACTGTCTTTTCTAAATTTCTGGTGGTAGACTCCTTGAGATATACGATTCAACATGTGATATATTCAAATACGATCATGGTACAAATCACATCCTTTTTTGGTTAGTTGTGATTTGATGCTTTGGCATGCTGCCTTCTGATAATCATCTCTTGGATGACATCGTCCTCCATCTTTTGAGCAACTGCATCGTCCCAAGCAGGAAATTCGATGTCTTCGAGGCCACTAGTCCAACCAATGTAAGGATCATTGTCTCGAACAAGGCGAAAGTAGTCCTTGAATCTCTTTCGAACATGTGCTGGAATATTGGTTCCAATTGCCAGATGCCTTTGCTGAGACTCATAGATCAGCTCATTAGCCTTGAGGAGCTTGATCTGAGATGGAGAGTGTGGGACACAAGATCTCATGTATGATTTCAGCTTGAAATAAAATGACAAGTGCTGGTTCGCTGTGCCTAGATAGGTATCATGAAGACTCAACTCGTATGATGCTGGATAGAATCCAGCTAGCTCCCAGTCCACAATACCAGCGAGACGATGCTCCAGTACACCGTCAGGAGACTTTCGCTGTTGAATGATTAGATTACGAGGGTTGAGATCGTTGTGGCAGAGAACGGCTTCTTCCGACCACTTCTCGCTCTCGGAGTTGTCGATGGTCAATGATCCAAGATCATTGAAATTGGATCGTATAATGATGCCTTGCATATTACTTCTGGGCTCAAGAACACAGAATTGTTTCTTCAACTTCCGCCTGTTCATGAAGGAAGCTAACAGGGCCGAGCCAGTGTCAATGAACCCAGTGTGAGGCCCTCCAAACACGCCGGGCTGGCTGACCTTATCTAACATTTCTTTATTTGCACCAGGCGGAGCTTTTGGCCTCTTTTCAGATTCTAAATTGCTTGGTCGGATAGTATGCAACTTCTCAAGTGCTTCACCAAGCTTAACAACGATCGAGTCTTGAGCATCGGCACTCAATTTCGACCAAACATTTTGCAGCGTATCGCCCTCTACAAACTCTGTGACTGAAAAGTGCAATGCTCTTCCAAGAGAGTCCTCAATGATGCCAACTTGGTGAGTTTTTGGAACAAGGTCTGGAATGACAGTAGCGGCCAAATGCTGCAAAAGTGCTATCTCACCAAAGGATTGGGATTCTTTGTTCTTAATCTCCAGTCGAACTATCTTAGAAGTCAAGTCGAAATCTATTCTTGTTGAAAATTCTGCTTTAAAAACACATTTTTGCTGGGTCTGGAGAATTATTGTGATAGCAGGTTGATGCTGATTGAACAGTCGGCTGAGCAAGTGCTCGTCAGGGGCGATCATTTGTGCTTGCATGCTGCTGTTTGTCAAACCTAAATCGCGGGCTCCGCCTCGTGAGTTATCCAAGCAATAAGAACCGGTCCCAGATGCAACTTTGACGTTTGCAGAAAAATATCGAAAAACGGGATGTTAGGGGTCGAAATTGACGATGACTTGTGCATGAAAGGGAAGCCATATATTTATTGTCGGGGAGTTCCCCTCAAACCTGACTCAAATAAATAGGCGCAATTCAATCTTCGGGGATCTCCATTGACAGACAATGGAGACAAAGAATGAAACGGCTACACGGTACTGTAGTCAGCCCTTCAGCACCTTTGGAACTTGTGCTACAACAAAATTATGTCCTTGTGAAAGCATTTAATTACAATGCAACAGTCATAAATCAATTATGAGGCCGTACAGCCGTTTTGTTCATCTCAACTAATGCCACAGCACAAGGGTTTCATGTCGTCACTAGCAAATTTTATCTATGGATCCACCAAATGTCTACTCCATCTATATAATGAACCTGTAATGATGTTCTCAGACATGTTTTTCTTCTTATCCTTCTGCAAGACACATTCAAAATCATTTCCGACTTCCACTACCATCCACCCCTTACACAATTTAACTCGAAACTGGCATTATTCATCAACCAAGATGACGGCCTCAAGCATGATTCCTGAAATCCATAGAGATGAAACCTCTTCAGAAGAGCTTGTTAATGAAAACAAGTGCTCCCAATGTGGAAAGAATTTCACAGGATCTACCGATACGTGTTCATGCGATGACGATTAAGGTGGGCAATTGCTATCGAAGTCGTGAAGGAACATCTCGGGTAAGAAGGACTCTTGATATATTTAGTACTGCTGTTGGTCGCTTCACGTTGCTTCTATAGCTTCACTTGGTTAGCAATGCCACCTTTATTCGCATTGGGATTGCTTCATTGACGGCTAAGGACAAGTCTTGGACGTGGGAGATAATGTTAGGTTATTGGTTGGATATACTCGCTTTCAGATACATTTTGTAATTTGCCCTCTTATCTATTCTTGTGTTAATACCCTAGAGAGTTCTTTCTGCATCATATCCGTGACCGATCGTCATTCGCTCTAGTTTTGCTATGATTTTTACGCTGGGTGTTGTAAAAATGCTCTGAGGCCCCAGCCCTTGTAAGGCCAGTGCCTGGGTGGTAAGTAGCAGTGGCTTTACGGAAATGCAGGGAAAACGAAAGTTTGAATGGAAACGATGATATAAGCTAGCTACAGGCCACGAGACTGATATTATCAGGCGTTAATGATCTCTCAATCTAGATGTGGCAAAGCGTAGCAAAAGTAAAGTACAGAAGAAGGCGGAAAGCTGTAGCAACTGCAGGGAAAATTAGGTACTAGTACCTAGGGTGGTGCCTAGCACCTAACAATAACCCTGCAGGGTTCTGACACCATCACACCAAGACAAACTCCTGACAATAGTGGCTATCAAAGAACTCTTGAGTATAAGCATGCTCAGGAGTGAGCCTCTCGTACATTTTTATTCCATCATTCAGATTGACAGATGCAATGAACTTGTATGTGTCGCCGAGTGGACGGACCAAGGCTGGATATACCAAGCCTTTGAACACACAGATCTTGTCTCCTTGTTCGGCTCTGCCGCTGAATTTCGCCAGCAAACCAATCATGCCGTCAGTAGTCACAAAGTATGATCCGGCGCTACTGGCTTTAAGCAAGCTCGATATCATTGACGCAGTATTTTGCGCTTTCAAGCTGTCTGATGAGGCAGAAGCGAATATGTGATCGCCATCAAAACCCTTCTTGGCAAATTCGTCATAGATTTCGTAAATCGTGTCCAGTTCGGGTAGCAGGGAAGGAATTCGCTGAAAGTTGATCCAAGACTCGATCCAGCTTGTGACGACGTCTTTATGTGAAGCGTTTTTAATCAAACAGGCGCGTCTGAATATGAATCGGTCCATTTGGCGAAAGGATAGCAAAGCCCTTTGCGAGCGCTTTTGTTCCCCTGCGCCATTTATATCCATAGACGGTGCGCGATAACTGCTGACCACTGTAGATAGCTCCACGCCTTCTAGTCTCATCCGACGCGGGTCTTTGCCTGCGAAGGGATTGTTGGCCAGAGTGAAAGGAGATCTCTCTACCCCATAATTGTGCGTCGAGATCCTGACCCCTCGAAAATCCGTCACCCAGCTTGGTGAATCATCTAGACTTTGGGACAAGGACAACAGTAGCGTCAAATCACCCGTATTTCCCATGAGACAACGAGCGTAGTCCTCGAACACCTCGGGCCAGGGGCAGCGGTAATCTGGCTTTGGCAGACACGAGAGGTCAGAGATGCTGATCATGCCCAACAAGCCGTATATCATATCTTGCGGCAACGTACAGCGATACTGACCCCCAAGACGGTTCAACAATCTATACAATCTGTTCGACACCAAGCTGGACATATCAGTGATAGACTTTTCTCGCATGGTTTCCCCCTCTTGTGCCCAGTTCTGGACCAATCTTCTTAGAGATACCAGATTGTCCATTTCTCGTGGCATGCTATACCAGAGTCGAAGCACATCGTCCATCAAGTACGTCTGTACTGCCAGCCAGAAGGTATGTAGATTGTTGAATGTCGTTGCAGAACCACCAGCAATAACAATCGGAGGTTCTCTTGCCAAGGCGGCCTCTTGCAGGACCCAGATCCGATAGAACCATGGCCGTTTCGACAAGCCCAGTAAGCCCTTGCACAATCTCTCAACCTTGGTCGTGTTTCCAATTTGGCGGTGCAGGCTCTCAATGTATGGACGACAGGATTCAATGTCCTGGTAAGACAAAGACAGCGTCGCCATTTTGTTGGCGTATTCAAATATTTCATAGATCTGCCCCTCTTCATCTGACCCTTCGTTACCTCCGAGCCATATTACAACTCGCGCTGCTGACCGATATATCATACCCATACGTGGCACTTGACTCGACTTTTCCTCAATGTCGGCTTGATTTATGCATAAAGCATCGGCCCAAATCCACTCGTGTTCCTGAAACAGAGTCTCGGGAGGAGGGACAGATTCTGGAAAAGTAGCATTTTGGGTTTCGGGAGTCTTCCGCCCACATTTCCATTCCCGGATATGCCGGAGTAACACGGATAGATTAGCTGTAATAGCCATCGGCTCGCCGTTCAGAGCCAGAAGACTTTTAGATCTGTCGTCGCCCCAGACGTACGAGAGGGCGATATATGGTGTATCATCATGCTCTGGAGAAATGCTTCTCATCTCGCAGCTTAGAGTACTAACACCATTACCCGGCAAGACCCGCAGTAGGCGAACTTCCGAGGCCCCCAATGATTGATATACAGGAGCAGCGTGCTGCATGATGAGACATGGGCAAGTGATTCATATATTTGGCACAGATATCCTTCGCATATTGCAAAAGCGATTAGATCAGAGGATTCAGAGCTGAAGAACACTTGGCCACGCCGTGACAGGGTTCCCCGCCATCGAGGCTAGCCTCATGCATCTTTTATGCTGTAATCCCTTAACAAACTTGTTGCCCTTGAAAAATCCGGCGGATGTTCGGATTCCAGAATTGAGAGCCAAGGATTAATTACTGGATGATGTGAAGCAGCGGGACAAAAGGCGCCAGACTCAGCGGGAGATTTATTGCGATGAGCTAAATTCTGAACAAACCAGTGAGAAATAAATATGGTATGAAACCAGCATTATCCGTACCCCGACCATCCGTGCTAACCTAAGTCCTCCTTTTTAGCCAACCACTTCTATCTCATATTAGCGTTAACAATTGAGTTTAGACCTACACAAAGTCGGCCTAGCTGATGCCGAAAAGATCCTTCTGATTGCAGCTACATTTTGTTCTTCTCATATACAACTGTCAAACATTATGTCTAGACTTAGCTTGCTCTCTACCTTTCTTCCTGGCGGCACAGTAGTTGTTTGTCGCAACGGGTCCGGGACCGACCGTGATTCGCTTTGGTACCGTTTTGGTTTTGTCAAGCTAATAGGTGCTGTAAAAATGCTTTGAGGCCCCAGCCCCCGCCAACATGGCACCCATTGCGTCTGGGAGCGCCCCAAAATATGTGACATCTCGGTCAAGAAAAATTGTCAAAATCTATATAGCTCTTTACAATGTATCTTAGCGTAAGCCTTTCCCATCGGCTTGGCAAAATAGCCCAGCGGGGCGGGCCTAGCCTGCGATCTCAATCAGTCTCGATTTCCTACTTGGGTTATCGTCCCAATTGGGTAAATGGCTTGTTTAGGCTTAGTCCCGCTATCTCAATACCAAGCACTACCATTAACATCAAAGTAGCCTATGTTCTAACCTCCTTGGAGCTCTGATAATTTTCAAATGATTTCCACGGATTGTAGTAAGAAAGCTTTCATTTTGGACCGCATGGAAAGGACATCACTTTTGTTGTGATTCTGTTACTACACACCGGCCCTTACACACCCTCACCAAAGGTCAGGTTTCCCCATAAATCCGTTTGAACCTGGCGAGGCATCTACCTCAGTGAACTTCTCCTGGTTTGCTTCACCACAATGCACCAACAGTTCGAGCTTGAGGATCATCAGCTCGAGGCACAGGGATACTCGCCCGCAATGCCGAGGCGCTTCTCGCTGCAATCTCTCTTATCACTGAGCTTCGCGCTGACTGCAACTTGGAATGGCTTTGGCAGTGCCATTGGAATAAGCTTGGCCGAGTCTTCCTCGTCGGGCACCCTTTGGACGCTTGTCGTTGCGGCACTCATGAATCTCATCGTGTCTCTTGGCATGGCAGAGCTTGCCTCGGCGTATCCTAACTCTGGGGCTCAGTATTATTGGTCCTATCAAGTGTCGAGCCAGCAGTGGGCGCCATTTGCATCATACATGTAAGCTATAGTACCAGTTGTATTTCATTTACCCAAATTGATACCTGTTATCTAACTCATCCAGGTCTGCCTGTATCAGTACCTGCGGCTGGTGGTTGGGCCTGGCGAGTGTCTGCAACTTTGTTGCTGCCATGGTTCTTGCTATTGTGCAGTTGTATGTCGAAGACTACGTCATACAGACTCGGGAGCAACTGTTCTGCTATGTCATGATTGTCTGGTTGGCTGTGCTGCTCAACATCTTTGCTATGGATTACCTTCCAGCACTGAACCAGTACCTGTGTAAGTAGCATTGACGACTAGACGCTCGACTTTGACTGACAGCTTTCATAAAGTGTACTTCTCAGTGTCGACGCTCTTGGCCACTGTTTTCATCATTCTGGTTGCCGCCTTTCCAAATTATCGATCCAGTGAATGGGTCTTTACAGATACAACAAACTTGAATGATTCATACAATAAAGGCTTTCTTCTGATCCTATGCCTGCTAAACAATACGTACGGCTTCATGGGTACTGACGCGGGGGCACATCTGGCCGAAGAGATTCCCGCACCATCGGTCAACGTACCCAAGGTCATTGTGAGAGTCCATCAGTCCTGCGACTGCGCAGAAGTCTTTGCTGACATCCCAAGGTGTATCCCATCATCATTGGGCTGTTGACAGGTATTTGACCCAGATTTAACAAGAAGTCTTGCTGCTCGGCTCTAACATCCATCTCAAGCGTGGCCGTTTGCAGTTGCGTGCATGTATGTTATTACTGATGTGGAGAGAGTTGCCAATCCGCCAAGTGGAATCGCCTTGATTGAGATTTATTATCAAGCCACAGCAAGCAAATTCCTCACGGCTCTGCTACTTGCTGCATTTGCACTCTGCCTCTTTGGGTGCGCCGTGGCCAATATCACGGGGTCGAGTCGCCAAATATGGGCTGCATCGCGGGACAACTGCTACCCTTGGTCAGTGGGGCTTTCACAAATCCACCGCAAGTATCAAATGCCCCGAAATGCGGCATGCCTGACTGGAGCCTTTACTACGGTAATCCATCACTCACAATGCCCCAGAAACGTGGAAGCTGACGAGCGCAGCTTTATGGATTGATTTTCCTCGGATCGAGCACTGCTTTTGCTTCCATGGTTAGCGCCAACATCGTCTTCATGATGACTTCATATGTCGTTCCGCAGGGCATAGTGGCTTGGCGTGGTCGTTCCCGCGTCCTTCCTGCACGGCACTTTGAGCTCGGGAACTGGGGTCTTGTCATCAACATCACAAGCTGTGTATGGGTGATATTCCTAGACATCGTGGCTTGCTTCCCAATCAATCGGCCTGTTACTGCTGCCAACATGAATTACGTCGGGTAAGAAGATCCAACGCGAAGCTGCTAATCAAAGCACACTCAGTTAACATTCAAAACTTGCAGTATTGTTATTGTCGCCATCACAAGCTACGTTGCATTAGCTTGGCATCTTTGGCAACGGCATGTGTTCAAGGGACCTACGGTGGCTCTCCAGATGGTGGACCAACATGCACACTCAGGGATGGCTTGTTACGAACATGCACCCTTGCATAAGAACAAACAAATGTGTTGGCGCTTAAGGAAAGAAGGGAGGGGCTTAGCACCGAAAGCCGGGAACAAGTCAAGACAGGAACCACCATCCTTGACAGCTGCCAGCCAGCTGCCTGACAGGATCACAGTCTTGGCAATGATCCAGACGGTTGGATCATTGGGATCATTGAACTCCATCGACTCCAGGACTATGGAGTCGGCTTGGCATTATGATCCAAGGAACATCAGTGAGGGAATGAATGGATATATATTACAGAAGGATTTCCTACATAGACAGTCATTACCTCAGTGATCAATCTAAGCATCTATCTTACCCATAGGTGAAGCATTCAATACGCTTTGACGACTACACTTGTGACATCAGTTTATGATCATCTTTATTACTCTTTGCTCAGCTTAGTATCTCGTCTAACGTTCCCTGTTAGCATAAACCCCAACACCCCTTATACTCAGGTTTATTCTAGAAACCCGTAGTATAGTCGTTACATGGCTCTTCAGACGAAAGCTGTTTACAGTCTCCTTGGGGGGCATGACAAGGAAGCTGCCGTGGCTCCCTTGAAAGACAAAGATGGAAAGTCAGACTAGCCACTCATAGAGTTGTCTGTTGAGCCTTGTCCTCGGAGCGAATGTGATTACAGTGCATTAGTTAAAGCTGTTCATATGTGGCTGCTGGATTGCTGGCGGGGCTTAATTGAAGGTTTGCGCTCTACTGTAAGATGAAATACAGTAACATGATCTTTGACAGATTTACACCACATCAAGGGGCAACCACCAGTTATTGAAGAGCTTTTCGATTGAGTCGAATGCTACGGTTTCAATTGACAGCTGAGTGCAAGATTACAAATGACCTTTCATTCATCTAGGAGCAAAATGCTAAAGTCTTGCATATCAACTCATCAAAACCTTCTTGACTCTGCTATACTCCTTGGAATGTGAATACCTGACCTTGAAAGACCTTGGGCATGGCGTAAGAAAGTTTTCCAGCCGAACTCCAGAACGCCGTGCCCCTTCAATGAAATAGGATGAGCGTGCGAACAATTTCTACTCTTCGAACATGATAGAGTCCTCAAAGTTGTGGTTGTCTTCTGTGATTGTGTATGGAACCAAAGACCACCCTGTCCCCTCAAGCATGTGCTCTTCATACTCCTCGAGCATCCTCCTGGCCATCTCGTCGCGCTCCCTATCCAGGGCTGTGTACGGCCCAAAAGACCACTCTGTCATTTGTAGAAAGTGGAACTCATCTCCCAACATAAACAAGTCATCGCCAGGTATTTCTTGGGCAGCATTTGAAAACTCTCTGGACTGCGTCACTGAACAATCAATGAATGAGGCAGGGTTGGATACTTCTTCCGGGGAACCTGATTGCGGATAGCAGCCAGCGGGCCGTTTGCAAAGGCGACATCCCTCCAAAGATGCATCATCGTAAATGAAACGAGCGCAGCTGTGAAATCGATCAGTTGCTCGAGGCTTTCGAGCAAGTTCAGAATCCTCGGGGTCCCACCCTCCATGGTCCTTGAGGAGATTTGCCGTTGCGTAGTGGCATCCCTGGATGGCAAAATTCACTGCCCGAACAAAATGGATCCTCTGGCGTCCTCGAATATTAATCCCATGCGAAAGCAGGAGCTCTGCCATGTCGATTCTTCCGTTCATTGCTGCTTTTTCCAAGGCTCTTTCGCCATGCGATAAGGCATTGATATCAAGGCCATGTTCTAGAAGAAAACTGGCCTTTTCTAGATCCCCACATGTTGCGGCACCAATGAGTAGGTCCGAAAACACAGTATCGGCGTCAATGTTAGCTCCGGCTTCTATCAGCAGTGATGCAATCTTCCAGTGACTTGAATCCAATGCGCAGCACAAAGCTGTAGAATAACCGCTTGATGCTTGCCAATCAACGGTTGCGCCCGCCTCCAGGATCGTCCTCACACAGTCTATGTCGCCGATACTAGCTGCAAGCTGGAGTGGAGAGTATGATTGATGATCCACAATTTCATAAAAATCAAGGCAAGTCAGAATTGATAGATGTAGACTAATTGTTTCAAGGCCAGCTGAGGTTTTGATGGCGGCCAAGAGCAGGCAGCGATGCCAGGACGGCTCTTTGATTGATGACATCGGGCAGGCTGCCATTAACATCTCCCTGACTCCGTAGCTGATGGTAGCTGGCTTGTAGTTGTACATGGTTTCTATGAGCAAAAGATCTGGTTGATAGCCGTGGTCAAGCATTGCCCTGATCAGCCGATCCTGTGCCATAAGAGCTGCCAGCAACATTGGTGAACAGAGGCACCTATCTTTGAACCGCTGAACGTACAAAGGACTGGAGCACTTGTGGTATTTCATGCCTCTCCATGATTCGTTCGAAGTGATGATCAGGCCTTGGTCTTCGTCCTCTGGCATGGATGAGTCTAGTAAAAGACCAGCGTGCCAGCAGTAAATAGAACGTGCCGAGCTCGCTCTGAAGGCATCACCAAGGAAAATGTTGATCAAGAAAGCGTCAGCCGCTCGGATTGAGAGGACAAAGCCAGTGGCTTCGTATTCATCCACTGGGCCAGGTGGTCGCTTTGCCAGGAGATCCTCAAACCCATGGTAAAGATTCATTGTGACAGCCCGGTTCACACCGTGTAGCAGTGCTTTCGAGCTGTATATACCACCACAGCTGAAATAATGCCGAGCCATGGTCATGTTGCCTACTTGATAGGCAGCTTCCAGTACGGTTTCACCGTTTTCACCGGTTGCGAATATGTCAGCGCCCCGTGCAAAGAGTAGCTGTATAACTTCTTCATCGCTGCTCCGTATAGCTTCGACCAAGTTATGACCTGAAATGAAAGCGCCGGCATCAAGAATTTGACGCACAATTTCTCGTCCCTTTCGGCCACTAATGGCAATGTCAAGTGCATCTTGCAAATCCTCGTTGAATTGCCCATCGATGTCTTCACAGCAAAGAAGTGCCGTGTGTACTAGGATGATGGATCCCAGCTCCACGAAATCTTTGAGCGCAACATCGCCAGCATCGGCTCCAAGCTCTAGCAAGGTCTCTGCAGCCACGCGATGACCCATGCGTACTACACACTCTAAGGGACTCCGAATATCGGGTCGGTCATCCATGTCAGTTTCGTCAAGAGCTTCAAACTGCAACTCCTCACCAGAATTGATGTCGAACCCGCAAGACGTTAGCAGCTTTGTCAACGGGACATTCCCATATAATGCCGCCATTTGAAGATGTGAAACGCTTGGGGTGATAAACTCGGATGGGGCGGCACCGTGTTTTAGTAGATGAATCGCGATCCGGCAGTCCGGAATCCAGGCTATCGCAATAAAGGCCCAGTTCACCAAGTTCTGGTTGTGGAGGATTTGTGCATCGAGACTCAACAGTCTATGCACAGTAGCTTCATCTCCCGAGAGGCAGGCAGTAAGGAACCCCTCCTCGAATATTTCATGACGATTCTCCTGTTCCAAGACTGCAGCGATAATCATTGCCAGAATGTCAATCTCGTTGGAAACAATAGCAAGTTGTAGTGCTGTGACTTTTTGTTCCCAGACTTGTCCATAGACATTGACTTGGTATTCGTAGTCACCTGTGACGTAAGGAAGCGGGTCTAGCTGGAAATCACTTTGGCCTTCATCGGCCAAAGACTCAACAGGAGGGACCTGTATTACCGTATCTTGAGCACCTTGCTGTATAAGGAATTCTACAAGATCTCTATTATTTTGTGAGACAGCTTCCATAAGCGGTGGAAGAAACCAATCAAATGACTGTTGGTCATATCGGGCGCCCTTATCCAAGAGAAGAGTAGCGAATCGTAAGGTGTCCTGATGTTTAGGTCTGTAACAAAGAACTTGAAGAGGTGTAGGTGATCCAAGGTCCACCTTGGCCCCATGTTCAATCAGAAAAGTTGCCATGGGCAAGTCGCAAGTTGAAGCTGCATACTGCAAGGCAGTACTTTGATTGATCGGCAAATACCTACTATTCAGAGCCGCCTTTCCTCGTACTAAGTTGTGCATTTCACCGTTCCCTAATTCCAACGAAGTCAAGACATTCAGATCTGTACCGCTTCTCCAGAGGCTTTCAATTAGGTCTATATTGCCCCATGATACTGCAGCGCTGTACAAAGTCTCTTTGATGGCTTTCGAGGTTGGGTCCGTAGCAGCCATGAGTGCATTGAAGACGGTAGCACTGAGACGGCGTAACTCGAAGACTAATGTAAGCAGGGATCGATATTGATTCTTTTGTTCTTCACTATAGCTTGAACTGAGCATTTTGTTTGACAGCTGGAATAGACAGCTTTTCAAGAAATACGCTGACAACTTGCGTGGATCCTCCATGAGGTCAGAGATTATGGATTCGTGTGAGGTGTTTGGCAGAGATGGTAGCATCCGAATGAGATCAGCTGCCCATGTTGACGACTGATTTGGGTTTGACGTTGCGAAGAGGGCACGAGCGAGTTCCATCGGCCTGGGAACTGTTGAAATGGATTTTGAACCGGAAATGCTCATTACTTCTGCTAGTGAACACAAAAGCTTCGACGAAATTGGTAGAGCTAAGCAACGTATAAGTCTTTCAATCTGGCCGTAAGGCATGATCATGAACCGTACCTATATGAAACCCGGCATCGAACTGAATCCACGGTAGAGACTTTGGCCAAAATACTTGACTATTCTCCAAAGCTGGCGGACTCGCCATCACGATTGGACAGCCATCCGGTCGCTCTGGACTATGAGCTACCAAGATTGTTCAGCTAAAGTGATGGGAAAACTTTCTCATTGTACATACCTATTCCGTATTTGCGAGCCAGTGATAGGCCAGGCTGGTTTCTCTGGAGGGCTCTTTTCATGCGACTTTGCAAAATCGGCAACCCGTTCAATTGGAGCTGGGACTTCTTTTGCTGCGCCTGTCTTTTCTCAATGGCATGGCTTGCATAGCTCCAACTGCTGCTTGGTATATTCTTGCGAGCCTTCCACTTCTTGAGTATGTACTCATACTGAGACCTTCTGGAAAGTTATTAGCAGATTGTATCCGAAAGCAAGGACTTTTTCATCTTACTTTCGATCGAATCCGTGCTTTTGTAACATATGGGCTGCCACATGGTCAAGTGTGAGATTCTCCACCATCCAAAGACGCATGATTTCGTCCCGGTAAGGCTCCCAATCTTTCGACCGGGTCATCGTCAAGGATTAGTGGAATGTAACAAGAAATTAGCACGTAGTTGGAAACTTTGCGACAGACCACCCAACACTACGTTGACGGGGTATTGTGGATTTTGTAATGAGGTCGCGTTTATTAGTTGTATGTGATTTGGCAAAGAGATTCAAGGTTGACAGTAGCGAAGAAATACACAAGCAAGGAAACGGCTGCCCAGATGTTGAAGTACAGCAGCCTCATATGAGAACAATGAGGGCAATGTATGTGCTGTGTATCAGGTAATGACGCTGTAGCTGCAACATCATTGGTCCATTTCAAAACCAGAATATGCACGGCTTATGCACCAGGATCCGACACGTAGCATTTGTTTTCGCCTTGGCAGCCAATGCGGCCATCTCATTGGGCGTCTCCAAAATCAGAAAATGAAAGATGATGCATTAGGCTGCGAGGGCGGAAGCTGGATGGCAGAGCGCCCAAATCAAGTTCACTCCACCATCTCTTTGCCCCTCAGCCACGGTGCTCAGGCCACTTTGCCTTGTAAATCTTTGAAAGCTGCTCTGTCAAGGCCAATAGGGCACGTTGTGTGAATTCGACATACCTTTTGAAGTCGTGCATGAAGGCGCAGGATAGATAAGGCAACGTGATAGTGTCGCAAAGGTACACATTACCTACCTAGGTATGTACTCTGAATCCGTCGCGATGCTCCGCCAGGTTGCACTGCCAAAAGTAGGATTTCCACACCCTGCCCAGGCTAGTGTAGAGTGATATATCGCTTGCAACATGATATTAGGCCTATTTTGGCTTTCCAGGAAACATGGTTGCCGTGTATCCTCTATTTATGGGAATACCATTCATAATCTGCTCAGTACTGGCTCGATGTCTTGATTGCTACAGCGCAGCGAATGCCTACAAGGAGGTTTGGTGTACAATTTTCCTGCGAATTCCATCCCATTGCCCCAAGTTCGGTGTCAGGGTCTTATTCGGTGGACTGATCTCATGTCGCACACAGCCTGCCTACAGCACAGCATCCATCTCACTACTACCCCGCAGATCAAATTCCAACTCCTTCCATCTCTTACTTCCTTTCTGCCGCATTCAAGTCCTGTGATGCTCACACTTGGGGGAGGAACACCATCTGTTTTGTCGCGGCTCAACACGCCTTCTGTTGATCTGCCTTTTGAGGCGTCACCATGTCGATTGATGCATTGTCCTTGGCGTGCAACATCATCACCGTGATTGACTTTGGTAACAAATTTTACCAGTCATTTCGCGACATTTACGAGAATCACAAGCCAGACACGGCCGCTGAAGCCAATGCGAATGATCTGCTCCTCCTGGCAGAGAAGCTCAAAGATTCGCGGAAAAAGGCTCACCAGTCGGCGCTAAAGAATGATCTGCTCTTTCAGATTGTGGACAAATGTGCCAAGGCTGCCACGGAGCTTCAGCAAGAGATTGTCAAGCTTGCTCCACCGGGATCATCCTCTCGTACCAAACATGGCTTGCAGTCGCTTGTGTCGGCGACCAAGCGCACTTGGCGGCACAATCGCATTGAGCAGCTCAAGAAGTCGCTGGATGATTGCCAGGCCACGATGCAAAATGCGGTTCTGATCAAAATCTACGAGTCTGGCGAAGCAGAGCGAGTGCAGCGATTTGAGGACTTTGGAAAACTGGATTCACGTCTTCGAAATTTCATCCAAGCCGTTTCCAAACATGAGCTGCAGATGTCTGAGCTGCTGGCTGAGAATCGGTCTCTTCATCAGGAAACTCAGGCTGTTCTGCGGCAAGAAGTGGCTGCTTTGAGAAGCGTCCAAATCTTTGAAGCAGAGGTTGCTCGCTTGAAAGCCAGTCTCAAGTTTCCTGGATTGAATCAACGATACAACGACCTACAAACAGCTCACCCGAGCTCATTACAGTGGCTTTTGGGTCGTATCAAGAAAGAGGCGGGTGCCTCGGACAGGGACAGCGCAACGTATGCCGGTGGGAGCCATCAAGGCATCGAAGAAGAGCCAAAATACCTTCGGAATTTGCGCGAGGAGACTTTCGGCGATTTCAAGAATTGGTTGATATCCGAACTCAATTCGAAACTGTATTGGGTAAGCGGGAAGCCCGGGGCCGGTAAAAGCACCTTGATGAAGTCTCTTTTCCAGCAAATGGAAAGCATGGATGTAATTCCGGGTCCTCACCTGGTCATTCGCCACTTCTTCTGGCTCGGAACAACAAACACACGATCGAGGCACAATGACATGAAGGGCATGTTTCTGACATTCTTGCATCAACTTCTGGAGAGCGAGGCGTCTGATAGTATACTCCAGAGGATTCCCCACTCGCGCCAAAAAGACACGCACACAGAATGGAGCATGGAAGAGCTGCAAGATGCAGTCCTGGAAGCTTTACAACTGCTGAGTAGCCACTACTCCATCTACGTGCTAATAGATGCGCTTGATGAGCATCTTCCAGTAGCGAAGCACGGAGAACTACTGCAAGTAATCAGAAAGCTCGAGGCGATGCCCAATATGCGACTGGTGGTATCAAGTCGCAGGGAGCAAATCTTTGAGAAAGGCCTATCTAGCTCCAGGCAACTCCATCTCCAAAGGCTGACGGCACCAGACATTCATTATTTTGCTCTAGACTCACTGAGCAATGCAATGAACTCTGAACACTATAAATCGGGGCGATTCTTGTATGGTATTGTCGAAACAATTGTGAATAAAGCAGACGGAGTCTTTCTCTGGGCTCGATTGGCTGTTGATGGCATTAAGCGCGGCTTCGTTGACGGGAACTCCGAGGACGAGCTAGAAGATCGCCTCAATGACATGCCCGCGGAGCTATTCGAATACTTTAAATCTATTTGGAGCCGTCTAGGAGACGACGAAAAGAGATACCAGACCAGGGCTGGCAACATCTTCACACTTCTTTTGTCCGAAACTTGGGATAGAGGGACCTTTCATAATCACCTCAAAGGTCCTTTGAATCATATGAAAGGAACGGATAAGGATCTTTTGTATCTGAGCTTGGCTTTGGACACAGATCTGGCTCGCGTACTCATTCAGGGGGATGAGCGCAATGAGAAAAAAGTACTGCTCGAACTATGTCAAGATACAGAAAGAACAATCTTGTCAAGCTGCGCGGGACTGGTGGAGCTGCAAGAAGACAAGCGAGGCTATTGCATTCCATGCAATGTCGAACCTATGGTCTTGAGTAAGAAAGCTGCATTCATTCATAGAACAGCAAGGGAATTCCTTCGCGAGACTGCTGAAGGCAAACACGTTGTGGATTGCAACAATTTGGGCGAGTTTGGCCCTGATTTCCGAGTGCTGCTAGCGGCGCTAGCGAGGTCAGTGGTCTTTAGGGGACCGAGGCAAGTCCCTCGCCAATGCTTACCGAAGAGATGGCTTGATTTGGGCTATTTCCTCAGATCGTTCCGTTTTCTTATTGAGCGTGGGTCGCCATTGGGTCAACCGCAGCGATACGACCTAATTGACTTGTGCCATCGAGTCTATTATCGATTATCGGGTCATCCAGACAACCCCATTTTTGGGCAGTGGAGACCCGTCCATCCCTTGATCATCTATCCATTCATCGCCTTTGCAGCACGGTGGGGCCACGGCGACTGGGTGGTTCAGTGGATGAAAGCACAAGTCAGTCAAGGTCGCACCTTCTCGCCAGAGGCTTACGTTATTGTGTTCAGAGCAAGTTTGGAGTGCGGATTAGAGGATGACGATTTCGACCCACTTTCCCCGGATCTCAACACATTGTTTACATCTACGAGCAAAATGAATCCTTGCTTGCCCAGATGTTTTGTTCCTTCATGGGAACATTCACAAATTTCACCATTGGTCAACATATCCTTATCTTCTACCCCTCAGGAGATTCTGAGGGAGATCTTGCTCGAAATGCAACGATCTCGGACTACAGTAGTCAAGCGCCTTATAGAACTTCTCACAAGACTGGGTTGTGATCTCTTTGCAACTGTACCGTGGGTGTATAGATCTGGTGAATTTCCTGAAAAATCAATATGGGAGCTTCCCCAGCAATTGTCCCAGCCTGTGCTGGTCAAGCAAAATGAAACACAACGATCGGCAGCACAGTCGATGGAGGTAGCACGAGTGCATATGTTGTTCGAAGCAAGCCTCTTGTGGCTGATCCAATGCGCGGCTCGTACATTGGCAGCTATACCTGAAGCTAAAGGCCTATGCCACGACCTGGAAGAATTTGTTTCTTTGCATGGCCAGAGTGATCGGGTAGTACAGACGCCAAAGCCCATCCTGTTGTTCACAGCTAAAGCAGATGATTGGGTGACAGGATTTCGAGGGCCCACCAGAATCGTGGTACGAGATGTGAAAAAGATGCCAGTTGAATCGAAAGTCCAACTGGGTGAGATTGGCCAAGATGGCGTATTGAGATGGCCACTGGAACAGATATGGGAAGATTCAGGAACAGAGGTCTTGAATGACGCACAGATCGAAGAATTGCTTATCCGTCACAAAATTTGGTGCTCCAAGGCCGATTTGAAGCAGCTGGCGATGAAATGTAATATTCGGATGGAAGATGGAGCGGCTCCCGAAAATCAGCATGACGATTGGCGGTTGATTGTGCCTCCTCCAGGAGCCACTGAAGAACAAGAAACACTCGGCTATCTTACGATGCCGTTTGTGGCGAATGATTAAAGCCTTTTCGAGGGGCAGAACCCTCATATGTGGCGCTGATACGAAGTATTGTGAGCTGGAAGGCATTGCTACGACCAAATAGGGCCACAATTTAGCACCCTTGCTTTCCGCCAGATTTTGCCATTTGCCAAATATCTAGCCACATGAGCATATTCGCGTACGGAAACACAAAATATGCACCGAAACTACAATGCCAAGCGGAAACTCGGCACTCTCAATTATCAATTGGTGCGCAGTAAGTTTTCTAGTACCTGATCGGCCCAAGTCCACCCCTGTCAATGGACATTAGATCAAGCTTTTTGGTCCAGATGGATGAAGCCGGTGGCCCGGTCACTAGCGGAATATGGTGCCGAGTCCCGTGATATCCGAGGCCGGATCTTATCAGATCAAACTATTTGATTATCTTTGTGATTGATAAAAAAAATTGTCTCCATGGGTATATAGACGATTGTTTCCCCATGATCCAGTCTCAATTTGGAATTTGGGGACAGCCAAGTCAGGAAGTGAAACCATCAGTTTTGGTCGCCAATATGAACTCGAGCAACAAGAATTCAGACCCCGGAAGTCCCAGAGTTGAGGAGCTTCGTGCCGACAAACCTTCGAGACGATGCACATGGAACCTCCGGTCCGTCAGCTCGCAGGTTCTCCTCGTCTCTGCCACTGCCTCATGCACCATAGGCTCCTTCAATGCTCTGCAAGGCCTTGGAGGCGCAGGCCAGGAACAACCCTACGTGGCCAATGCAGCCACAGCCATCAACTTTGCGCTCATGGGCATCGTGTGTCTGCTGGGCGGCCCGCTGGTGAACAAGATTGGCACAAAATGGTGCCTGGCCATTGGCACCATTGGCGACCCCATCTTTGCGGCAGCTCTATACCAAAACACCCGCTTCGGCACGCAGTGGTTTCTCATATTCGCGGCCGTCTTCCGCGGCGCCTGCAGCGGTCTCTTTTGGGCGACCGAAGGCTTCATCATCATCGGGTACCCGCGGGAGCAGTGGCGAGGGCGGAGCATCACGACGTGGGTGGCCTTCAAGGAGCTCGGCAGCGTCATCTCGGCCTCGATCAACCTCGGCCTCAGCGCAAAGGACAACAAGTCGGGTCACGTCGGCTACGACGTGTACTATGTCACGATTGCCATCATGTGTCTGGGTCTGCCAATTGCTCTGCTTATCTCACCGACGAGAAATGTCTTTCATCGCGACGGAACTCCCGTGGCTGATGACAAGACAAGTGGTGGTAAAATGACGAGCTACAAGGAGCAATATTCGCAACTGTTTTCCCAGTTCAAGAGAAAAGATGTGCTTCTCTTCATACCGTATGCTTGTTTTGCGTACTTTTACTACTCCTTTGCCCACACATATGTCACGAAGCACTTTTCTGTCAGAGGACGAGCCCTGGTATCTCTCTTGACTGCGGTCGCATCCGTCATTGGATCAGCTCTCGTCGCAATTGTCTCGGATATTTCCGGTCTCAAGAGACGCGGGAGCACCTTGAAGCTGTTCCTCGCCACGGTGCTAGTTCTAGTCCTCTGCGCCGCCAGTTGGGGGTACTTTGCATACAATGCGCTGCGACCGCCAGCACACAAGCTCGATTGGCTGGACGCGGGATACGGCAAGACGGCTGCTTCGGTCGCCCTTCTCTTTCTGGCGATGCAGTCGGCTCAGACGTATTTGTACTGGAATGCTTCGCAGATATCAGAGACTTTTGAGGATAACGCGCATCTTGCCGGGGTAGTTCGTGGGATCGAGTCTCTCGGTCAAAGTGTCGCATATGGAATCAATGCATCAAACACGGCACCAGTGGTCAGTGTTAGCATTAACCTGGCTTTGCTAGTGATAGGTGGAGGTTGCTTGTTGATGCTTGTGGCCAGGAATGGAGGGAGAAGACGGTAGAAATGTAACTTCAATTACCCTCGAGGCTACTGACTACATTGTAAAGATAAACTTGCTCCTAGAACAGCATGTCCATATAAGTGGTATTGATCATTTCATATCCCGCATCCATCAAGTCATTCCACGGTATGTCAAAATTTGGAGTGGGCTGAGCAGGGACACCCATGTCCTCTGCCCGGAAACCTTCGTCGGGGCGAACACTGAGAAATTTGAGCCCAAACCAGGACAAAAACTCTGCATCGACCAGTTCTTCTGACTGCACAGGCTGATCAAAGACGGTGAGCACAGCTGAGCTCAGCCGCTCAATGATTTCCGTGCATCTGCTGCCCACTGACCGACCAGAGGACAGACTCTGCAAGAGGCGCACCGCAGATGAAATATTGGCCTCGGCGACAGACTTGCTCAGCTCATCCCGAATAGCCGAGCTGGCACGGATACAGTACAAGATGGTGACGGCAGCCATGAAGACCGAGTTTAGCGCGAGAAAGGTGTAGACAATCTTGTTCTTGGCGTACAATGCATTGTAGCAGCCGACCATGCTGATTGCCGAGTCCATGCACAGTCGAAGGCTATCGATTGAGCTCATGGGTGCGCCGCGCGAAGGGCGATAGAGCGACAAGACGGCTTGATGATAGGCAATCTGGAACCATTCGGGAGACTGGAACATTGAGGCCGTTGGCAAGTATCTCGGCGACGCTGCAATCCAGTCGTTTAGCCGCGAGAGATACCCCGATCGGACAGTGTCGAGAGCGACGTCGGCCATGCCACTTATAACGGGAGCGTGAAAGCTTTTGTAAATTTCGCCATTGAGACGCCGAAGCTTGCTTACGTGAATGAATGTTGACATGTCATCACTTTGTGCTACCAAATTGCCCATCACGGGGCCTTCGCTGAGCTCCATCAATTGAGAGTCGCTGAGCTGCAATGGCAGTGGAGTGGTAATGTCCGTATCTTGGATACCCAATGGCCGGCCCATGGCGATTGCCATGCTGCGATCCATGACATATGCGCACCAGAATATGCGTTTGGACATTTCGGCGTGGAGTAGATCCAGCTTTGAGGTGGTCTCGGCACGATGTAGATCAATGCCAATGGCAAGGCGTAGTGCCAGACCGCTTGTATACCACATGTTGACGGATTGTGGCTCGTTGCTGCCATACATGCATAGCAATAACAGACATTGGATGCACTCTAGATCATCAGCGTTGAGAATCAGGTGCAAGTCACGGATGGCAATTTGAAAGAAATCTTGATGCGACAAGGTTTGGCTGCGGTTTGCTGACGGCGCTTCTGCGCCAGCAATGGCGAGAACCATGTAAACCTGGAAGTGAGAGAGGTCTTTTGCAGGTTTGCCATTCAGAAGAGGCTCATAATGCCTCTGCCTGAATGTAGGCTGGTGTAGAATGGGCAGAGACGGCCATCGGCGGGCGAAAAAAATGTCAATCAGCTTTGATGCATGTGCGTCCAAAGGCCAGGCTGTTTGTTCAGCAAGTCCGGGAGTGGCGGCAGTGGTTGGGTCATCTCTCCACAGATGCCACGGACTGCTCTTGAATGCGTCGTCTACTTCTTGTCCATTCAGTCTTGATGCAAAGGTTGGGCGTAGTATCCGCCCCGTGTAAGCTATGTCGAGGCTGCGACACGGGGCCGCGCTGATGCTTTGGCCTTCCGAGGAGGTGTAGCCAAGGTGCTGCTGCGAATCTCCGTCGCCGTTCTGGTGCTCGTTCAATGATCGAGACTCTAGAGCCTGCACCTCGGCCTCAAGCCGGGCTACCTTCTCTCGGAGTCCCACGCAGTGACTACAAAAGTCTGGACGGACTACCAATCGCTCCGAAGGCACGCAGATGGCTCTGGCCGAGCCACAGGGGCCGCAGATAGGGAGTTTTCCATCGCACTGGCAGCAGTTACTACCATGGCAGGGCTGGGGCGGAACAGAATGCCGATATTACCCACTTTTTGTTTCCTCCGGCGGCAGCGTTCGCAAGCAGCCGCACTCCTCTTCAAACCTCTCCGATGGGCTGGGGGGCTGCCAAGGGAATTTGCTCGCGATGCATTTCTATTTGAACCCGGTGAAGACATTTTGCCAAAGGATCATCGCTTATGCCGATGAGGTGCGAATGGGGGAGGACAAATGACTGGATAGCCGTAGTCTTCCCCGCCGTGAAGGCTTGGCGAGTCAAGGACCAAGCATAACCACAACTTTCGGCCTTCGGAAATAGCCGAATTTACGTACTGAAACCTAGCTGTCACATGATGGACTCGCCAACCATATCCACTTTGGAACAAAAAGAAATGGGGATTTTGATTCTTGTATTCAAGTGTCATATAACGCTTGTGTTATATCCGATATCTTAATCTATTCAAGGCGCCCCCTCGCGGGCGAAAAGACTGTCCACAGCGGCGGTCTCTTGTTGAACCTGCCATAATGAGATAGGTTTCAGGATTCGATGCCGCAAGTGCAAATATTTCAGCATCGATCCAGGACAAAGCGGTGGAGCGGGTATCAAACCGACACTTATTGAAACATCTCGGCACCCGCGACGCAGAGCGACCTCCCTCCAACGTGCCACGACTTTGGCATTGAGTGTATGGTTCCAAGAGCTCAACCATGTTATCCCGACGGTACTGAATGGTTTTCTTTGATAACGGAATATGGCAGCTTCCATCTTGCATCCATTCCACAGCTCCATCACTTGTAAATTCGGCATCTCAAGTGCTGCATTGCCGGCAGTGTGCAGTAGATTGTTGAGGCGCTCGTCACTGTTGCGTAGGCTTAATTCGCACGACGTTAGACTGACAAATTGGAGCTGAGGAAATCTGGGAAGTGCTGGATCTCTGGTTGGCAGATAATGTGAGAAAAAGTCTCGGGCGTCAATCAGAAAAGATACCGCGAGTGATTCCAATTGTGCACTGGCGCGGTAAATCGCGGCAGCCACTAGTGGAAGTTCAGGTATGATGATTTCTTCGAGAGTCTCGTAGTATCCGTCACAGTCCTCGTATAAGGTCAACTCTTTGAGCATGGGAAAATGCTGTAAATGGAAAAGACTCTCCATCCCTGGTTATTGTTTGGTTAGTCAGAGCAGCAAAAGGCATCGAACGTGAAAACTTGGTCACAAACATTTGTATTCTTTCGACGGTGCCATCTGAGGAAAGTGAGAAAGAGAGCGCCAGGTCTCTCGATGGAAATATTCCAATCTCGGCAAAGCTTGAAGCATAGTGATGATTGACCTGCTTGCGAAAGTCCGGTAGCACTGCCTCCGAAAAAGCAGGCGTGTAACGACCATCACCTCTGGGAGATCAAGAGTAATGTCGATAGGAGTTCCATGAGCTGTCAATCTTTCGCGTATGTAGAACAGCCCATGAAGAACTGGGTTGCGAGATCGCATCCATTCGGGCGCACCAGTCAAAACAGTCCTTGGGCGCAGTCTTTTCGCCCAGGGGTTCTGGTCGAAATCATCCTGATCAGAATAGAAGAAGGGTTCGAATTGGTGATTTTCGAACCAATGCTCCGCGTCACTCGGCGAAAAGACGCTCAGTTCCAACGTCAGGCCATCATGTTCAGTAGGGCTCCAACGCGACAAGTTGGTGAAAAGACCTTTTAGTGCCCAACTAGTGATATTGTTATACTACTGACCTATTAGCAATGGAAATCAACCGTGGGATACGTACACACTCCTGCAGTTCTCATTGGTGATTCACCTGCTCGGCATGCACCACATGGGTAGGGTTGCAGCCGCATATAAAAATGGATGTGCTTGATGAGTTTCCGACGATGTCTGATATTTCGGTCCATTTCTGAGACACGTGGAGGAGATATAATAAGCTGCCGAAATGTCTGTTGCTCGAATACGTCCCGCCATTCTTTGCAAACTGTAGCAAATTTCGATAGGCGATCTGTCGAGGTCGAGCTGCTGTTGCGCACATCCTTGATCAGGCGCTCGAGAATGGCCAGGCGTAATTCGTAGGGAAGCTTTGTAAAATTGGTCATTTTGGCTTTTCTGAAGCATGTATACAATTAATGCAAAAGCAGCAAAAGCGATTTCGAGAATTTGAAGAGTACAAAGCAACAAGTAGGTACATTTTGAAAAGGCCGGCTGACTTTGTTTACTTGAACTGATGGGACTTGTCGTTCTTTCCCGTCCAGCAACCTGGCCGCTTCCTAAGCAAGCAAATCTCTCCTAACTCATCATACGTCATGAATCTTGAGCCAGTTATCTTTATCCACTGTATCGAGGTTACCCTGTTATTAGAATTGTATCATGGTCTCTTGCGCAGCTAGTCTTTTGTAGTGGCCCGGCAGGTTGGCTGACGAGAAATCACTGGTAGTTGGTGTAAATTGAGGTCAAGAGATTGGGGAAAGGAAAAATTGACATGAACGAATGATAACCATAGGCTTTTTCTGCCGTACAATACTGGCGACCTTTTCATGTTGCAAGACTCAAGCACCTTTGACAAGTTTCGGCAATCGGAAGAAAGTACATATGTAATCTACAGGTAGTAGCCAAAACTGCCTGCCACCTAACCTAGAAGTTAGTGGATCGACATGCTAAAAATGAGCTATTCGTGGGGACTCCAGTACCCCCGCCCTTGGGAGGAAATGCACTGTCGGAACGATCCGGCCAATCCTTTCGGGCTACGATTGAATGGCGATTTTGCACTCTGCATTAGCATAGGTATTTGCGAATAAATTGACGGGGATAGAAATGATTGAAATGCAAATCAGATTACTGATCCGACCGAAACTGAAGGTGTATTCTTCCTGCGTATCTCTCCATTCCCCTAACTGGACTTCATCCACCATCCCCTTCATTTATCAGCTTTGCTGGACCACCTCATTCATCATGTCAGATAACCAGGCCGCCCAAACGAGCCTCCTCCCACCCGGTGCGTTTGACACCCACGTGCACGTCTTTGATCCAAACTTGGGCCCCTACCACCCCTCGCGAGCCTATACTCCTGCTGATGCACCGCTTTCTGACCTTCTTGGATTTCTCACTTCTTTGACAACATCACGGAAATCGACAAATATCGTCTTGGTACAGCCATCACCGTATAGAACCGACAACAAGGTTTTGCTAGCTGCCCTAGGTCAACTGCAACTCGACGCATCGGTTATAGCTAGGGGCATTGCCGTGGTTGATTTGGATTCCGTCTCAGAGAGTGCGCTTGGAGATATGCATGCTGCAGGAATTCGTGGTCTTCGGCTCAATCTACAGTCTGATGGACGCGACGTTGACATGGAGCTACTGTACAAGAATATGCACAAGGCTGCCAACTTAATCCAGTCTCTCCCAGGTTGGAAATTGCAAATCTTTTGCCGCGGGTCAATGTGGGAAAGTAGGCATCATCTACCGTACTTGACGCATGGGACTAAGCTTAAAAGTGTGTGCAGGACTGTATTCCATCATTGTCGATCTTCCTGTTCAAGTCATTGCAGATCATATCGGTGGTCTTTTGGGCTCTTCCAAGCTGCAAGAGGCGGCAACGCCCGCAGACGCATTACATCAGCCCGGCTTCCGGCAACTACTGGATCTCGCGAGACTTGGGCGGGTAGTTATCAAGGTGTCTGCTCTGTACCGATCATCAGATGAAACTGCCACAACTTATGCCGACATGGCCCCAATCATTTCCAAATTGGCCCAAGAGGCTCCCGACAGTCTGATCTGGGCCAGTGATTGGCCGCATACTGGTGAGGGCGCCAACAGAGTAGGAGGTAAGAATTTGGAAAAGATTGAAGAGTTCAGGAAGATAGACGACGCGGCCATCTTGACCAAACTACGAGAATGGGTTGGGGATGAGCAAGTTTGGCACAAGATGATGGTTGTTAATCCCAAACGAGTCTTCTATTGAGAAAGTCGTAGTTGGCATGAATCGGACATTTTTAACTTGGCTACTGCCATGGGAGAAATTGGTGCAAAAGACACGTGCGATAATTATAATACCTTGAAAAAAAAAACTTGCACCATATTATATAATTTATTTTAATTAACATCTCTACGAACGCGGTTTTTAGGTATAATCCTACTGCAGGAATTACGGCGCAGTCAAATATTCCTTAGAGTAATATCTGCTTGGTTTGGCTTGCCTTTTAATATTAGCAATATAGTTTATTTACTTATTATAATCTCTTAGCAATACTATTTCTGCCATATCCTCCTACGCTGATGGATCTTTCCTTTCAACGTGTTGCGTCTCTCCGCCTTTCTGAATATCACCATCTTCCAATTCCCTGCTCAAAGGTTGTCTCATTTGGTAGATATGACGCTCAAAGATGCGATCAAGATCATCCAGACTCAGTCCACTCGTCTCCGGTACGAAGAAGTAGGTGTACCCCAGAGCGACGATGCACCAAGCGGTAAAGAAGAGAAAAGCACCCCAGGTGTTGAGGCTACTAATCAAACTCGGAGTCGCCTTGGTAATGGCAAAGTAAAAGAGCCAGTGAAAGCTCTGCGAAAGTGCACCGCCAAAAGAGCGAATACGGTTCGGCCATAGCTCTGCGCCAAATAGGTAGGGAAGGGTGTAGAGCCCGACTGCCCAGCCGAAAGCATGAATGTAGATGATGGCAATGGCACCGTCTGATGCACTGGTGGGGATTGTGCTAGGACTCTTGATAAAGTAGCGCAGGTATCCAGCCAGATACGAGTGGCAGATTGCCTGGACAGTAATACCAGTAAAGAGTGACCCTCTCCGCCCAACCATATCCACAAAGACCAGGGAGGCTATGACGGTGCAAATGAGCTTTGTAACCGCATATAATCCAGAAGACAGCAGTTTTGTGTTGTCACTTTTGACTCCGACAAGTCCGAGAATCGTGGGAAGATAGTTGGTGATGGAGTTTGCGCCAGAGAACTGTGCAAGAATGTAGGCAATGATTGTAAGTTGGACCCGACGAAGGTTTGAGCGGACAAGAAAAGTCTCTTTGAATGCAGAAACCAGACTGAGTTGTCCATACTGGTCCGTCTCGCTTTCGATATGTGCTCGCAAGACTTGATATTCTTCTTGAACATAAACATGGGACTCTGGGAGTCCGCGTAGTTTCGTCAGTGCCTCAAGCACCTCCTCGGGTCTGTTCTTGATCGCCAGCCAGCGGGGCGACTCCATAACGAAGAAAGACAGGAGAATAGCAATAGCCGGTACAAAAGTCTGGACAAACCAGGGAATCTGGCTCTGGAGTCGCAATGTAGATGCTATGTGTATGCTGCAGCCATAGACGGTAAATATGCCCAGTGTCTGGCCCACTAGCATGCCAACATTCACCCAGAGCGTCATGAGACCTCTCACGGTCTTGGGGGCAATCTCTGCTATGGCCATTGGTCCTACTACTGTGCACGCACCGATGCCGAGACCAGCAACGATGCGACCCGTGTATAGGGCCCCAAGGCTTCCGTACGAGAAACATGAAATGAGCGTGCCAATCATGTATATTGTGTGATATAGTCTCATGGACCAGATACGGCCTATTCTATCATTGATGAGGAATGACAGTAAGGCGCCAATGCCGGCACCGAGGTTCACGAAGGATACTAGGTTCGAGATTGTTTGGCTATCTTTGGTCGAGTCGAGGTGGAATTCGGTCTGGAATGATTTTAACTGAGTGATGGCAGCAGCTGAGCCTTCGTCCCATCCTTGAGAATAGTGTCAGTATAATATTCAGCATAGTACAACTTGTAAAAGCACCACAATAATGCTTACCTTTTGGGGTTCCTGCAGTAGCAAAAAAGGCGGCAGACAAAAACAAATTGATATTGAAGATTCCTTTGGGAAGGGCTCGAATTGCGTGTACATATTTGAACAGCGAAGTCTTTTTTAGAGTGTCCATTGTGACATCCGGAGCTATGTGGATGAATGCTTGTACAAAGGTGTTACGACTGATGATAGATGGAAACGCAGGTATGATGGCCTTCTTCTGTGCTACCAGGGACTTCAGGAGACTCTATATGCTTCACCTCGACTCCCTGAATCGTGTTGCTAGTCGCTTTCCCCGCAAAAACCTACCCCGTGTCCCCAGGAATTAGACTGCTCCCCCAACATTGGCTGGTCCATGATATTGGCAACTCGTCCGGCACGTCCCGAAAACCGCTCTCCACAGTAGTCTGGCAACTGTCATCAGGCATCGCATGTTCCTGATCACATTTCTCTATTTTTTTATTAATTGAAAACCGGGCCTTTGGTGGAAAGATCTTGGACGTGATTTTACACACCTCAACCGTGAGGGCACGAGTGTGTCCCACGAAAGCTCAGTGGAGTGTATTTCAGGCGTCTACACTACATTCTCATGGGCACAAGCTGAGAAAAGTCATTCATTATTAGAGAAGGAGCGTAATATGGCAGTGCTATAATTCTACAACTAGCAAATTTTAAGGTCACGAAGATACATGGATTCGCAAGAATAAACTAGTGTCTCTGTGGCGACTTAGAGACAAGCTTGTTGGCGCTTCTCGGAGATGATGTGGAGAACACCTGAGAGAATCGGGTGTAACCGAGCACTAACATCACGCATCGCGAAGAGAGCAAAATCTCCGAAATAATGGTGCCAAGAATCATTATCGAATTCAACACTTTTTCTTAGTGTACTCATCCTCCACACACAAGTGCAGGGTCGTTTACCTTGCTTTCGGGCACCACATCACATCAGCAATGTCGCATCTCGCACGCCAGGGCCCACAACTCCTTTCAAGACGGCTTACCAGCAATAGCCCACGGTGTGCAACAATGATGTCTTTCCAGCAACGATGGAGCCATCGCGCAAATCACACAATCAGCAGACAAAACTCACTCCCTGCTGCGTATTATCGCGGAGGCACTTCTCGGGCCGTCTTTTTCAAGGAGCAGGATCTGCCCGCAAATAGAGACGACTGGGTAAAGCCATTTCTAGGCGTGATAGGGAGCCCCGACTCGTATGGAAGACAGCTAGATGGCATGGGAGGGGGGATCTCGAGTCTCTCCAAAGTCTGTGTCGTTGGTCCTTCCCAGCACCCCAACGCAGACGTTGATTACACCTTTGTTTCTCTGGGTATCAACAATCGCCATGTCGACTACTCTAGCAATTGTGGAAACATGTCATCCGCTGTCGGGCCGTTTGCCGTAGACAGCGGCATGGTTCAAGTTCCCGAGGGTATTCACGAGTCCTTTACCGTGCGGATCCACAATACAAACACTGGAAAGATTATCAACGCCTCTTTCCCAGTCGTGGATGGAGAGGCCACTCCGTACGGAGACTTTTCAATTGATGGGGTATCGGGAACCGCGGCTCCTATTCGGCTTGACTTCGTAGAGCCAGCTGGCTCTCGCACTGGAAAGCTGCTGCCCACCGGCAACATTACAGACACCTTTGACGGAATCAGTGCTACTTGTATCGACGTAGCCAACCCGTGCTGTTTTGTTCTGGCATCTGACCTTGGCGTCAAAGGCGACTTGACACCTCAGGAGATTGACGATCATCCTACGCTCAAGGACACTCTGGATCGAGTTCGCCGACAGGCGGCCGTCAATATGGGCCTTGCAGCAACACCAGAAGAAGCGCCTGGGAGCGTTCCAAAAATCGCAATAATCTCCCCCAATAAGGAAGCGAATGGACCTTTGGTTGTTCGTGCCATGTCGGTCGGCCAACCGCACAAAGCTATTCCCGTTACCGTGGCGCTTGCCGTGGCGGCGGCGGCAAAGTTGCCAGGTAGCACAGTAGCTGAGTGCATGAGGCAAGAGGTTGGGGATACTGGATTGACGATTCAACATGCCAGTGGGTCTATAGACGTCGACGCAAAATATAATGCAAACGGTGAGATTGAAGTGGCAAGTGTATTTCGGACCGCTCGGAGGTTGATGGAGGGTAGGGTATTCTGGAAATAGCCCGTCAGGATTAGTCCTCAAATGTGTAAATATTCCCGAATAGGATCGTGAAAAGTGTATGTTACAACAAGTTGCAGTGAAACAGAAGAAAATCACCGCCCAAATCAACAAAGAATATTCCATTACTCTGCGAAAGAAATAAAACTTCATATCACAAGGGCTTCAAACCAATACATATCTTGAAGGATGAAGTATTTGTAAAGCTGGACTTCTCACGGACTAACAAGCTTACAAAAGTCGTTGAGATGTTTATAATCTTTTATTGATACTATTATAACGGCCTTGGAACTGCGACTACACTCTCTCTACCCTACGTTGAGGCGAGATGCCATCAAATTGAGTGCGCTCCCGGCCTCGAAAAACTCCACCTGCTCCGACGTGAACGAATGATTCAACTCGGTTTCCCAAGGCTCACTACCTTTAGCAGCGGGTGTGACTCTAATGCGCACAGGTTGGCCGGGGGCCAGTTCCTTCAGCCCTAGGATATCAATGCGGTCGGAACCGCTCAGTCTATCATAGTCGCTCTCATGCTTGAATGTCAGAGCTAGCATGCCTTGCTTTTTGAGATTAGTCTCGTGAATGCGGGCAAAGCTCTTGGCAATGACGGCCACACCGCCCAGATATCGTGGCTGCAGGGCCGCATGCTCTCTCGAGGAGCCCTCGCCGTAGTTGTGGTCTGCAATAACGACCCACGGCTGATTACGCTGCTTGTAGTATCTGGCCGTGCCAGGAACGTCGCCATCCTCTCCAGTGAGGACGTTCCGAACATTGTTGACTTCTCCAGTCTCGGCATTGACGGCGCCAATAAGAGTGTTGTTTGAGATGTTTTCTAGATGTCCACGGTAACGGAACCATGGTCCAGCCGGAGTGATATGGTCAGTTGTGCACTTCCCCTTGACCTTGATCAAAACGGCGCAGTTGACAAAGTCTGAACCCGACCATGGCGCAAAGGGCTGAAGTCGCGACAGGCGCTGTGACGAGGGTGATATCTGGACTTCTACTGATTGCCGATCACCAGATGGTCCTGTGTATACATAGTCCGTATCTGCAAAACCGGCTTTGGGCAATGCATCTCCAGATGGAGGACTAAATCGAAATTCACTTCCATCCTCTCTTTGAAGATAGTCCCTAGTCGGGTCGAAGCCAAGGTCTTCAGAGAATATCTTGGCCATCACTACCTCGGGTGAAGAAAGAAAGATGTGAGTTTGGGGGTTGGAGTCGAGACGTCCTGTAAAGTTGCGATTATACGATGTGATGATGGAGTTTGGTGTTCCCTGATTTTTATCAGTGTCTGAAGAACAGTATTCGCGTTTTTCTTCAACTCACCTTCTTCATATCTTGGCGATCCCAGGATCCGCAGCAAGGTCCACAAGCATTCGTCAACGTTGTACTGCCCAATTCTTCAAAGACCTGCGTGATACCTGCATCATCGAGTGTCACTCGAGTCTTTTCGCTTCCTGGCGATAGTAGCAGTGGCATCTTTGGCTTTAATCCAGCTGCCAAGGCTTGTTTTGCAAGACTGGCTGCCCGGGATAGGTCTTCGAACGACGAGTTTGTACATGAACCAATTAGCCCGGCGGTCAGCTTCTGGGGCCAGTCATTCTCCTGGACAGCAGATTTGAATTTTGATATCGGGTTCGAGAGATCAGGGGTAAAGGGGCCGTTGATACGGGGCTCCAGAGTAGACAGGTCAATTTCAATGATCCTGTCATACTGGGCGTCTGCATCGGCACGAAGCTCTGAAGACAGGGCCTGAGAGCAACGGGCTAGCTCGGGGCGTCCAGTGGCCTCCAGATACCGTGACATGGCCTGCGAATATGGAAAGATTGAGGTCGTCGCCCCAGTTTCTGCACCCATATTGCACACAGTAGCCATTCCGGTCGCGGATAAGCTGGCAGTACCCTCTCCGAAAAACTCGATTATAGAACCAGTTCCCCCCTTTACAGTGAGTATGCTCGCTAGCTGGTTGATAATGTCTAGTATCCGGGTTAGCAGAGGGAAACCAATCAATTGCAAGCAAATGACTAGCCTTTAGGTGTCGCCCAGCCGGACAATTTGCCAGACAGCTTGACACCAATGATTTTGGGAGCAGTCAGTTCCCATGTCAGGCCCGCCATAATATCGACGGCATCAGCACCACCGACGCCTATAGCGATCATACCAAGTCCGCCTGCATTTGGCGTGTGAGAATCCGTGCCAACCATCATGCCTGCGGGATATGCATAATTTTCAAGAACGGTTTGATGTATGATTCCGGCGCCAGGCTTCCAAAAGCCCATGTTGTATCTCCGACATGCGCTTGACATGAAGTCATAAACTTCTCCATGCGTTGTGAGGGCATTGGGCAAATCTTTGTCTTGGCCGTCTCTGCCAACTATCAAGTGATCGCAATGTACGGTTGTGGGTACTGATGTCGCATCTAGTCCAGCAGACATGAATTGGATCAAGGCCATTTGTGCAGTGGCATCTTGGCAGGCTATGCGCCTGGGTCTGAGGGATAGTTGCGTCTTTCCACGGTCAATGCGGTCATACTCCAAGCTATCCAAATGAGAAAACAAAACTTTTTCCGCATATGTCAGTGGCCGGCCAAGTCTGCATACAGGTTAGCAATTTTCGCGAATTATGAACAAGAAGAGCCTACTGTCTTCTCAGAGTTGCAACTCTGTTGGTGAAGGCGGTATAGTCAACCTTGAGGTCAGGTTCAAAGCGACTCAACGGGGCCTCAATGGGCGCTGTAGAGACGCTAGCGAGCCCGCGCCTCAGTGACACGACATGCCGTGGTCGTTGTCTCGCGACACGCTGCAGAACCTTGACGATAGTCATGTTTGACGCTGCAAATGCAGATTACACAAGTAAATGAAGGAGAATCATCAATTGACTGAAATTTCGAATAAAATACACATTTTGAAATTGAGCAATCTCAAGTCCGTTGATGACATGACCTCCAAGCGGATTGGCCAGAATGGCTGTCGGATAGAACCGATGGCTTGCTTAGGCACAGGTAAATGAGCCCGGGTGCTGTCTTAGCGTCAGCGGATGGATCCGTCACTGTTGCTGACTTGCCTGTTGTGGTTCATTGCTAAAAGCATGCCAGTAGGTAGAAGAACACTTGGGGTATTTCAAAACCTAGGATATGATAGTATTCCAGCATACAGCTTTCCATCCCTTTTGAAATTGATTTGCTGGGCAGCGCATTCAACATGGCGGCTACTGAACGTAATGTGCAAGGGCACAAGCGAACACCATGGCGGAACCTGGCAGTGGGCGCCTTCATGAACGTCTTTCAAGGTATACACTTCTTGATTCAATAACGTTGTTACAAATTATTGACAATACTCCCTTCAACATAGTCACCACTTTGGGACAACCGATGGAAGTTTTGAAGACTCACGTGGGTACAGCAACACCATTCTACTTTGAGTGATATCTGACACTAGAACAGGTTGCGTGGACACTCATTGAGAGATGCAGTCAAGTTTACTTGGGGTAGAGGTGGAATTGGTGCCTTTTATCAAGGTCTAATCCCTTGGGTCAGTACATGATATCTGCTTGACTTGACAAGCACGAGTATACACAGAACTAATGGACATTCCAGGCGTGGTTTGAAGCATTGACCAAAGGCTCCATACTGTTCCTCACTTCGAATGAAGTCGATCACATGTCCAGGACATACTTGAATGCTAGCCCAGTATTGGCTGGAGTGTTGGGTGGGATTAGTGGAGGTGCCGCCCAAGCTTACTTGACCATGGGTACATGCCATAATCCCTTTTAGTGTTGGTGCCATCAACTAACGCAGCGCCCAGGATTAACCACGTGTATGAAGACGATAGAGGTGACACGACCCAAAGTAACTACACCTGGAGTGGCAGTTCCGGGTACACTGGAGATATTCGCATCAATTATTCGAAAAGAGGGTATTCGAGGAGTAAACCGCGGCGTAAATGCCGTCGCATTAAGGCAAATCACGGGATGGTCGTCGAGAATCGGCATCTCCAGACTCGCAGAGGGACCTATTCGCTCATTCAGTAGAAAATCACCCGACACCAAGCTGAGCACTGCAGAAAAGATAGTAGCCTCGACCGTTGGAGGAGCTTTGAGCTGCTGGAATCAGCCGTTCGAGGTGGTGCGAGTCGAGATGCAATCACTCAAGCGTGACCCGTCCGTCGGTCAAGCACCTACCATGGCCACGACTGCCAAGCACATTTTCCAGTCTTCTGGTATAAGTGGATTCTTCCGTGGTGTCGTGCCACGCATAGGTGTTGCTGCTTGGGCGACGATTTGCATGGTAGGGCTCGGTGATACTGTAAAAGAGTATGTTGCGACTGTCGGGCCAGGGCTAGCAACCGGCGAGAAGGCCACTATCTAGGCAGCTTCATGGTCTTTAAATCCTGGGCGCTCAAGAATGGCATTTGATCATCCATGGCACGATTTGCACCAACGGCCATTGCATGTAGCGAATCTAGAAATAGGTGAGCGCGGCGTTGTCAGGCAAGGGTTGGGTTAGGACCAGCCACTGTCGGGGAATTAGGCTTCTGGCAGGGGCGGCGGTTTGGCGGGCAACAATGGCAGCTTCAAGGGTGTGAACCCTGCAGCGCTCTAAACTGTCATCACCCAGGAAGCGATAGCATGCATTAAGGAAGGCATCTCAATGCCACAGCGTTTCGCCTCGACACTGGGCGGGTTCTCTTGATCATTATACTGGTATCTTTTATATCTCGTATCACTCTTTTCAATTTTTTCTGGAATTGTGTTTCTTCGGAATGTCCTTGTAGAATGGAGAACGGGTGACTGATTTTGGTTATGCTATGCCCTGGATCCACCGAGCCCATGGTAATCAGGCTTGGCTAACAATGCCAGCAATGAGGCACAGTCGTCTTGATCTTGGGCGCATCTCTGGCATTTCTGGCAATTGGAGAATCTCTTCATCTCATGTAGCATCAATCACAAGGAAAGACAGACCAGTAAGCAATAACAGCGATAACAGCAGTCCAGAATGGCCCGTGGGAGACTCCTTGTACTTGGCGCTACAGGAGCCACTGGTCAGCTTGTTGTACAGCAGGCACTAGAAAAAGGCTGGCAGGTGACCACCTATGGGAGACGGACGCTGCCAGAACACGCCAACAACGCCGACATCACGGTACGTGCAGCCTCGCCATTATCGGGTACAATAAAACGTTGCATTGACTTATTCTTTGGAAAGACTTTTGAAGGCGCACTCGACGATGAACCGTCCCTGTGTACTGCGATCAGCGGACAGGACGTGATTATCTCCCTCGTCGGCCCTTCAGGGATTACCGCCACCGCAACAGAAGTCTTCGTGCCTGCGTATAAGCTCATCTTGTCAACCATGCGCCGCGAAGGCGTGAAACGAATCATCGCACTCAGCACCTTTAGCGTCCAAGATCCGAATGATCAATTCAGCCTTTCGCGATGGCTTGCCGTGACCGCGCTCTGGGCAATGGCGAATAAGGTCTGGAAGACTGTCGTCGGTGTCTCTCAGGTGTTTGGGGAGGAAGGCGATCAGATTGATTGGACCTTGTTTCGTGTCGGTTTCTTGGCAAATGGACCGCCGATGAAGGTGGTTGACGGCTACGTCGGTGATGGTACACTGGGTTTGTATCTGCGACGAGCAGATATTGCTGCGTGGACTCTTTCCCAGGCAGAAAAGTCACAGCCACAATTTGTACGACAAAGACCTGGCATTTGTTCTGTAGCTCAATAACGAGTTTCGGGCGCTGTGATCAATGAACGTCGGGCTCCCAGCCTGCCTTGTTGTGTGTGCTGCTATCGAACTGTTTGCCGATGCCAATGGGGTGGTCAGAGATGGCGAATATGGAGGTTCTCTATGTTGGAAGGTGCGATTCTAGCAGCTAGAGGGGCACCGATTAGAGCTACCTGGGCACCACAGGGAAATCTTCCCTTCCCATCATCAATACACTCACTCCGCCTCTTTTTTGGAATTCTCTGTTCTGTCCTATTCTAGTTCCACAGTTCTTCTTTCTGCGGTACCACAAGGAGGCGCAACCAATAAAACCCGATAGATCAAGCTGACTTAAGTGCATGATAAGTACTCCCTCAACCCTGCCGCCCTGGTGAAATATGCTTTGGCGAATAGATGTGCCACGATGCTCGCCCACATCCATCCCATGCAAGCCGTGCATCTCGCATGCCATGGGTGCAGAGTCCAGATCATCGCAGCCTGCCCCGCCCTGTCAGTATGGCATTATCGGACCATTATAAATACTCCCTCGCAGCTCAGACAATACCTTTTGTAGAGCCTTCTGCTTAGTGCTGAATGTGCGAAACTGCTAGATTTCATGGCCAAATATGTGCCTAAGCGAGTGTTGAAGATTTTGGTCGGAAATAACCCAGCGTTCAAATCTATACACATTGGGGCCATTATTAGGTACTTAGCCGGCAATAACGTTCATCATGCCTGTGGAGTATGTACGCTCGTACAATTTGCCCTCGGATAAGCTGAAGCAGTACCTACAAGAACAATTCCCCAGCACATTCATTCACTTGCGTGTGAGTATTCACACCACTTTCCCGGCGACAAGGAAAATGTGAATTATCTTCTTGTTGACTTTATCCCAGGACAATGGAAACGATAGCTATGCCGTAGTGCTACCTCGTGGCTTGACTCAGGTATAAATCTTTCCAATGCTTACCTGCAATGATAATTGACGTTGTTCATCTCACGCGGTGTTATTAGGCTCAGAAAGACGATGTCAAGGGTCTTCGCTCTGGAGAATGGCTCAACGTACCGACATCACTTGTACCGAGACCGCTGGAGCAGTCACCCTCGTCGATCGATGGCTCTAGAAAAGGGGAACGGTCAGATCATATCGCTCTGGATGTAGTCGACTCGGACCAAAGATCACAGGCCTCTACACCACGAGGATCAACGTTTGCTAGCTTCTTCGCCTCACAATATGGTAGACAGATGGAGCTGTCAACACCCGCAGCAGCTCCTCAACCAGCCCAGGAGATCAACCCCTTGCTTCAGTTTGGAGGTGCAAATGTCGCCGCTGATACTGCTGCGGTTGCTCCTACTGGCAGCCCGAGTCCCATGGATAATAGAGCTGCGTTTCAGAAGCTTATCCTTAAGCTCAAGAAGCAGCGTGTATCAAACACTCCACCGTTTGCTGGCGGTTTCTCTGGCGGTTTCTCTGCCCCGCCCGCCGAACCCGAATGGGGCCCGTCAAGTTCCCTTGCATCACCGAGTCCATATTCACCATTCAACTTGGAGCACCGAGACGGTCCACCGCACAAAAGCTTCTATGTTGGCAGCAGTGGCCATACAGCTGCTGGCACAATCCCGTCTGACTCTGGCTACGCCTCACTTCCGACAATTTCAACCACAGTACAGAGAATGACAGACACCGACAGGCTTACCATCAGATCCTCGGTTGAAACAATTGAGGGAGACGTCGACATCAAGATAGCTCTTGTTCGGGCTTTTGTAGACGAGATAACAAGTCGTCTTGCCCCAACTACATTGAACGGCGTTGAGCAAGGGGAGAAATTGGAGTATGCAGTGGAAGCGCTCTTGAAAACGGTTGCTGAGACGCTGGAACCAATTGCCGAATCCAAATCTCAACGACAAGGTGTTCTTTTCCTGAGACAGCAGAGGCGGTATGTCCAATGTCGCATTTATGTAAAAGTCGGTCAGTTATGCTCATATAACTCAGGCGCATTTCACGGGAAATATTGACTGGTGCTCGGAGCACTGAGGGGTCTATCGAGAGTTCGGGCAACTCAACACCTGTAAACCAATCCACGCATGAAGGTATGGGGTCAGACGAGATCATGAATTGGCTTTCTGATCAGACACAATGGCCTCAACTCATAGAAGAGGACAATCTTCCGTTAGGAAGTGACGAAAGTCACTATTTTGAACAATCGAGAGTGTTTATCACTCAAAGCGACGCCTTCCGGTGGCTCATCGACCAGTTGACGGCTACTATGGAGCTTGCGGGGATTGAGAATGTCTCCATCTTGAACCACTGCATTATCACCGAGTTTGACAGACGTGCGAGCCCAAAGCAAGTCGCGTCTGCTGATTTTGTCATCAGCGGCCGTTTAGACCTTTTTCTTAAAGAATACTTTGGTGATGCAGCAGCTTGCAATCTCGGCGACGTCTTGGTAGTCGTCAGAAATGAAGACAATCACCAAATGCTTAGTTGCCGACAATACATGCGCCAGACTTGGCCATCAAGTGGCGAAGCCACACTCACCGCTTTACAGAAGGGCCTGGATGCCTACCAACGAAATCAAACACATGATGCCCAGGGTATGTTATATTTGCTCAACACTCCGACTCTACTTACCAATACCAGATTCTTTCGACGGAGGAACGATACGACTCCGGGTGGAGAAGGAGACAACCTCCGTGTTAGTCTGTGCTCCTAAGCTACGATTATGCGATGTTGGTGCCCAGATTTGCTGGATAGCTGCCGTGTGTCAGTTTCCTGCAGACGACGAATGGTTACTTTCATCTGCTTTTTTGATTCATCGTGGTCTTTCCAATGATGGTGAGTTTCGCAACGATCATCAACCAACTCTTTCTTTTGAAGTAAATATCGAAAGAAAGCGGATCGCTCCCTTGGGCCCGTCAAACCATGATTGTTGGAAACTTCTCCTCAGATCCTCTAATATCGTGACCGGGTTTCCAATCGCGAACCGGACCGCTCGACAGAAAGGTATGGAGATTGCTCTCGAAGTAATGGCACAGTCAGCTGGTGCACAGCGAGTCACTACCTTCGATGATAAAATCGTACTGAAGGGATTTTCAAGTCTTCTGGTTGCTGTCAGCTGCGACGATTTGTCGATCACTTGGCACTATATTGAAAGTGCCGACCTTTCGAGAATTCCGTTCTCCGCTGCAAAGTCGATTCATACAGAAGAACTGGATTTGAGCTACATGAAAGACAAGCGACATTTCTTGGGCTGGACGCCAGCTGCGGCTCAAGAAGCAGGTGAATCACTGATCCATCACTGACTGCTGATGTAAATCTTTGCTTACCACATTGCAGGAACAAGAAACGCGAAATACGCCGACATAACAAGGTCCCGCTCTGAAACCGTATCTGGTCCTCGTTTTGCACTTAGCGGTATCAATCTCTCCGTATCAAAATACATCAGTGGCGGGGCTAGCTTCCTTTTGAGTGAACGAGCAAACAGCCTGCGACTGAAAAGAGAGGGTCCATTTGAGAGGAAGATTTACAGTCTAAGCAGAATGTATGTGGTTTTGTATGACGATCTTGACCACAGAGGATGGCTTATAGACGGTGCCAGTGCTGTTTTACACGCATTGCGCTGTCAGTTGACGAAGCCGCCCTACGATAAAAGCCGTTTGTTTGAACCATCCGCGTTCAAATACTCAGAGGGCTATGGCGGGCCGGCTGCTTCTATGGAAGCATTGTTAAACATCGACTTTCGAAGAATGAGGGTTTTCGAGAGTCTCAGTGAAGCAGGCGAGGGTCCACCTGGAGCTGTCAGGGATACAGAGAAGGTCACGTACTGGACTATTCAAGGCATGATTGAGGATCTCTGGGACGTTTTCGAGCAGATGCATGATCACCAAGAGAAACTCAAGTCATCACCTGGGATTGAGTTGCGCTTTGATCGTGGGATGTTGGAAGGGTGGTCCTTTGTCGATCTCTTGAGCGAACCAGTACTCCAGGCACGATCAGTGAAGTTGACCTCAAGTGGAAAAGGCTGGGTCGACTTCACTCGTGCTATCCAGGCTGTAACATTTCTGGCAAGAGACTTTGGCGAGATTATCAAACCGATACATGAGGAAAGCAGCTGCTTCAATTGGGCTCAGGTCCCTCGTGGCATAGACTACCTAGCAGTCCGCCTACAATTACTAAAGCAGATCTCCGATGTATACGGGGATCCATCGGCCACACCATTGAAATTGGCGAACGGTATTTACTGGCATAAACCCCATCAGCTTTTCGAGGATTGCGGCTGCGTCGCTAGTACTTCTGGAGCGAACTGCGACAGGGTCCAGGTACTTCTTCCAGAATTTACTCTGGGCCGCAAAACGCATCCAGGTATCGATCTGGCAGATCATAGCGTCTTAGGCGACGCCGCTGTCATCTTCGGTCGTTCCACGCGGCTGCCACGGCACTGGCCGAGCAAGGACCGTTCTAAGGAATCCATTCCCACCAGTGGATCCGGTGCAAGTATCAGTGATGATAGTCGCGGGAGTCCTGGCGGCAGCCACAGTCCATTTTCAGCGGCTGCTTCGGAGCAATCCTCCAAGTCAAGTCGAAATTCACGTTTGTGGTTGCCATTGGGGCGCCGCGAGCAGAAATGAGCCAAGAGAGGTCCTGAGCGCGATTAATTGGCAAAAAATGCTTCGTATTAGCCAAGGCGCATCACTCTTGGTGTATTGGTTTTTACAAGCATGGTTTTTCATACGAGTTAGGTGGGATATGTGTATTCAATCTGTTCCAAGTACAACACGATACTTTAAGTTGAGAATAGAGGGATAGAAAAATTATTTCCTATGAATACACAGGTCTCTTCGGAAAGAATGGTAACTACTTCGCAGTGGATGGCCAAAACAGCGAAGGGAATGTATGACATTGCAAAGACCACGGCCGAGGACCCAGCTTCCATGAACGTCATCACCCTGTTCACGTTGATATTCCTACCTGGGACATTCCTTGCTGTAAGATTCATTCCATCCTGGAGTCATTTGAGATCCCCTTTATTAATTAGCACACCCAGACCTTCTTCAATACACCGATTTTTGTAGATGAAGCTGTAGGTAGCTCATGGTCATTCAAAAATCAACTCTTTCTGGTTTTCCTGGGGATCTGCCTGCCAATGATGGTGCTTACTATTACAGTTTGGGCTCTGTTAATGATATACAAGTCTGAAAAGAGAGCAAGGGCTAAAAGAGGGCGGAATAGAAACGAGAATGGGATTGATCTTGTCTGATATCATCCTGGGCTTTTTAGTTGGATGCGGGCCGAAACGAGAGATGTAAGTCAAAGTGACCATCTAACCACTGTCGGATGTGAACAACTCAACTCATACAACAATTATTGTACCATTTCCATCATACATTTTCGCAGTTACACCTAATTTTTCTCTGCATAAAGTATTGGCTATAGCAACAGAGCCTTGAATGTGACGGTGATGAAATGGCAACATGCCATGTGAACCAAGAGCCAAATACCCCGCATTTAAGCGAGTCTGGCGCTCGACCTCTTTTTCTATAGCTACGACGGTTCAGAGCTCAGTTTGTAACAAAATGAATTTTGCCCTACCTGCCTTTACTACATAGACCCCGCGGTCCTAACGGACACGGGTTTACCCGGTCCCGAAATTTCGGTAAATATATAATCCTTTTTTCCCTAATCGCGTTTATAGCCTATAAATTTTATTTATTAAATTAATTATACTTTTTTTATTTAGTTATAAACCGCTAATATTATTTTATATTTTTCTTTTATATTATATATTATTTTTATCCCGTGCGTAAGCCGTATTATTTCCGAACTTTATTTAAATATATACGCGTTTATATAAATATTAATTAAAAATTTTTAAATTTAATTAAGCCTTATTAAAAAGGCCTATTTTTATCGGTAATTTTTTCCGCGCGTCTTTTTTATTTTAAACCTAATTTAATTTAGTAATTACCGTTATATTTACCGCGAATATACCGGAATTAAAAAACGACGTTAAACCCTTTTCGGCTTTTAAATAAAAAAATATAGCTTTAGCTAAAGCTTTTATAAGCTTCGAAGCTTATAAAATTAACCTCGATTATATAATATAAATTATCGATTAGCTTTAATAATATAAATTTAATAATATTCGATATTTGCTTAATAAATATACGGTAAAATATATTTTTCTTTTTTTAATATATTACTAATATTAATGCTTTTAAAGCACTTTTAAATATTTTTATTTAATTTTTAATTAATTTTTCCTATATTTTTTAAATATTTCTAAGCTATTTAATTTAATAATATTTAAATATATCCTTATATATTTTTAAATGCTTAGCTATATATTTATTAATATTTAGTTATATATATTTAAATATTTAATAATATATTTATAAATATTTAAATATATAAATTTAAATATCGGGCGATATATTTTTAAATATTTAGCTATATATTTTTATATATTATTTATATAATTTATATTAAATCTATCTCTTTTAATACGTTTAGCGTTTTTTTATATTTAAAATTAAGCGAAATAAGCGAATTAAAAAAAATAAGATTATTAAAATACATTTTACTAAGGCTAAATACGCTATAATTATAGCGTATTATTTATTTACTCCCTTAAACGAATATATCGCTAATAATAATTAGAATTATTATAATTAATATTAAAAAACGAATAATATAAAATTAACGATTAAATGCATTTCGGCCGGCGTAAATATTATTAAAAATTTATATTTTAATTATTATTATAGCGGCATAAAAATAAAATACACGCTTTGCCTTAATATATTTACGGCTTATAATATTTAACTTTAATATTTATTGATAATATTAAGCGCTAAATAAAAGGAAAAAACTACTAAAAATATAATTATAAATAGATTTAATAGCTTTATTCGAGAGTTTTTAAGCAAATGCCCGAGAGGAAAGCTCGAAAAGCAATACGACCTTATTTTAGAAAAATATAATAAAAGTTATAAGCAAATAGGCTCGCCTTTTAAAAAAAAATATATTTAAATATATTTAAGCGGAAAATAAATAAAATTATATAATTATAATATAAGCATTTATATAGCGTTAACATTATTATAGCATTAATAATACGGATATAAACGGCATATAATAAAAATTAGGCATTATAATAATACTTAATACGAATTATAAAATAATAAATTATAAAATATATTTCTAAATATATAAGCAATTTTTTTATCCGAATTTTTATATAAGCGTTTTATATTTAAAATATTTAATTATGCGGTATTTTTTCTTTTTATCCTATAATTTAAATCCGAACCTATAACTTTTATCCTAAGCTAATAATTATTTAATTTTTATTAATGCCGCATTATTAAAATTAAAAGAGTTTTTCCAAATTTGCGAATAAAGCTTCCCCTTTTTTTTTTAGCTTTTTAATTTAAAATTAAATAACTAAATTAAAAATAAGCTAATATTTTTATAACGCGTTTAAAAAAATTTAATTAAAATTATTTAAATTTAAATAAATTTAATTAAATATTATTCTTTTTATACTTAACCTTTTTGCTTCCTGCCTACCTATTATATAATAATACGATTATAGCTTAATTTTAAACTATTAAAAAATAAAATTATTAACGCTTACCGCAATAAAATATCTTTTAATATTATTATTAATATTATTAAAATAAAATTAGGTTATTTAATTTATTATTAGACTTTATAGCGATATATTAAAAAATAAAAAATTAACGTAATTTATCCTAAAATTATTTAAAAACCAGGATTCGATAACGATATTCGGCATTATTTTTATTAAGCATAATTCTCCGATAAATAAATTTATCGGGCTTTAACCGAAAACGGCTATTATATATCGCGAATTACCGTAATCGAAACTCGGAAAAGCCTTAATTTATTTCGACGTTTTAATAATAAATAATATAAGCAGCAAACCGAAAACGTACGGCAATTCCTTTTCGGCGATTTTTAATCCGCTATTTTATTTTATAAACTTTTTCGGCAAAGCCTATATAGGCATTTTCGAACGTATGCTAATTTTTACCTTTTATATTATACTTTAATACCTTTATACTATAAATATTAAAAAAAAGCAATTATTAAGCGTTATTAATAAATTTTGCACCGACGCGGCGGATAAACGGTCCCCGGCTTTAATTATATTTAATTTATCGACGGCTACCTAAAACTAGCGTAATATAATTTTAAAATTTATATTAGTATCGACGCTTATTTACGTTTTATTATATAAAGCTATTATAGTTTTTTAGCTTTAATAGCGTAATTTATTACCGTATAATATATTAAAGCTATTAATAAAATATAGGTTATATTAATAATAATACGCTTTAATTAAGGTATAAAAACGTTTATTATCGCAAAGCTATATTATTAATTATTTATTAGTATTATAAATATACGTAAAATACGGCCGCGTCGTAATATAAATAAATTTATCGAATTTTATATTTACGATAAAAAATACGTCCCGATTAATCCTATTATATTCGATTTAAACGCTTTATTATAATAGCGATTTAAACCGTTAAAAATTAAAAATATTTAGTATTATAAAAAAAATACCGTAAACTAATAAATAAAATTATAATAAAATTAACTTAACAAAAAACGATTATATTTTTAGCAAATATATTTAAATATTATATTTTAGTATTTTTTAAAAATTAATAAAATAATAAAATTATTTCCGTATATTAATTAGGCACGGATAATAATTTATATATAATATATTAAACTAAATTGCTTTTTTATATATTTTTATGCTTTAAATCCGATTTAAGCTAAATATTTTTATTACGGAATAAAATTCTTATATAATAGCCTTTTAAAAAAACCGCGGATATATCGTAAGCGGCTAGCTAAATATTTTATATCGCTAAATTAATAACCTTCGCGCTATTAAATGCAAAATTAATATAAATTAAAACCGTTTAAAATAAATAAAAAAGCTAATAACGGCCGACGGCATTAATTTTGTTTTATATCTTCCGGATTATATTATATTTATTTATTAAAGCGCAATAAAAGATTTCGTTTATTCCCTTTTATATTATCGACGCGAAAATAAACTTTTATTAAGCGAATATCTTTATTTGCGTTAATAGCTAAAAAAATACGCAAATTAAAAGATAAAACCTTATTTAAAATTATTAAATAAAAATTTAAGCGGATAAGATAAATTTCGATAACGTATAAATAAAATAAGTATTAATTTAAATAAGGTAAATCGCTTATTAAAACGATTAAAATATTAAAATAAAAATATATACCTTTAATTTAATTAATATTAAATTATTTTAATTAAAAACGATTAAATTTAATTAAATATTTTGCGATCTTTTATAATATTAATAATAATAATAAATTTTTTTTAAACCTAATTTATATTTATTAATATATAAAAAAATATTTTGCGTTAATAAACCTTAAAAAATATACGAATAAATAATTTAAAAAAAATTTGCAAATATTAAAAAAAAAACATTAATAATTCCTTTTTTCCATTTTAAAAAATAAATTAATTTTATTTTAACGTAAATAAAAATATTTATATTTATTTTATTTAATTTTCTTTAATTTAAATTTATCTTTTGCT